TTCCTCCACAAGATCTTCCACTGAAGGATCTTGCTAGATCTGCAGTTGCAGGAGGTACGCCTGAGTGTTGGATGGTAACCTTATTCAAAGGTTCCAAACTATGTACTAATCGTAGACTCTTGCTATCTTTCTTAATGACACAGAACATTTCGAACGATAACTAGCATTCAATGGTTCGTATATCCTGAGTCAATTTTTACTTTTAATTATTTTGCACACATCCTTGAAGATACCTGGCGGAATTGGTATATTCCTTTCAACCCACGGTTCATGTGGAATTACAGGTACTTTCACAGGTGGAAAGAATTCATTTTTAAAGGTCCAGCTTCACTTGGTTGCCAAGCAAAGCCTGCTTCCTGTTTACACATCATTTCGTGCATAAGATCTCTCTCTTGTTCCCACAAAAATCCTTCAGGATGATTCTTGTCTATTATCTCTTTCCTTTCTTCTGTATATCTTCCCGTAGGAACAAACGGTTTAGGATGTTTCGACAATTCAGGTAGTTCCAACAACGGATCACCATGAATATGTCTTTCAATTCTAAATTCATCTGGTAACGTTGTGTCATGCCTCGACCATTATCCACAGCCCTCTTAATGGTGACGACCAGGACAGCCCCAGTATCAGCCAAACACTCTCACCCCTCAGTACCGATACGCCACGCCCGTACCTCCCCAGATCCACGCCTGTACCTATCCAAGACAGCTCCTAAACCTCCCCCGACACGCGTACGAAAGCCCTCTAGCCAATAACCCCTTTAAGTATTAATCTCGATTACCTCCCTCCCTCCGATTAGCTACCTCATGCCTCCAGATGTTCTCTTGTTCACTTCCCGTACCTATTTAAGTAACGCCGCAATGTCCCGAAGCCCCAGCTTGGTATATTTTGAACACACACCCTTTTGCATAGGTCCAGTCCCTGTCCCTTTGTACCTGCTAACCATACGGATTTCTCTTTACTCTCTGTTTCTCTACTTCTGTTTCTCTCTACCTCTGTCTATTGTCTCTCTGATCATCTATACGATCGAATATACGCTTTCACTTCAAGTCTAAGCCTTCCGAGTGAGTCCCCGAGCTCCCTCGAACATTACTAAAGCTCCCCAACGCCTACCCGCCTTGGTGAGCTACCCTTCCCCAAACTTCCCAGAGCTCCCTAGCTACTTCGTAAGCTTCGGGACCTCGATCTAGGTAACGTCGAAGCTACCCCTCACGTCGGACTACGTATTGCTTCTCCGTTACCACCTCCCACACTCGAGGACGTCCATCCTCAAGCTCAGCCCCCAGGGACCTACCCTTCCTGACATATCCCTTCTCGGGAGCTTACACTCTCGAGACCCAGTTGCATATACGACCTACTCGATCCTATATTGACGTTCTAGCGAGTACAACTCCTACTACGCAATACTGTACGGTCCCGCACTCTTCCTTAACCTCCCTACGCCTTAGGGACCTCCCTGGACCTCCTAGGGACCCCCTCAAGGGTCATCATCTCGTCGTTCCAGACACTACTAGGTCGTTCTCGTCCTCGGTCGCGGTTCTCGTAGCTCCCTTCGAGCTCCAGCCTGCTCCTAGCACGCTACAACATAAAACTTCATATACCAAACCTACCCTAAGACCCATTTTAACCCAGGTCTTACACCATAGCGGATATCTGTTGGCGGCGAGGTTGCTGGCATCGGCCTCGGTCTCGTCCAAGTCCCATGAACTTGGCTTGGCAGACTGCTTCCAGATGTCCTTGGCGTCCACAGTAACAGCAGGTAGTTTCTTGGTGTGGGCAGTTTTGCTTGACATGACCTTAGGCACCACAGCCGAAGCATCGTCCTCGCATGCGAGCTAGGAATGCCTCCCTAGTATTCCCATTACTAGTGTGGGTTGCATCAATGTCCATAGCGTGGGGGTCAGCAGGGGTAGTGTGAGCGGTATGTGTGGGAGGGTATCCAGAGTTTCGGCCAGTCATGGTGGGATCGTGCAGGTAGACATCCACCGATATGGCCCGTTTGATTGCCTCCTTCAGAGTCGGAGAAATTCCTTGGGCAATGTTTACGGTGATGAGATGTTGTCGGATCTTTGGGAGTAATGCAGTGAAGAAACGTTCCCGCAAGTCAATATCAGACATTTCAGTCCGATCTCCGATATCCTTGAACTTCTGAGCGAATTCTGCAACTGTCTGCTCTTTACTTTGCCTGAGATTCTTGATCTCGCTACGGGCTTCCATACCTGGGTCCATTGGTTCAAACCATTGGCTAAATTCCTTCAAGAACATATCCCAATTTCCTCCGAAAGGGGGATTTTCTGCACTGAAATGTAGCAGATGGGGAGTTGCCCAATCTCCGGCACTTTCTGTGAAGAAGCCCAAGACAGACTTGATAAGTTTCACTTGGCTTTTGGCAAGATCAGGTTGTTCTGACACCCAATTTTGGAACTGAGCCATGAAGCAACGAGCTTCAGTGCCATCTTTACCCTTGAAAACCTTGGGTTTGTTCATGCTTGACTTGGAGGATGAGCGTTCCTCCATAGCAGTAGCAAGGTTAGCTACTTGTCTGATGAGCTGAGCCATGAGATCCTCAACAGAGGTATTCGGGGCAGGCGGGACAGGAGTCGACATAATGGGAGTAGGCAATCGGGGTTGGGGAATTGGCAGGAAGGTTATATTGCTCACAGTGAGTGGCTCTCGGATTGAGTTGGGAAGGGCGTTGGGGCAAGGTTGAGACTGGCAATCGCGCCAACTATCATCGTTGTTGTGGGCGTGAGCTTGGTTTCTGGGGCCAAGTGCATGTGGGAGCGCGGAGCAGTCTATACTGGCAGCAGGTGTTTCAGAATCGGGCGGAACTGGGGAAGACGTGGTGTCTATGGATCCTGCAAGGACAACCTTATTGGTAGGCTGTCAGTGCAGTAATGGATCTTGACCTAATGTCACGAAGCAGCAGAGGCGGAGTGACTAGTGGAGCAGGAAAGCGGAGTGACTAAGCAGGTCAGTGAGGCGGAGTGACTAAGCGGAGCAGAGGCAAACTGGTCCCAGATAATGACAGAGATATATTGAGTATCGTAGTCATAGGTAGTAATAAGTATGCACATACCTGGTCCCAGATAATGACAGAGAGGTCAAGATAAGGGACCAGGCTGTGGAGGATTGGCTATATATACATAATCCGGTCTGCGAGAAACAATGATGTAATACTGCACAGTTCAGGGACAAGGAAGGTGGCGGAAGCCGGTAGAAAGAGAAGATGGGTCAGGTGAATCAGTAATCGATGGGGGATTGACAGTGATGGGATGATGTATTGTACAAGTAAAGGCATCGAGACGGTGAGAAAAGGAAAATGATAGGGGCTGCGTACTTTATGACAGGGACTAGCAGCATAATGGTGGTGTGGTTAATAACTTTGCTACTGTCCCATTCGACCCTCCACTCTTAAACACCTTGTAGCCTCTTGCACAGCTTCCCAGTGTACATGATCTTAACACATCCTCAAGTTGTAGGAAGAAGAGCTTACCGGATCATGTCAAATTAGCCATAGGAGAAAAGGTATTGGTGACACAAAATATTGAAACTGATCTGGATTTTTCCAATGGTGCGAGAGGAAAGATAGTGGAAATAGTGTTTGATCCTAGAGAGCCAGAATTTGAGGAGAACTGTTCAGTGGTGGAGCTGGAGTACATGCCCTTGTATATGTTGGTAAAGATGGATTGCACAAGAGCGCAGAAGCTTGATGGACTAGAAGAGCAGGTTATACCTATGGAGCCACACAGTCAAACAGTCAACATACAGGTTCAGGCGGGAAGGAAAAAACACATCAAATGCACAGTTCATCATAAGCAATTCCCAATGACAGCAGCATATGCATTCACAGATTACCAGGCTCAAGGACTAGTGGATATAGGGAAGCCACCAACAGGAACACTCAGTTTGTTCAATCTGTAGGTGGCATTATCTTGGAGTTCAGGCAGATCGACAATATGTCTTCTTCAAGACTTTGATGTGGGGTGTTTGACAAAAGGCCATGATATAGAGCTTATAGCGGAAGATGACAGGTTAGAGAAACTCAACACACAGACTGCAGAGTGGTGGAAGAAAATGACGGAGAAATTGGAATGTGTATAGATTGACTGTATTACAGACAGTGTTGGGTATAAAACAAGAAACATATAGCAAAGTGAGAGAATGTCAAGTCCATGCCTCGGGCCTCCATTCCGCCGCTCGGTACTCCGAAGATCTACCTTTTATTGTAATCTCTCTCTTATTGTTCTTTCTCGCTACACATACCCTTTCGTTCTAGTTCCTCCTTATTGTCTTTTACTCTACCCTGCAGGTACTACTCGTATAGCTCCTAGTAGTTAGTCTGGCGCTCCGCACCGATGCGCCGTTCTGTAGATATAAATACTGCCTGTACGCTACTGTAGTTCCTCAGTTTAATTATCAACTTAGATCTCCCTTCTCAACTTAACTCTTCTCTAAGTCTTCAGGCTCAACGCCTTGAAGTACGTTCCCCTCGACCTTAGGACTTGAACGTTCTCTGGTCCGCTCCTCGTCATCGGCGATACCGCCGCTCCGACCTGGCTGCTACTTAGCTCCTCTCTCTCTACTCTCGCTCTCCGGGGACTAACGGCGTAACGGCGGTGTTGTTAATAACTTCACTACTGTCCCATTCGTCTTCCGCACTTAGACACCTTGTAGCTTTGGCACGGTTACACGGTGTACATGATCTTAACAGAGAACGTACAACAGCACAGCTTAAACAGACCAAAAGGTACCAGTGTTGTGGCATATTTGCGATATGGAACGAAAACTGCTTCAATTATCCCAGTCCGAGAAACCTAGCCAAGCAAGGGGACCCTAATACAGTTGTCTTACTGTCACCTGAGTTTAACCTACATTAACATGTCCAACTTAATACGAAACACTGTTGAAAAGATACATCCCCATTGCTAAACTAACTACGTAAAAAAGAGCCATTCAACATTCAATTTTGGCAGTCGAACTTTTACTAGACCTCATAAGCTTCGAAATGAAACTAACATTTGACCTCCCCTATAATCATCCTCTGACTTCCCAACGCATTCCCGCATTCCAAGTTCTGCACAAATGCCGCAGGGGGTGTTCCGAGGGCAAACAAACAATTCCTAGAGTAAGACGAGATTGTCAGAGTACATCAGCATAACAATTTGGGAGAAAATTAATCAAATGAATGATAAAACCAGAACTCACTTGCTTAGGATGTTTTGCAAGATATACCCATAGAATCAAAAGGGTGCTCATTCAATATTTTTCCTGGTCCAATGGGCCCAGGGAAAATTCTGTCAGGAATAAACCTCTCATTATTGTCTTCCTTCCCGTACAGGATCAGAACACAATTCGCAGGTAACGCCTGGACCAAAGCACATTTTGCCTTTGGAGTAGGGTATTCCACCTCGTACACCTGTGCTTCAGAGAAATGGTGTTGCACAGTTATGAGTGGGGATTTACGAGTACTACACTGTTCATCCTTGTAAGCCAAGATCTGGAATATTCCTGATGACAACGATGGTATGTCGGGTAATTTAGGACTCTTTTTGAATGGAATGAGAATGGCTGCTGCGGGAAGGATGAGACTAGTGATAGCGAGGAAGACAGCGAGGGAGATGGAAGGGAATAGGACAGTGCTAGCTCGCATTTTTTTGATGTTGTGGTTACGTGAACTGAGGCCAGCTCAGGGTAGAAAGGTTGACAAGTTGGAAGGGAATGAGGGGTATGTCGAAGACCGGGCTCGATGGAGGAATAAGTCGAACGAAGGCGACCAGTATTTATGCTCTCCTCGACCCCTACTCAACCCGGATTCTTGGATACAAATTTGCAGGACAACGCACTCATTGATGACACGCATAGTCGGATGGAACTTAACGGCGGAGGCAAAATTAGCGCAAAATTGAGACAGATTTTCGACCCTACAAAAAAACTTCATCTGATGGTTACTGGAGAGGAAGCCCAGGTACATAGGGTAGGGTGGTCAAGGTGCTTGTTGTTCCTTAGCTCGGAATAAGGTGCTACAGGTTAAATCTCCGCATTTTGAAGATTCTTCAACATGACTTGGACATATATCTGAGTGAAGACCTTGTAGCACTATTGTAGGATGTCTAATAGACAAGAAAAAAATCGAGATACTGCAGGAAGCTGCGAGAAAATGTGAGAAAAATCAGCCGACAAGAGAGATGAAACCGAAGTTAACCCTGGTAGTAAGACGCGCGTACAGCCTCCTCTAAAACTTGAAACGGGCCTGATCAGGCCTGATCACCCTCTGCCAATATCTTCCGAGAATATCATCATGAGTTCTTTTGTGTGTGTTGCGAGGTGTTGCGCTCGCAAAAAAGACACAATGTGCGAATATTGTTCCTGGAGACTGGGCAGGACCAGGGCAGGACAGTAGTCGTAACCTCGGTAGATTCGGAGATTTGAAGGGGTGCTTTTCAACTATCATTATTGCATTACGCTGAGCATAGAGACGAAGCAGGGAAGTTGACGGACAAAAAGGATAATCATGAGTCAAGTGGCCCGAGCGTGACGCTACTCTGAATCAAGCGGCCCGATTCTACGAAACTCGAAATGCTCTCCAAACTTGAGAGTCAGTGCGAATTCCAACCTCAGGTCTCAATACTACCGCATATATGAGAAACAAGCCGAATCTGCTTATTTTCAGAGTTAGAACGACACTTCTTACTTACTCTCTCATGAGTCCTAGTCAGCTGTTGACCTTCCGGTTACGTTTTAATTGGTCGCCAAGTATATCTTCGCATTAACAAGATATAAATACTCAAAGATCCTTTCCCCTCATTCTCCCAGCCATTACTCCTTCAAAGACGTCTGCAACGATGGCGACTCAGAAAAGCCAATTGAACATCGTAATGGTGCGCTCTCCGACTCGTTATCTTAATTGGGCCAATAGTACCGCAACATGGAGATTTCGAACGGGCCTCATTTCTCCCTTTCCGCTCATTCTGACCCACACGTTCCCGAGTTATTCTGATCAAGGCTATTTTCACAGGGCGCGATGACCTTTGGCAAAGAAGGCACGAATGGCGCTAGGGTCCACGATGTAAAAGATGTGGAGGCGATCTTGGATGAATTCTTGAAGCGTGGGCACACCGAGGTGGGCACCATCTTTTTCGTTTGCCCTCATTTATGATCCTAGAACTATCCTCGTATTGAAGCGCTCCCTATTCCTCCTATTGCCACTCATCTTGCTCGCTATATTTCCTTCTCATTCTCGTAGATCGACACGGCTCGCGTTTATTGTGCCGGGACGAGCGAAGAGATCCTAGGACAAATCGATTGGAAAGCCAAGGGGTTGAAGTTGGAGACGAAACTTGTTGCGAGGCATGTGAGTTTCTCATATCATACATATTCCGAGACCGAATTCGCTAAATTTTCGCTCTCCCTCTCCAACACACACACATTCACTATCTCGTCGTACGACGTAATCCCATTTCAAAGCCGGATCCAAATGCGACACCGAATCAGACTCCCGTGGAAGAGATATATCATACTTACGAGGTACGTTGTCGTCTGTGCAAATTCCTCTGTTTTCAGCAATCCCACATCCTCCGATCTTCTTCCTCCTTGACTGGAATGATAACAGCGAACGGAAAATCTCATTCGTGTACGTAGGATCTAAAGAAACACCTTCTGAGGTCGTTGAAGGCTCTCAATACCGAGTACGTTTCTTTTTCTATCTTCCTACTTCTATCTTCCTGCTTATCTTTTTGTTCATTTTCTTCGTGTCCTTCTTTCCTTCCCGTCACTCATTCGTCCACAGACAATTAGAAATGTGGTATCTCCATTCGCCCGATCGATTGTGAGTGACATCCCAAGTCAAATATTCTATGTTCTTACTCAATTGTTCACCTTACTTCTCTGTAATTAACAGAACACCCTACGAAGTCACGATGAAGGCCGTCAATGATCTTTACAAAGAGGGGTATTTCAAGAAATTCGCTATCAGTAACTATATGGCGTGAGTCGTTCTTCCCACGTTCTTTTAACCTCGCCTGTTAAATTATCTGTGTTCTTCTCCCTTCTCCCTACCCCTCTCCTGCCTACTCCGCTCTTCTTCCCCTGGTTGTTACGTCATGCCCTTGCCTCAATCATCGAATCTCCATCGCACCCTGCAACCTTGAACACGAATCTGGCGATGAACCCCGTCTCGCACATCTGCCTTCACAGCTGGGAGGTAGCTGAAATCGTCGGAATCTGCAAAGCAAACGGGTATATCCTTCCCTCCGCGTACCAAGGAATATACAACGCGGTCCATCGTGCGGCCGAACCGGAGTTGTTCCCATGTTTGAGGAAGTTTGGGATTAGTTTTTACGAGTTCAATCCTCGTGAGTTTTGACGTACTTGTTGGATCTTCCGAATATTCACTTATGATGAGGTATGTATATGTAGTTGGTGGGGGTTTCTTCACAGGACGATACACATCGGTGGATGATCAGGTCGAGCCTGGGTCTCGATTTGACCCTAACAAGGCCCAAGGAAAGGTGAATCCCAACACACTCTTCCATATCATAACCCAACGACACCATCATACTGACCTACCCGTAGAACTACCGCAACCGATACTGGAAAGAACCCTACTTCAAAGCCGTCGCGTCCATCCAAGCTGTTGCCGATCAGCACAAGTTAACGATGGCTGAAATTGCGTTACGATGGGTATCTCACCATAGTTTGATGAAGCGCGAATACGGGGATACAATTCTTATTGGAGCGTCGAGTTTGGAACATATCAGACAGGTGAGTAAATGGTCGAAAGTTATATCCCCGAAGGCCCAACAGCTCGTGGTTCCTCGTTTGACTTGTAGAATCTGATCGATTTGGAAAAAGGGCCACTTCGTGAGTAGTAAACCAAATTCAACCGTTTATCATACTTCCTCTGATCTTTCTTAATAGCCGAAGAAGTCGTTACAGCTCTTGATAAAGCATGGGAATCAGTCAAGCCATACGCGTCGAAATATCACCACTAATTTCACAGTGGGACGAAGAGTCAATGTAATCAGTATCGAATTTGAATGTGAATCATATGTACAGTGTTCGAAACTCATGATTATCAAACTGCACCGATCTACATCCTCGCTGACTTGTCACTTGGTCTGGAACCGACACGGTTTTGGGTGACGTTGAGAAATCTCCAAGCCAGCCAGGCCTTGCTATGCATTTGACTGTAAGTACTAAAACCAATTGGTGACTTTGAGAAATGTTGACTGATGTTCATGTCGTGTAATTTCAGACTTGAACCTCCCGCCTCGCTCCTAGGGAACTCAGGGAGCCGCAACTGTGATCCAGGCCCTTCAGAAAGGTGTGCACTATTAATGACATAGTTGTTGCAAGGAACGATAAATTAGAAGAATAGAATATGTGAAACTAGGCGCAAAGAGCACAGTGAACACAACTGCAGTTTGAAATAAACCAAATATATTGCATTCAGTCAAGTAAGTAGCCTGAGAGTAAGTACAGAGTAAGTATTTCTCGCGACTTTCTTAAAGCTTGTTCAAGGAGAACTATTCAACATGGTATCACTAGTCTGCAATACATAACAGGACTGGGAAGGACTGGGAATATGAAGGACGTGAATGGTAAATCGGTAATATTGAGTTCGGTTTAACTTTTGAACTATTCGGTGGATCTTCGAGTTCAACTGCTGGTGTTCCTGATTAATTATTCCCAACTACATCCTTGCTTTGAGCAAGAATGGTATTGACTTCTGGGAATCGAGGAGTGATTGAACAGCGAAACGGAATCGGGCGACTATGCATAATACAGATGAGCTGATCAGAATATGCATACAGATTCAAGTGGCAGATTAACCCACACAACTAATCCATCATTGATGCTTTTTGATTCGACGGGCATGATAGCCTTCCCTTGAGAGTCATGAACTGGACCAATGCTAACCGCCCAGAGGAGACAAGCGATGTCAATGAACAAAGAGTTGTTGGCTTTTGAAGACTGTAAGCTAGTTTCTTTCTCTTGCTTCCATTGTAATCAAGAAACTTACCGACGTGTCGACCTATGCAGAGCCTGTGTACAGAGAGCAAAAATATCAATCAGTTGGATCTGATGAAGTCAAATCCGGTGAAATTCTTCCATTACCGCCTTCCAAATCCATAACTGACATGTCCTTGATAAGGCAAAGAGCGAATTTCAAGTCTGCTCGTAACTTGAAAAAATAGATGTATTACACACCCTCTGTAAATTAAACTTAAATCATCACCAGTATAGAGCTCGAAGCAAAACTCACCTTCTTTTGTATCAGCCAATGCAGGTTTCAATTGACCATTTTTATCGAGGAAGCGTCTCGGATTGAAGTCTGCAGCATCTGGTCCCTGGATCTCAAGGGAAAAAATTAGCGATAGGGAATACTGAGAATTCTAAGTCAATCATACATAAGCCCCAATGTCTCTGTTCAGTGACCTATATGCGAAGTGGATTTATTATGTGAGATTTTCAGGGTTATTTTAACAAGCTCTTACCAGACATTAGCAATGCAGATAGTACCTTTGGGGATAAAGTAGCCCTCATACCAATCATCTTGGTTAGACTGATGTGGTACACCTTGACAGAAAAATCTGTCTGAGCACTTCTTGTAAAGTTGTCAGAAGGCTCTCACCAACAGGATCTATTGGGATAAGATCAATTGACTTCATTTGCGAGAAATTGCGCATATACTTACCCACAGGGTGCCATCTGAGTGCTTCTCGAACAGTGGCTTGGAGATATGGAAGGCTTTCTTGGTCGGCAAATGTGGGCAAGCGATCCCGACCGACAACAGCATCCAGCTCTTCCTGAACCTTCGTCTGGACATCTGGATACAATATCATGGCAAGCATGAACCAAGAGAGCACTCCCGCAGTTGTTTCAGCTCCAGCAGCACTACGTGTGTACAGTTATTAGACCACTTGAATACGTTTATTCTAAAATGGAGATCAAGACTTACTATAATGTAGCTGCAAGCCAAGCCGACTCTCTGTCAGGTATGCCGTATCGTTCTTTGTCACGAATGAGATTAGTAGCAAAGCTCGGTCGTGCCTCCCCATTTTCCTGTGGATAATAGATCATGATTGCAATATGGTGGTATTGAACAAATGCACACACCACGTGGTGTTGAGCCTCAAGGAAAAGACCTTCGAAGAATTGTGAGTCCTTGCGGAACCACTCTTCTGCATCCCGCTTCCACCTGGCTACAGACCTCGGAAGATACTTCATCCACGTGAAGAATTCTACATAATGAGCCCCTGGGAAAGCAGCACGAACGAGACGAGTGGTGAAGTCGTTGATCCGAGTGATCTCAGGATCTTCCACGTCTGTAATGGGGGGCTTGTCATAAATTACATCCCAAATCATTGACGCTGTCGCGCTGAAGTAAATATAGTCAATGGGATATTCCCACAAGCTAGGAAATCCAGAAGGAATCAATACACTGACCGCCGAATTTCCTCATTCCAGAGTTCTGGGTGTTTGAGCATTCCATCGGCAAGTAATACAGCTTCTCTGTATTGTGGACCAAAAAAATCTCTCGAAACTGTTTTATTTAAACCTTCATGACCTGCACGGCGCATTCTACGCCAACTGAAAAAAATATAGCCATTCAATCGCTTTCTCGAAATTGACTCACATAAAAAATATGCAAGTACTTACACGTCGTTGTATTGGGCAAAGGGCATCAGTAGTCCTCCCGTTAGAATTTCGGAAGCAACTACAAAATTTTCCTCGTCAGATGGATTTGTCGAACAAACTCACCACTTACCAATGAATCTTGGTCGGTCGCTATAGATTGGACCTCTGCGGTCCAGCAAATCAGAGGCGACTTTATGAGTGTTCATGATCACAATTCTTTGTCCAGCAACATTTATTTGAACGAGAGGACCTGGAAACCGCATGGACGTCAAACAAACCAAAGAGGTGATTCACGAGCCCACTCACCATATTGCTCTTTCCATTCTGCAAAAGTGAGCCAAGCATCGATGTTTAGTTGGAAAAGATTTCCAAAAAGAGGCAGTCCACGCGGTCCCGGAGGTAAGCGACCTTTACGAAGGGCGGAAGCTCGGTGAGCTAGGTACATAAAAGCTACAAAGATGGCGAGCAATGTCCATTTCGAGTCATGAAAGAGAAATCTTTCTGCAATGTACATCGCGGATTTAGTCTGAGCTAAATGGTCCCTTGCTATGAATGTTATGGGTGCGTATATTGTTTGGTTCTTCTTGTAGACGTCGAAATAGTGAATTAGTGGACCTGACGTACTGTGACAGACTGAAAGCAGATATTCAATCTTCACGCACCTTTGCACACTCAAGTCTCAGTGGCTCTAATGCTTAAAAATTGTCTGGGTGGAGTGATCTGAGGGGATGAAGAAGGAAAGGAAGACGTTGTATGTTTCTGACTTCTAAGCTAAGAATTTAAGGGTGCTGGAATCACCGTCTGACGTTTTCATTACATTTCAATCGAATGAACTTGAAGCGTAATGCCCAAGCGGATAGGCAGCCTCGCAGGGGCCTCCGCACATGAGAACCAGTGGTGTATAGAAAAAGTGGGCACTCTGGTCTATAAAAACAGGTGAAATGGAAGACAACCATTCAGACTGTTGTACATACAATAAACCTCGGAAGCTAATGCAAACATTACAATCTCACAATTCAGCGTGTAACTGCGTGTAATCCAAGCCAAAGGAGTAAAGACAATGATGAGAAATACCACGATGAGTGCAATTGTTGTAAATGTTATGTTGTTCATCGTTCCATGGGTTGTTGAAGATACACACAAATTCGAGCTTGGAGATTTCATGGTTCAACTTCTCACTGTCAGGCATCTGTTCTGAGCTACATAGAACTTTTGTCCCCAACGTACGACAAATTCGGCAACATCCACTCGTCAAACGTACACTCGGCTATACGGCTGTGCTGTCAAACGAAAATCACCATTGTCACATCGAACATGCCATCCGACTCTTGCCTCCCTCACCAACACGCCATGACATCCTCTTCACAATCATGCTTCTATGTAGTAGGCTTCTGCGGCCTGCTTCGCCTCGCCAAGCTCACAATGCATTCGAACCCTTGTCTTCGGAACCCTAGCAAGTACTCAAGGAGGTCATCTGTTGAATGGGTTGAATGGGCGGAAGATTCATTCTCTTTCTGGCTTCCTTCGCACAAGGCCGATCCCACCTCTGAAGGAAACAGAACTTTATTCCCCCAAGTCATCCAGTTTTTCCACCACTAGCCAAGATACCCTTTTCCCAATTCACCCACTCTACCGACTCGCAACTGGTTCTGACTGGTTCCTCCGCCGGTTACGTCGGTTCATCTCTGATGCTCATATCTCTGGTCAGTTCTTACGAGCTAGAGGTGCCACCGCTCTCGCTGATTCGGAAAAACCCGATTCTCCTCCAAGCAATGTTGACAAACCGCCAACAGAATCATCCTTGAGCAATCACTTGAGCCATACGCTCACTCCCATCTTGATGTTCCCCACATCTTAGCATCATCTCCTTTTCACTCTTAGCGGACTTTTCGTCGCCTTTAGTACGGTTCCCCAGCAGGCTCAGGCCGGAAATCCTCTCCTGACTCTGTTGTTCCGACGGGGCAACAAATAGTTATGTTATTTGTGACCAAGTGACTGATGGTATTTGAGATAAGAGAGAAGATACGATAGAACACCGAGTGCAGGAGTTAAACACCCAGAGCCCATGATACTATATTGTGATATCACCAAGGCCGATGTGGGAACGGTTGTAAGAGATCTCGAAGCTCCAGTTGCTTGCAAATAACATTGCATTTATGTTCCTTGCAGAACTTGTCAATCTCTTCACTTCCTCGATCCCAGCTACCCGACATTCCGGCTTTTCTGGATGTATGAAATCAGTTGACTACATAGAGCAATAGCAAACTTATGACATACGTATGTGCTTGAGGATCAAATAAAATGATTGACTTGTCAAACTGAACAATTCCTACAACCTATTTGAATAAATCCAGCCACAGGAGCATAAAGACAGCACATACCTTGTATGTCAGCTAACATATACTCACCGTTTGCATCTTCCACAACATGGTGCGCGAAAGCATCGATCATCATTCCCGCATAATCCTCATCATTCTGGCCGATTTCGGAATTACCAGAAAATCTTCGCTCTTTACAAAAACCCCCAGTGGGAAGCAGAGGAACAACAAGGAAGGTATTATACAATAGGCTCCGCTCATCACTCACATCGGAGCTGTTGACTGGTAAAGGACCTGCTGGGATGAAAGAAGTAGTCATCCCAATGAAAGCTCCATCCGAGTTATATGAGATGTCTATAGCTCAAACATAGTTAGATATTTCACAATTCACTGTTATTGACACTCACTGGGGAGAGTCGTGCTTAAAGTCATTTGTGTGCGCTCCTTGAATGATGCTGCAAATCCAGATGCTTGAGTTAAGACATCCAGTTCAGCAAGAAGATTTTGATGATTAGTTTCTGATGTTGAACCCTGGGGGATATACTGAAGAAGTGCAACATCATTGCCTTCGTATTTTGCCTAACATATGCCTATGAGCCGGAAAAATATCGAAATGTAGGCTCAATTGAAAATCACCCTGATTGCATACTTATAATATCCTTTCCCAAGATAACCACCACCCGGAAAACCTTGCTTTGAGTAGGAAAGCCAATTCTTCGCAATTTCAATTGTTTCGAGTTCCGAGAGTTGTTCCAGTGTTGTGTTACCATCTTGCGAGAGACGGCAAATGGTTTTTTTGAAGCTGTGAGTTTCATATTCAATTACTTGAAGAGGCGTAGCACTGGCATTCTTCGACCATCGACTTTGGTAACGGCTGCGGGGTTGAGGCTGAGACGGCGGAGGATTCGGCAATGCACGAGAGACTGAATGTAGAGTTGATTAGCATTGAATGAGAGATAGTATTACACACTCACCAGCATGCCCAACTACAGTTTTTCTTTTACGTCTATTGGAGGGCATTGAAGCTGAACCCAGCAATGATGGTGTATTGCCCTTGCAAAAATAAGTGATGTACATAGACATTGGGTAGAGGATCACATACCACATATTTGACTGGCACAACCAGCTGGAGGGTGATCCGGCGATCCTCAACATTTGACTTTGCAATTTTGCCATGCAAGTCAAGATAACTCAAAAAGCTCTCCAGAGAAGTACTGGGTTTCAACTCATGAGCTGAGAGTATATACTTGGATTTTCCACAAGTAGAGTGGAAAGCAATGCCCTCTCTAAAAATACCAAATTAGTGCTCAAAAATAAATGATTATATGAATGAAACTGACGAAGAAAAATTAGCCTCAGATCCTTCTGGCAATTTAGCTGCATATGGGCCAGTCACAAAAGCATGATTCAGTTGGCCTGTCAGCTGAGTGAGAACATCCAGAACAAGATCATTTGCTGGGAACGACTCTGTAATGGCCGGTATTTCACTCTATTAAATTGCAGGTTGATCATCAAATACCATTATCATGTAAAGTCACACCTTGATTTGTTTAACATCTTGCAAGTATGAGAGAAGATGGAGTGAAACTTCCACCTGGACTTTCTGTGCTTTTGATAATCGTTTGAGGTCAGCTTTTTTGTTTTTTATTCCCTGAGCTCGAGTGAGATTATCATTTTGTTTCGAAGAAGGCTGGTTGAGCCGGTGCTCAGAGGCAGATCGGGACCAGGACTCTGCACGCTCAAGAATCCTTGTAGTCGCAGTGTCTAGATCATAAAGTTGCATTATTCCCTTGTGTGTAACAGGGTATATAAAAAATACCTGAAGCTGAATTGCTGTCAGTTGCACTGCTTTCGACTTTGCTCAGATTTTTTTCACAAGGGCCGCAGAATTTTCCTCGGAGAAATCGATAATGAGCACCACAATGTTGACATTGGGGCTCATTCTGGGAATTAAATTAGTTGATGAGAGAAGACAAGCACCATGGGACGTACCTGAAGACTCTTGGTCTCAACATGAGACAGACTAGGGGCGGCAAGCTTTTTACATTTACCACAAGTAATACCACTCAGAAGTCCCTTGAACTCTATTCCACAGCCAGTGCAAATAACCATGGGCTAGTGTGTGGCTCTCATATGATCAAACCACGATCTTTTTATACATCGAGCATTCAGGGCAGGTTTGTTTCTTGTTCAGTCCGTCAGACTTGAGCATTGTCGAGCTCCATGTGCATCTGCACACGGAACTGGTGCCTGGACTCATTGTCTCAGATTCAGCAGTATTCCCTCAGATATTAGACATTTAGAGTATATTTATTTGTTTGTGTGCCTCGGAGTTCCTTGTTTGGTACTTATCTATATTTTCCCGACTTAGCTTCAGTGTTTCGAGGGTTCATTTGTGTGTTGTCTCTACTTTTATTTATCGCTCTTTTATATACATTAACTAACAATAAAATAATTGGTACAATATCATATACATGGAAGCATTTCCTGGAAAATATCCCAAACATTTGTCATGGTAAGCTTCGGATTACCTAGCTGGTCCACGAACACTGCTTGTGCTTTGGCAGCATAATCCCGACTCACAAATCTTATGAGATCCTCACCCCCAATGTTCTCCATGAGCTGTTTGACTATGGTACAATCAACTGGTAGGAGTCCATTTTCACCACCATATTTTTCATACAATGAAAATGAGACATTTGGTGCTAAACCGCTTGGTAAAGCTTTGCCGCGATCTTTGCGAACACGATGGTTGTTGAACGCATCTCGTAGGTGGTCCAATTCGGTCTGTATGAGTGTTGACCACAGCCAACGTGCCAGGTCACTAAAAAAAATAAGTTGGTAAGGTAATCCCGATCGGAGCTCTGAAACATACTAATGCTTTGAGTCTTCAGAATTGTACACTGTGCTACCAGCGTCCCAGAATATTTTGACATTTTCTCCCCACTCCAGCCTCAACCGCAACCATCCTCGCTCAATCGTAATATTGTGAATGCTCTGGAGAAATCGGTGTGCAGCAAGCTCCTCGATTGGAAGGTCGCTCACAAATGCCTCTCTGCATTCGGTGAATAATCTCAAACGCAATTGCCAGAAAAAGAGACATACCTCAATGCATTTGCAAATCCGTAAACTGATACTAGTTCCGATCCACAATCAGTTGTCATCTGTACCGGTATACCTATCAAACAAAAAGATAGTTGGTGAGGCAATCAAGCGGATATATGTATACTAACCTCCATACTCATGCACAAGTTTTAGAAATAGATATGCAATGGAATCTTTTAGGCGGTTATTTGGGACCACCCATAAACCTAGCCACTTCCCGCTCCATACATCTCGAACACCCCATATAGGAAAGCCGATTCCAGCAAGTTTATCATGACCATCACCACTCCATTCTTGATGAGGGCCGATACAGATGAGAACGCTGCGGGAAATTTTTTTGGATGCTGGTTCACGCGACTGAAAACCCTCGGGATCCTGAGCGCGCATAGTATTTTCCACATACAGTCTGGAATTTGATTTAGAGATTTTATGAAAAGTACCATTAGCTCGCACCTGGTTAAGTGTATTCCCTGGTCTAACGCTATCCGCTCCTTGATTATACGAGGCCCGCGCTGGCCATTTGGATCCTTGGCCATCTCATCAAATACTGCCTGCCTTTTGTCAATCTCAGGCATGGTTGCAGTTGTGACTCGACTGGCTTTGATTCTCCAATGAGATTTATGGCGTGTTACAGAAGATGCACTACGGTGAATTATTTAGGATAGCCAATGAATTGTAATTGAAACTTACCTGAGTGTAATACCGTAGTCAGATTTTAGCAATTCCGATATGGTTCTCTTATCCGTGATATTTCTACGATGATAGTCAAGCAATGCTTGGTGCACAGTTTCATCTCCTATTGGTGCTACAACAGTGCAGTTATAAGACTCGGCCATCATTCAAAACGAATTATTAAAAACTAACGGCGATGCTTGTACTGATTCGTACCTCGCCAATTGTTATTGCCATTCCTAGGGATTTGAGTTGAAGAGCCTGCAGCGGGCATGTCCTGACTGTTCTCATCTGGATCTCGAACATCGGTGGGGTCGAGCATTGAGGCAATCTCAGCCTCAGAATCAGACATCGGTCAACGTCAAAGCACAAGATCGATACGATGACTCCTTAAGAAACATAGCCACTATGATAATCTAAGCGCTCTACTCTATAGTCACCATTGTCACAGTGCCCGTCGGAACAACAGAGTTAGGAGAGGATTTCCGGCCTGAGCCTGCTGGGGAACCGTACTTTAGTCGCCTTTCCGCTAAAACTCAATCAGATATCTCAAAATGTGTAAAGACTCAGTGTTATGTACATCCAACTCGCAACGTCCTGTATATTCAGGAGTCTTCATTGTTCCGATCCAAATGTCGTTATTCGCTCAACATTCGTTTTTCAACTCAACCTAGCACACACATTCTACACCGTCACTTCCAAGGCTGCAGGAGGACATGGAAAGAGGCATGCTGCGAGAATATACATTATAGTAACGGTAAAGTAAGGAAGAGTGGTAGGGGTGGGCAGCGCTCACAACTCATCTATACCGACGGGTTTCATTGATATCTTTGATCTGCTGATAGGTCACCTATCCTTCGCTTACCTGGATTCCTGAAAGAAAACCGGAAAAAGAAGTGTATAAGAACAGACGGAAGAAGTCTCCTATTGTCAACGTCTTCTTCTGACCTCACTTGTACCTCGTCTCCGGCTGGACCGGTGACGCTCTTCATTTTTGCTACTTTCAGAACGAGCACGAAATCAAAATTTCCTGCCGCACCTATGCTTTTCCTTACCACACTCCTTCCTTTAATCACCCTCGCCTTGCGAGTCGCTGCGGCTGATCTTGAACAAGGCATACCGCTAGGCAGTGTTTCTCACCCTGCAAATGTACATCTCTCTCCTCCAACCTACAGGGAGGCCCTCCGAGCAAATCCTATCATCCCCTCTGGCCCTCCTCCAACCTACAGGGAGGCACTCGGAGCAGATCCTACAATCCCTACTATACATTATGGCAATAATGCACAACAGTCAGTGTCTCATCGTTGCCTGGAGGAGGTGACTCAACGGGTGCCTCATGCAACGAATCTGGAGGTGTTTGTCGGACGAGCTGCAGAGGCAAAGGACAGGTTGGACAAGTTTCTCAATAAGCCTGAGTGCAAGATCGCCGTAGTTGCTGCCGGCCTCGTTGTTCTGCTAATCTATGCGGGAACAGGGTGTCACTGGGCGGATGAGGCTATACACTGTCGGCGTCGGCGTCGGAATGAACTTGGGGATGGTCATAAAATTGAACAGTGCGAGCGTTTGCCGATAGAGATAAATGCTTGTAGCAATCCATCCCGAACGGTAAGTTAATGCTTCGAAGCATTGTCGATACTCGCTCAACATTGAATTCTCAACTTAGGACACGCATCTTTCACCCGTTGCTTCCAAGGCTCCTGGAGGACACGGAAAGAGGGATGCTGCGAGAATGTCATATCGCCGCCGTCTTGAGTTGGAGTGATCAGACGGGGAGGATGGCTGATGGAGAGGGAGGTGCTAGTAATTGCGGCGAAGAAGACGAGGGTTGGTGCACTTAATCTTTGCTTGTAGTGTCGAGTTTGTGGTGAAATGTGAATTTGCGGTGACAGAGGCGTTTTTCGGGTGTTTCTCACAAACCTCTTAGCTCAATCCCTCGATCCTCTATACTCTATGTTCCATCATAAGTAACTACACTTTTCTTGTGAAAATGACTACAACTTTGGCCTAGAATACTGTGCTCATGACTGTCTCCATTATGGGGAGAAAATTTACAATTGGTATCTTCTCGTACGAGCGGTATCTTCAATTTCTAGACACTCAGGCTGACAACCCACATTTGAGGACAACGAAGAGGGAGGGGAACGTATTGACAAGCGACGAACAAAAAGATCTTGGGATGCAGACGGGTGTATGTAGGCCAGACAATTATTCCGGCGTCCTTCATTCATCGTTAACATCCCTCCATCACAAATACATAGCTCAGCACTATGAGAGAGAAGGTAAGGTGCATGCATCGACGTTCAACGTTCAATGCTCCCTTCTGCACTGCCATTCAAGTTCGCTACCACTGCCACCGCCTCATCCTCCGCGAGTCACCCTGATTCCATTCCATTCCACATCCTTCTGATCACACCAGCTCGAGACGACGGCGATAGGACATCCTCCCAGCATCCCTCTTTCCAGGTCCTCGTGAAGCCACCTTGGACACGACAGATTGAGAAGGATGTTTAGCCTGATTTCGAATTAAAATTTCATTGAAGTGGACGTTACAGTAATTGATCACACACAAACTCACCGTTAGAGATGTATCGCTCTTACAAGCTTTTATATCCCAACGCTCGCACTTCTGAGGTTGCAAGGTTTTATCAAGATTCCTCCGATGCGAAGAGGTACAGGTTTTAGAATGACAGCCTGACCCTGGATAGTGGGCTAAGACTACAGCTGCGACTACTACTGCGCCGGTCACTATCACAGCAGCACATAACAAATATGCCATTCCATGATCAGATAAATTTTTCGCATAGTCGACCACCACCTCCAAATTTGATTGGTGCTCCGGAGTCAATTGTATCGCTCTTGCGAAGGCCTGTCGTCTCAAGGCGTCTTCACAGCCGGGAGGCATCCGCACTGGAGGTTGGGGGCCGTGACTGTGAAAGGATGTCGAGATAGGAGGCAGATAAGCAGGAGGCATGGGATTATTGCTTCCAGGAGCCTCGGTATAAGGGGGAGGCTCATCATGGCCCTGATGCACTGGATGTACAGCTTCAGGGTAAGTTGGAGGAGGAAGATCGTGAAGCGGAATTGAGTCATGACTAGTCGCAGCGACGTGCACGGCGAGAGTGAACAAGGGAAGTAGCGTGGTTAAGAAACGCATAAGGAGGGATATCTGGGTTTCACAGGTAGTGGAAATTAAACAATTATCGCCGGTCCAGCCGGAGACGAAGAGAAGATGAGAGGAAGGAAGTCTGAAGAGAAAATGCAAGCGTTGGGTTCATATACTTCGTAGGTTTACGATTTTTATCAAAGCTATCGTTCTGACGAAACCCGTCGGAATAGATAGATAGATAGATACACGGCGCCATCCAAGGATGTGGTCCCAAACGCGGAACAGCCGGTCTCGAGGTACTGGCGGCAGCGAGCTCAACCCGCAAGGAGAAGGTAGACTACCGCCAGGTCAACGAGGCAGAGGTACATAGTACAAGGATTAGGAATAGGACGAGATAGGACGACGTCAATGGTAAAAAGCGGGGATCACAGTTCCCAATCAGAGGCTATCAGAGGCTGATGGCGATGCATGATTAGTATCGAAATAGGGCAGGTCATATTCTGCTTCTGAAAGGGCTTATAACGAAGAGACTTATCTCGGTGTCGATTTAGTAGCCATCGTCGTTTCTCTGCATCCGGGCGATGTTTGCAGAGGAATTCCAAGACTGCAACAACGTATGATGCGTGATCAGTACCGAAATGGCAAATGAAGCCCGATAGTTCTGGGGATGGACCCCGAAAGGGGTAGAGTGAAATGTGGCACCGTAGGGCAGGATCGGAACCGGTGGACAAAAACCCCGCTGAAGAAACACGCCCAGAAGTTAGAACCACCGATTACCGAACACCTGAAAACTTGCTCCTGGACGTGGACCGGGCGAGTGGGTAAAGAAAAGGACTGATCTACGTCCTATGTAGCACGGATTCCCAGCAATTGCGCAAGTTTGGGCGCTTCCTCTCCACGTTGCCAGACAGTTTAGAGTTCTGCGTCCTGGTGTCTATCAGTGCCAATAGGTGCCAATTCAGGCTAGCATTCCTTTCAAATTTGGAGATGCTGGTCACTGGTAACCCCCTGCAGCACCTTGCCTCTTTCAATATCTCATGTTGGGGCATTTCAGCGTTCGGAATCGATTTTGATAGTTTCTGTCCTCAATATATGCAAGTACATCCCTAGTTGAACTTTTGGAACGACGCGGGACGACTACATACATAGCGCGGGATGATCATATCATGAAAATTATATTCCTCTGCAGTGCAGACTGCATTTGATTTTTCCTTACAATCTTTTCCTATACCGTTCCGAATTCACGGGTGAATTTTTGGATGTATGTACTGGTGGAAACCGTTGTAGATCATTGATGGATTGCTACGGGTGCCATGCGTGTCGACCACAAAGTACGAACAGGGAAGGTTTGCAAGCTCCTGCGATGATGCACACCCGCAAAATCACATTCTTTCTGAAGCCTCACCGAGTTGTTACTGGAAATCGAATTCATTGTCATCCAGAGATCATCATCGTAAGTTAATCAGACGAAGTTCTTGTTCGCCCTCTTGGCATAGACTCATAGACGCCGGGCAACTGACAACGAGCATACGAGCATGTCGCGAGTATATATAGTAGGTCAAGTTGTTGAATAACCCCCACCTTCTTCATCCTTCAGACGATTGACTGATTTTCGTTTTTTTTTCTTTTGTTCGTTTCGTCTCGTCTCGTTTTCTTTTCTTTCGTTTCCCTACCTCCATTCTTCCGTTCTTTCCATTCATTTGTTCGTTTTCTTTCGCCCCGGCTGGCTTGATCTTACTGAATTTTCAAACACACCTCTTCGTTCCTTATCCTCGACATCAACAATCTCTTTATTTTTTGGTCTCTGACTGGACACCCAATCCCATGGCTTTCCTCTTCTCAGGATCCACGTTATCCATACTCCTTGCTGGTTCAACCATCATCACTTCCGTGTCCGCGGTGAATGACTGGAACACACCCTGTTTCGATGGGACCTGTCAATATTCTCTCACCGCTTTGCCTGGTCAGAACGGGTCGGGGACTATGCAGATTGTGAGTAGAATTTCAAAGTATCATGTAACATGTTTACCTAGAGTGGATCTCTGAATTCCCGTATCTTCCTTCTCACTCTTGCTTTTTTTCCTCCCGGCTCGACCGAACTCTTGTCACTAACCTCCTTCAAACAACCTTGCCTCTCATTCACCCACTCACCTTATCCCTAGTGGGGCTCATCCAACGCGATCTCCGATATAACCACCGCTGCAGGATGGGAAATTCTCAATTGCTCAGCTACCGCGATGGCTCAGGATATCCGTCTAGTGTGTATGAGCAGTGATACGGAGGGAACTGGATGCGATCATTTATTTCAAGCTGGTGGGGCGGAGGGAAAGTTGGTTAGGTTACCGGAAGATGTATGTTCTCTTTCCCTCTCTTACCTTGCTTTCCTTTTCGTGATCTCATGAAATCCTCAAAATATCGACTCGAATGTGAATTCGTTTTCGTAGTGTGGAATGAGTCCGTTTGCGCGAGTTGCTCAGTCTTATGTATCTGGTGATCAGTCGATTCCTGCGGGCATTTCTGCACGGTTCGTCAGAAGAGATGGGGAAAATGGGACTGGCAGTGGTAATAGTTCCTTACCTCAAGTCCAAGGTTTATCGCTGGATACGAATTTCAGTGCGGTTGATCCGTCTAGGTGGGTCGACTATTACTTACTGTATATGTGATCAATATTCAATCTCCAAATCGCTGACTTGACTTTTGTGGTGTCCTGTCGTTATTGAATAGATACGGAAACATTAATATCGCTGTCCAAGGAGCCAACTTTGCTGGTGCAGATGTTAATGGGACCTTAGTGTCCACTGCTACCGCAAAAAGAAGGAGTGGATTGAGCTATAATGTCAGTGCTCGAGATTTATCGGATTTCGTTGGAAATGCTATTGATTGTAAGTGTTCATGAACGATATTACATAAAAGTTATCTTATCCTCTGCTTATCATATTTCTTGTCGCTCTCCTCAATATCCAGCCATCAAGTCCCTCTCTTCATTCAACACCACAAAAACCATCTCTCTTCCCCCTGTTAGCGTCGATAAATCGGCAACTCTCCTCAATAAAGACATCAAATGCGGGAATGTCGATATCAACGTGGACTTGGGTGTAGACGGCAAAGCTCAGGCGCAAATAAGCCTGGGTGTGGCTGCGCAAGGGACAATTGTGCCTCCAGACTTGAATGATTTTGCGGTAACGGTTGGGATGGATGCGGTTATTGATGGAACCGTGGATTTGAGTGCGGGAGTTTCGGTGAATTTTGTTATTTTAAGGCCCAACGGTAAACAACTGACTGATGCTTCAATGTGTAGACTACATTTGACACTGGCAAGATTCAAGTTGTGCCGCCCCTTGGGATTCCGGGGTTAGATTTTCCTGGGTACGTTTAGCCCTGATATTCGTATTCTCTACCCCCGCTCACAATTTTATGTTATCCACTGGCACTCCCTCGCTCCCTCTAGTATCCTCACCATCGGACCTAGCTTCGACGTTCAAGCCGAAGCTACCGCAAAACTCGACATAGCAGCAGACTTGAAAGTTGGAATTGTGTATAATATCTCAAATGCCCAGCTAGTGTTCCCAGATAAGAATAATCAGAGTGGAGGAAATTTCGGTGTTGGCGATACTCGTACGTTGTCGCGTTTATTTACTATTGGCCACCTCATCCATTTTTCATTGTGCTTTCCCTTTCCCACCAGCTCTAACTCTCTCCGTAACCCCTTCCGTCAAATCTACCGGATCCCTTACCGCACACTTGATCCCAAGTCTCAACCTTGGCATACAAGCTCTAGATAACATTGCTTCGGCAACGGTGTTTTTAGATCTCGACGCTAGTGCTACCATGCAGCTCTCTTTGGATGCTGTGGATAGTGCAAGTGTCAGCGTCGATAATGGAGAGTCTTCGTCGAATTCCACTACATCCACATCAAATTCTACAAGTACTGCGAGCTCTACTAACAGTGCCGTCTCTGCTTACTACTCCGTGTCCTCTGGCTCGAACTCCTCCGCCTCATCTTCTATTGACTCTAGCAACGCAAATATCTACTATTACAACTTTTTCAGAAGAAGCGCATCGGCTGCTCCAACCACAACGAAACCAACATCCATTCCTCAGGCTATATCATCTGCGAAGCTAGCTGCTTCTTCTGCTTCCGCGTCCGCTTCGAAGACGACGAGCAGTAGCGTTAGTAACTCGACTTCTTCCGCTGGCAATTCCACATCTGCTAGTACCGGGAATAGCTCGAGCTCAAGTACTACCACTACCACATCTTCAACCGGTCTGCAATTCGGCGGATGCGTCGAGATCGACACCGGACTAGCTGTAAACGCAGGCGCAGACGCCAAATTCTTCGATCTCTTCGACGCTAGTACGCAGGTCCCGTTGTTCAGTAAGGAATTTGTGTTGTTCAAGGTAAATACTGAGTTAATGTTTATCATATTTCAAAGTAAATTTATGAGTTTGTGTTGTTGTCTATCTAGAAATGCTTTGGGAATGGAAACGCTACAGGTTCTGGCACGCGAAGACGGCGGTCTCCCTCCTCATCCTTCTCATCTCTTCCTCACCAGTTGACTCGGTTGAGCAACCGTGCAGCAGCAGCAGCTCCAGTCGCCGCCAACTCGACCGCATCCTCCAGTTTGGCATGTCTAGCTAGCTCTGCAGTTTCTCCTCAACCGATAACAGGGACTATTCAAATTGGTGGTGCTACGTGCGTTTTCTGCTGTTCCTTCAACGCACCTTCGTTTTGATGAATTTGACTCTTCCTAGGGTTACAATAAAGCCAGCTTGACCACCGTCACAATTATCGGAAAACTGACTGTAGGGTGGAAGAAGAGGCAGAGAATGTGTGAGGGTTTGTTTTGATTATACCGTACAGATGAGGATATATCGGACTGTCTTTTCTGACTCGTTTTTGGCGTAGGATTGTGTAATGTACATAGGAACGCAATGAAGAGCTCGAGCTTATGCTGACAGTCTCGTTCTCTTCTTCAATCAGCCCTGATGCGTCAAGACTGAAAGCCTGGATCCCGGTTTCGCAATGCGAGATTGACGGCATCACCCTAAGCCACCAAGAAGACAGAAAATAGCGAGAGAGTTGGGATAGGATGTGCGAAGCCCGTGGATGGGGTTTTGGACATGGAGGTATAACATCCTTCGCTTCGTGAGCCCACCCCAGGCTAGAGTATAAGATGAGCTTTCACCCCTCATAGATGACGCCCCAAGGAAGAGTTCTTATCTGATATACTACTTTCTTGACCTATGAGGAGGAGCTCCAATGGATCAGCGGGAACGGGGAAATAGAGTGCACGAAAGACAAGGAACCCAAGGCTGTGGCGTAGGTATAGTTCAGTGGAAGATCCCTTGGTACTGCTGTGAAAAAGCATGAGGTACAATATGCTTCAGCTTGAATAATGTAACGAAAACGGATTTTCCGAAGAGCTGCGGGAGGTCGAAGTTTTTCCTAGGGCGTGAAGAAGGAAGACTACTAGCGGGATTGTTGAGAAGGACGTTCAGAGTAAAAGCGTCGTAAGCAGCGGTGGCAGGTGGGCGTCTTCGATTTATTCTTAGTTCGGATATTCCTGAGTATCCGTAGCCTCACCATTCTTCATTTCAAGCAACATAAAGAAGAAGTTCGGGACTGAGTGAATCGGAATGGGACTCGGAGCGCCCGAAAACTGGTCCGTGCGCCTGAGGAACCTTCTGGGAACCTCGAGATAAATGCTCTTCACGTCGCATTAAGCAATAATCGTACTCGGCTCACGGGATATCAATGCAGGATAATGTGACAACAATTGGACTGAGGGAAAGCCAGTCAAAAAAGCAAAACTCAGAGCTGTGAACGTGCAAATTTTGAATGTGCAGCTCGTCGACAAATCCTTTCATTGGTTTCTTTCCTCCCTCGGACCCTTGCATTTCAACCATAATGCCAACCCCGTCTTCATCGCTGATAGTGTGCGCACGTAATCTATTCTTATGATTTTTTCCTGCTTACCTTTTGAACCAAACACAACATCAAATATCTCCGCACGTATATAACGGTTTACGACCACTACAGGAGGAAATCTTTCTAATTGAATGGTAGACATTACCTTAGGAAGCACCTGTGTTTTACATCTTGCCTGGTACGAGATTGGGCGTATGATCTTGAGTGGGTCCATCTTCAGATGCTGATTAACTTTAATCGGCAAGCTCGGGCACCATTATATAGAACAATCTGCACCCGTCCACACACAAAAACACATCCGATACACCTACCTCCTCCCGTATCTTTTCCGTCTCGAACCACAGACTACCATATCTCCAAATTTTGCACCGGCCTTTTCTCCCGCGTTTCCATCTCTGGAATTCAATGGATTACTTCTCTCTCTTTCCTCTGGTATGCGCTTTGATAACCAGCTTGATAGCCTACCAGTATTGGAGAAGTTTACAGGTAAATGTGCAGAGGTCTTAGTCAAGAATTGTCCTCACACGACTCATTAGTTTGTACATTTTATGCCTGGCCTACGGCCTCTCCTATCGCCTCTCAGCCCATTTGGCATGCTGCTGCCTAATCACAATTTACTGAATCCTGGATCAACGTGGTATTGGAGCGCGAGGAACTCGTGTAAGCCAAGGCTCTTTAAACGAAAGTATTTTCTTCACTAACTGTAACAAGCAGCGTATCTCAATAAGACACATGATATAATCTCAATCGTCCCTCTCCTGGGATCTGTCAGCTATTACACCTGCTCATTCGATGTCATGAAGCAAATTCTCAGTGCGGATATCAGACTTCAAATCGAAAAGCCGTATGACATGACACTGGAAAGGTCTTCGAATTTTTCATAAACTTCGGAGAGATTCTGATTCGGTTCGTTGAATTTATGATAATCATAGGCTGTTTGGTCCAAGTCTAGCGTCCGTTAATGGTGAATCATGGCGCCGGCACCGTCGAGTGGTACATCCTGCTTTCAGTAATAAACTGCGAGTCCAAAACCAATCTTTGTCTGATAATTTCTCATCCAGTGTGACCTTTTACAGTTATGAAAGTATCGGGAACGAAGTCGCCAAAATTTACCAGTCGATGATGGAATCAGAGGATTGGCGGGATTGCAAGCAAATAGACTTTCTGGAATCTCATAATTTCATGTTGAAGGTAAGTAGCGTTGTCCCTTCAAGCTCAAGGCTCAATTTCGATTCCGTCATCATTCGTTTATGTAGTTCACACTTTGTATCATCTCAAAATGTGGTTTCGGGATTGACGCTTCCTGGAATGCTATTTCAAGTTCGGAGAAACTAGAAACACACCTGAATCACCTTCAAGCTCAACATTATCGTCAGAAAGGTTTCACTCTTCCAGAAGCTTTGCGAATTGTATCTCAAACCCTCATACCCCGGATCATTCTCCCAAACTGGGTCTATGCTGTGCCTATCGAAGGGTAAGTTTTCTCGTCGTGCCTGGATCTCCTTACTGACCGACATTCTATCCTATATTGTTAGACTGCAAAGAATGGGTGAATCATGGAATGATCTCTCATTATACATCAGGACCGCTATAAACGACAAGGACCTTGTGAATCATGTTTTTAAAGATGGAGATACTCAAGACCCCCGGGAATGTAACAAAGATAACCTTCTTACACGATTGGTTACATCGTGGACTCTCTCCAAGTCTGAAAAGTATAGCTTGTCCGAGAATGAAGTTGTGCGTGATTTTCCTTTTCCGTCATTGTAACCTTCCCCCACAGTCTGATTGCGTTGCATATATACCTCTATAGATTGGCAACATGTACACCCTTATGTTTGCAGGTCATGGTGAGTTTTGAGAGGTACTCTTAATATCATGTGCCACCTACAATATCTATATCAGAAACAACTGCCAGTGCACTCGTCTCGGTCTTTGCGCTTCTAGCCATTCACCAGGACATTCAGGAGAAGGCCTTCAACGAGATCACTGTTGTACAGGCTGCACCGACTTTCGAATCGAAAGTGAGTTTGAAATTCCTCCTTCCAAATCCTACTTAGTTAATTATGACTAACAAATAATCGCAAAAAGAATATCGACGTCAATAAAATGACTTTCACAAAGTTTTGTCTGTGGGAAGCATTAAGACTTTATCGTGAGTCCCGTTTCTCGTCGTTTATCTCCCTTGAATGTTTATGACTTGTAGCCAGCGCGAATTTCTTACCTCGGGAACTCACACAAGATATGACGGTGGATGTTCAAATGCCTGGCCCACAGAAGGTGATATTGCATAAAGGAAGTTGGATCATGTTTGATCTTATCAGCATATGTAAGTTGGTTTCCCGCTTTCCTATAGTTGATCCACTGACCTTTTAGATAAATGTTCCAGTCCGCAACCCACATACTTTTCCTCAACCAAATGATTTTAAACCAGAGCGCTGGAATGGAATAGCCGAACATGAAGTGGGGATGTTTGGAGTAGGTCCTAGAGCCTGTATCGGTATGTGGATTGGACATTCCACCATGTAGTAATCATCCGTCATTCTTAATTTAGGTCGCAAATTCGCTCAAGTGGAAGCACTTCATATACTCTCGATTATATTGACCAGTTGGAAGATTGATATTCTTACTAGGCCTGACGAGAATCGGGAGATGTACAAGGAACGCGTACTGGATGATGCGGGACAAGTTGGCACGGCATTTGGATTGAGGAGCGTTCCACTAAGGTTGATCAGACGTTTCTGAGAGCTAGGAGCGCCCGAGAAATCATATCTTCTATTGCTTTTCCTCCTCCTGCGGAATGTGTTATGAATATCTAGGTACCCTTGAATAAACTGAGGAATATATTGCACAAGGAGAAACGAGCTCGTCAAAAGCTAATAATGAATACTGTGATTCTACTGTTGTAAATACAGCCGAGCCACATATACGAGACTATGGTACATGGGTCATCGAACCTAGCATGTTGAACAATTCGGAGTTCTTGTGAGAGCAAGGCTATGCTAATCACACTCAGAACTTGCTGAGGACCTTCTGCTTCACATCTTCAAAAGTCAACAGTCCCGCAAGCTCACTTTCGACCCATTCTCTCGCCTTCTCTATCAGGCCCAGTATCTCCTCCCCGACACCAACGCCTCCGATACGCATTTTCTCCATCCAGGCCCACGTTAAAACTGTCGCACCAACATTTCCACTCACATCCACAGCAGCCAATTTCCTCTCAACTTCCTGCACGGACTCGTTGATCTCTAGAAGAACCAGGAGTGGTGAGGTCAAGGAGAGCTGACCGTTGAATTTCTGTAAACGAGCGATGGCGGTGAGACGATCACTAGTAGTTATGTCTGTTGATGATTTTGATGCGGGAGAGGTAGAAACAGGAGAAAGAGAAGCAACAAAGGCAGTAGTAGGAGTGGTGAGAGGGGTAGTGGCAGGAGCAGTACGGGCAAAACCAGCAGTCCGTAGTTGTCCCGTTCGTTCCCTTTCCCGTTCCACTACCCGCCCCCGTGCTTGCTGTCGTGTCTGCATAGATGGCGTATAAGTCGATGATGAAGAAGGGCCTGAAGCAGTCGCCGTTGGATCTGAAAACGATGATGGTGATGATGCCCCGTTCAAGTTCATCCTCTTAACCGGCCGATCGTTACCATCCGAGTCACTGATACGTTGAAATTCTGACACGTCGACACTGGACTCTGCATTCCATGATTGAGGTGGACCCCACGCAGGGGGTGGTGGTGGTTTCCCGGAATACAACGGTCTTGGTTCCAGAAGCTCAACAGCGAAAGAGGATGACGAGATGGAAGCAGCGGCCTTCCTCGCAGCTCTGGGAGCCAATTGTTTCCTCGCAGCCTTACCACTTCCCGCCCGTTGACTTTGAACAGCCATCCGTCTCTGTGAAGCCAAGAAACCAGAAATCGGAATGACATTACTTGTCGAGGAGAATACTGACTCAGCAGTGGGATTACCACTACTACCCTCATGAGATCGGTGGTCCACGGCAACGAAACTCGTAAGTTTGCTGGCAAGACTATATGTTGTCCCAAGACGAACAATCTCTTTATTCAAGTAAGCCTCCTTTAACTCTTGATCGTTCTGGAACTGGCCAGCAATGGAATCAGGGAACGCATGCTTACCGTCCTGACGGTCGATTATGAGAGCTTTAGCAGCGATGACGTGAAGGAAAGGCTGCGAGTTGACATTGCCGAGACCGCTGTTCAAGCCAGTATCATCTCCGGATTGGGGTTGAGTTCTTGGTTTGAACGGAGAACGCAAGATTCGCGATACAGGCACGACGAGCTCAACAGGAGCTCGGGTCGTACTCACAACGCCTTTGATTTTGACAGTCACTGGAAGCTCCTCACCTTTTGTCCCGCTCTCGTTCTGAGGAGTGCGGACAATGGCGTACACCTGAGTCCTCGTACCAGGAAAAATATTCCTCAGGATTAGAGGAGATTGTTGAATTTTAGGAGGAGGTGGAAGTTGAGGGTCCGGTGCTGGAGGAGGACCAGTGGCTTCACTCATCACTTTGTCATCACCATCATCATCATTGTTGAACAGGCTGACTGCAGACACAGGCACAAGACTCTCAGTCGTGGCCTGGATACCCTTCCCCGGATTGTCCACAATCTCAAAATCGTCGTTACTAACACCCTCGATTCCATCCTGTTCTCCATGATCCGCGCCCTGATCTCCAGTCCAGTCTACCATAACATCCACCACCATCGGTGTTCTCGCCGCCCTGACCACTCTGGCACACTTCCCAGCGACAGGTTCTCCCTGTTTAACATACACGGCGAATCCATTCCCCGCACGAGCGATACTATCACATGTATCTGAAGAAGCTCCGTCGCCGATGCCAACGGTGAAAACACGGATAAAGGACACCGGATCGTTGGAGTCGGGTTTAGAAATTGGAAGGGTAGAGATCGCGTTCTGAGTGTGTGAGACACAGGTGGGAACATCCCAGGCGCTGCCGTCTGTGAGTAGGATGACTGCAACAGGACGGGCGAGAGGTTTGGGTAGGGAAGAATAGACGAGGGATAAAGCTGAAGCAATTTCGGTACCGCCATAATCAGCTTGCATCGAGCTATAGAATGTCATATTATATAGAGACAATTAAGTTCAAGCATAGAAGAGACTTACTCAACATGATTTGTCGCTTCTTCCAAGCTGGTTTGAGAATACTGTCTGCTAACGTCCCACAGCTTTGTTGCCTTCGCACCGAATGAGACGATGTTGAACGTGGTCCCAGACGTCGGAAGGCCACGGAGTAAAATGACAAGGGCCTCCTGCACCAATCTAATCCTCTCTCCTTTCATACTCCCGCTACGATCAACAACAAACACGTACTCCACCCCACTTTTTATATCAGGGAGCGTGAACCTTGGGACGAAGGTTAAAGCCATCGCAGTCGTCTCATGATTCGGACTAGGATGCTGTTCGATGAAACATCGAGGAGAGTCAAGACCGCCGGCGTTTATCACCAGGACGACATCCTGCGTGAGGAAGCCTGAGGTATCTGTAAGGGTGACTAAGGCGAAAGAAGGTGATTTATCTTCCGATTCGTCTTTCTCCGGAGATACAAGGCCGTCAGGAAGTCCGAGCTCAAGCTGGATTGGATGTGCGGAGGGACAGGAGATGCTCTTTATAACGCCGGATTGCTGTACGATGACTTTCATGTTGAACGGTTGGTGCACCGTCGTTCCGCGGGCACTATTGTCTGTCGGTGCCTGGCCATATCGTTGTGCATATGTACGAGGAAAGATGAATTTGACTTGATCTTTCTTCTCGTCATCCGTAAGTGGTTGAATGTAGTGTAAGTTGATCTCTACAGTCTCTGAAGGAAGAACATTGCCGACCGTGATAGAGAACACTGTTTGGGAAACTCGTCAGCAATTTTTTATCAGCGTTGAAAAACGAGATACTCACCGTCTTCTGTTTCTTGTTGACCCAGGCTAGCAGTCTTTCCGGCCTGGATAGCCTGCTCGTATTCCTTCTTCGCAGCCTCATTCTCCTTCACAACACCCTCCACCCGCGTCCCATCTTGCTTAATCATCTCAAACCCGCAGACAGCGGCACCAGCCATCAGGCCGAAGGTATACACCGCACTCGAGATAGTCGTGTACGATGTATTCGTGAAACGCTGCGATAGATTTACCGAGGCATGAATGTCCGCGATGAGTACCTGCGCCGAGGAGCCATCTAGAATGAGATCTTGTCCGGTAGCGGCGTCATATAGGCGACAATCGCCCAGAGTGGGGGAACGAATCTTGGTTCTGGCCATGATTTTGTTTGGTTTGAAATGAAGCGAAAAAAACCTTTATATACCTTGTTGGCAGCGCGGAACCGAAAGAAAAGATAACACATGTTGCTATTTTCAATACATGGCATATGACTCTGTGGGTAATTGCTGTAGTATGACTTGGAGGGGAAGGGAATGCTGTACAGAATTCTAAAATTTTTGCGATGGTTCCATCGACGACAGGGGAAACTAGGTAGATGCGATTAGAGAGATAATCGATAAGCTGGTAGGATGTATAGGCGGGCTATAGGGTATACATGCTTGAGCGTGGATGAAGCGAGAAAACGACTAAAACAGGCCTGTCGAAAGCGCTGGTTCAACGCGTCAATTTCGAAGTCGGAGTGCTGACCCTGGAGGTATAATGTGTACCCGGGTTTGCGAGGATGCACAGAAAAAAAAAAGTAGTAGCATTTATTCTTCTCCGATATCTTCATTCCATTCCTGAAAATAAAAAAGTCAGATGCTGATTTGTATTGATCCAACTTGCGACATACCTCTGGTTTTTCACTAATGAATTTTGCCATTAGTTCCTTACATTCCTCATTATCGAGGACCACAACTTCTACGCCGTGGCTTCTCAGCAGATCCTCTCCTCCCATTGAAAATGTCTTGTTTTCTCCAATGACCACACGCGGGATCTTGTACAGCAAAATCGCACCGGTGCACATGCTGCAAGGACTAGATGATTTCTTAGTCTCGTCGCGTAAATGATGCCTTCGTCTTAACTGACCTGAGCGTTGTATACTGTCCATAATCATAATCACCTTCAATAATCTTGAACATAAAGCAAGCAGCTTACAATCGTGGCGTCTCTGTACACCCCCGCCTTCAACCTTCCAGCATCTTCGAGTGCAGCGATCTCCCCATGAAGAGTCGGAGATGATTTCTGTATCCTTTGATTGTGGCCTGCACCCAGAATCGCACCATTAACGCTGAGCAGTGAGCATCCGATTGGAATTCCGCCTTCGTTGAAGCTTTTTCGCGCTTGAGTGAGGGCAATTTGTATTCCGACTTGGTCAATTGAGGACATAGCGACTAAAAAGGGAAGTAGAATATTTTCCCACGATTCATCTTCACCCAGCACAAGCTAAGCTAAGCTAATGTCAATGAAAGGCTCAACGTTTGAACGTTTTGAACTCTAGTTCTAATTGAATATCAAAGTCACAAAAAACTACATCACAGCGCAGCTTAGCACCTTGCGACAATTTTCCAAAGTTTTCGTTTCTGAATCCTTCAAAGACTGCAGCGCGAACTCTTTTTGCTTCAACTCTTTCTTCAACTGCTTCAACCTCCTCTTCCTCTGTATGGTAGTCAATGGGTCCCGGTTATTCCGAATATCTCCTTCTGCCTGCTGAACCGCGTCCCTTGCATCCCTCACAGAATTTTCCAACAGCCTCTCTTTCCGAGTTATGTTCGCCTGTATTATCCTCGACCTCCCTTCTTGTTCTTTCTTCCTCCGATTCGCCTCTCGTTCCTTGTCCCTCTTTACCTCTTCCTCCCCCTTTACCTCCGTCTCCTTTCCTTTTCCCTTTGTCGCTCCCTTTATCCATCCATTCAATTTCTTTCGGGCACCTTGTCGGAACTTGATCAAACAAGGGATGCCATCGACTCTGCCATCATCGTCGAAGACCAAACGTGACAGTATCTTTGTCGGAAAATCAAATCCATTGTGTGGCGAATCAAACATTATAATCATCCCATGCGCTTGATACCAGTTATCAAAGTCGTGTCCGGTCCAAGGATGCATTGAATACCCAAAATCCATGAGTGGGACGCCGTTCGTCTCTGGGTATCGGAATTCTATCACTTTTCCATCTTCGTGCTGTGCTTTGAAACCATAGAAACGATCGATGACAATTGCTAAGCTGTTGTCTTTGCTCTGGAAGAATTCGACTGGCCAGATTTCGTCCGGGACTGGGGACAGATGATGGTCAGATACTTGTTCATCGACTCGGAAGAGAAACGCTTACGTGGAGGTATTTCGGAACTGGCAGTAGGATCAATATTGTTTGCTGCCGAAGGTCCAGCAGCGCGGATGGTCAAAGGCGATGCCGTCACCTGGGGAAGAGTCAGGAGTAGGAAGATGCCTACAACGAACAGCCCATGCGAAAAGTGACGACGCATGCTTTTCTCGCGCATGATTTTCGAAGACAAGAGTCCGAGAGAGAATTTTTGGCGTGTGGCGGATTGAAGGGATCCTTGAACGACGACACAGAATGAGTAAATATCGTGGCTCTGTCGAATAAATAATCATCAGGATATTCCGTATGATAAAAAGTTACGAGCCTTTTCGAGCTCTATATCAGCGTGTGCACTGCAGCTTGCAGTGGAAATCTGACCAGCAGATAGTCCGTGATGAACTGGGGGGAAAGACTCGCAAGCCCCAGTACCAGATAATGAGTAACCGTGCCTGGGGCTTTCAAACGGTAACCCATCGGTCAATTTATTGATGCGCGATTCCCCGCTGATTTCCCATAACTGGAAAAGGGCGTGATATGCATCATATGTGAGAACTATTTAGGCGCTCCTTTAACTGATCTCGCCGCGATTCCGTGAGTTGCTGGAAGCTTGATACCTGCTTGCTGTTGGCGCATTCTGTCATTGTCGATGTTCGAAATTATACGGATCCGGAGTTGTATTCAGATTTCGACATTCATGATTCCAGTTTTTGGGCCTTTTCAATACTCATCAGTAATTCAAACCATGTCCTTGGAACTGGTACGTGGGCCACAGTACTCATCCAGCGAAGTGGTAGAAGATCCTTTCGTGAATCAGGATCTTCTGACAGATCCTCGTCACTGCATTTGGAAACGGGTCCGATTACATTCTAATCAACGAAGACAAGAAAACAAAGCTATCTAAGAGCATTCGCGTCCTGTTGAAACATCTACATGAAGGTAGATCTGGTACACTTTCTTGATTACTTCAAAAACAACTAGAACTTCTAGAATCTCTCCGCGTCAACATAGATCGACACCTCCAGTCTTATTATTTCCGACAAGGTCTTCACCGACTGTGATGTTTTTCCGAAAAAAATTGTCCGACCTTCCGAGTCCTTTGTTCAAAATAGTCGACATTTCCCCCAACATATATATACACATTAGGCTTGTAGCTTGAGAATATGTTGTGCCATCTCGATGATTGTTTTTTCCGAATGTAAACGGTGAAGTACGCTGTTTGAAGAAATTGAGAAATAAACCAGAGTCTAGCTGTAGCGCCTCAAAACGCACGACCCGTCGCGACCAGCAATAGCCAGTAACAACCAGCAACCCTTTCCTTCTCTACACAGAAAACAGAAAACCATCACGATTCATGATGGAGGTTTTCAGGTACAATCATCTTCAAAATCCCTCGTGTTGTCATTGGCTCAACATTATTATTGATACAAGATCGTTACCTCGTCCACGGGACAGGTTACAGGACAAGTACACATGGAACATTTCTCATGGTTGGAACGACGAATCAGCTCCCAGTCAGCTCCTATCAGCTCGTTGAAGACATGTATTCGATTCGAGCTTACATTTATTCTGGTAATTTCTAGGCATCGATGCTCGATCCCGCAGTCGTCTCTCGGACCAACCAGCTTGGGATCCTTCAAAGGCCTGTGAAATGATATTTCTCGTCCCTTGGTGGAGCATATATGATTCGTTACCCGCAAGCCAATCAGCACGTCAGGATTCATCACATCTGATACCATGGTTTCGGACATGATCAATTGACAGAACAAAGAAACAGCAGGCCTATTCTGCCGACCATGAATGATGAAAGGTATAAAAAGAGCTTCTGACGCGTGCCAGGTTTTCAGCTTCCCTCTCAGGTTTTTCTCCTCCTTTCCCCCCATTCACTTTTTCATTGTCAACTGTAATCCTTCCTTGGACTGGTCTCCTTTCTTTCCGCGAAAGAAGCAGTTTTTGTAGCACGCTCTTTCCTTCACTAGTCTTATCCAAAGCACTCTTTTTCTCCCATTTCTTCTCGAAACCACCCTAGAACTGCCAGTCATGTTCTCCAAAGTTTTCGCCTCTCTCTCCGTGCTTTTGGCTATTTCCGTCCAGGTCAATGCGCATGCCGCCATTGCCCCTGCTCTTGGCGTCGATGGAACCCCTGTTCGCGCGGACGTTCAGAGACCTTCGACTGCTAGCCCATGTGGTACTGTGAATGTGGCTTCAACCCTTGACACATCTACTCCTGTTCAAGCTGCAGCGGACGGGACTTTTACTGCCACCGCTACTGACTTCAATGCGTATGTTAGCTCCTCACCAGTGTACCCTGATCATATTGAGCTGACAATATCACCTTTTTTTTCCAGTGGTGCTGACGGATCGCGGTCCGTCACTGCTAAGGTTGATCCTACTGCTCAAGGAAAAACATTTAGCACTGCTGTGACTGTTTCTCAGAACGGAGATGCTGTATGTTTTCTTTTCTTGATTCACTCATGCCTTGTTGTTAATTCACACACACTTCAGGCCCCTACAACAGTCGGCTCGGACCAAATTGTTGCTGCTCTTCCTGCAGGAACCACCTGCTCCGGTGGAACTGCTGGAAACCTTTGCTTAGTCGTGAGTACCTTCTCGGTTTGTTTTCTTTCGAAAATCTTTGTTCACATTTTACACATTTTACACAGCAATTTACCACCACGGCGGGTTTCGGAAACTGCGTAGTGGTAGCCCAGGGTGCTGCCACTGGGGCTGCTGCTGCTAACACGACCGCGGCTGCTACCAACGGTACGACCACCGCCGGGACCACAGCCACTAATGGCACTACAACGGCCACTAACGGTACCACCGATGCAACAACCGCAGCGAACGGTACCACAGCAGCAACTACCACTACTACAAAGCATCATCACCACAAGGCTGCTGCTGCCCAGGCTAAAGTCAACAAAGTAGGCACACGGGCCCCCGAGCTCTCCTTGCTGAGATTGAGTCTCGTGGCGAGGAAGCCCTTCACGTCGTCAAACGTGGTGTTTTAAGTTGGGTTTGGGCTTAAACTCGAAGAAACGAGTGTGGTTCGGAACTGAAAAAAGTGTTTTCTCTCACGTCGTAAGATCCTAGTGATTGTACTTTTATGCGTCAATGAAAAAGTGATTTGGGGTTATTTCTTCTGTTATGGCGTGCCTGTCCCGTCAACTTGCAACGAATTGCGCATGGTTGCGGGATGCACGTTGGATTTGTTCGCTTCAGGTATGTTGAAATTCAAGTCCCGGAGCTTGTTGCAAAGCACATCGCCGGTTTCAGATTTTCGTGGGAGACTCCGAACACAGCGATTGAGTCAAAGGTCATCATCGCCTTTGTATGTTTGAAATTGTCAGAGTACAACTGAGTAGGTGATTCTGGACGCGTTTACGCGTTTTCACTGACTTTCTACAACACAACGCAATGGAAGGACCTAGAATCTTCATTTTTGATTGTCGCAGGGCTGGCTTGTTTGGCCAGAACGAACGTGGGGACGGAAAGTTCAAGCAAATTAATGAAGATATTTTTAAGCGCCGGATGAGTTCCGTGCGCTTTTTCGGCAGGCAAAAAAATTTCTAGGGTTTTCGGTGACTTCATTTTGAGGATCAAAGCGGTTCTCATTTTTCCAATGGCGGGATATAAAACACAAGTAGGTCTAAGTTTACACAATCGTTAATTTTTTGACTAATGTCGGAACCTCTCGACCAACAATTACCTTCATATTCTCCATCGCGTTCTCCTCCCTCTTACTCGCCACATAGTCGCGACGGGGAGGAGACACTTGCTCAAACTTGTCGTTTTCATTCATCGTCGCATGCGACAGGGACGTTCACAAAGCACCACGGCGATGTTACTGTCGTTCTCTCAGAACAGGACGAAGACGTAGATGTTCCGTCGTATGGTCGTCACGGGCTTCTCGCCGGAAGTATTATACTCGACTCTTCATTAAAAATAGAAGATATTGTGGCAGTTGTTCTCAAAGTAGGTTCAAAATGGGTTATTGATTTTTTGTTGTGTATTGACGGGCCTGAAACATAACAGGTTGAGGGAAGGATCAAGCTTAACATATCGGGTGCCAATGCAGCGTCAAAAACCGTTAAAACTGTCGACGAGCAATACGAACTGTGGTCTTGCCAAACTCCTAATTCAAGCATCTCTTCTACCTGCCCCAGATTGATTCCTTTCTCGACAATCTTGCCTCCAACTTTCAAAGACGGAAATCACGAATATCCTTTACCACCTTCATATGAGGTAAACTTCACAGGTACGTCGAGGCATATTCTCGTTATTACGCGTTAAATGACAGTATATCTGTAGGCATTCCCGGCCTGTATGCTAAATGCACATACACCATCCGTGCGATTGTAAAAACGCATGGGTCGTTCTGGGACCACAAGCAAACGTACGTCTATACGGATGTGTTCCTGGACGTTGCTTATACTATTGTTCAGGGTTTCCACGCCGTTTATATACCGACCACGAAAGCGGCCTCCTCAACCTACTGTAGCGTCGGAATTCTTCTCGTCGATTAAGGTGTCGCCTGAGGAGTGGTTCCAAACCACGTCTGTGCTCCAAGCGAGACCGAGTACCAAACTCGAGCCTATAAACGTTAGCGTGAGTCCGAATCCAACCCTAGGAGGACAATTTCTCATGCGTAATAATAGATATTCCTCCCTGCTGTGCGAAGTTTTGGGCTCCGAGATACCATTCCATATCATATCCAACTTAGTGGACCGATATCATCCCTCAAAAAATTCTACTCCTGCGTGCAGTATGAGCCCGAGCCCCCTTCTCCACGTAGTCAGTCGACCTTGACAATGAGCGTTTCACTTTGTCGACAGGTGCGGGTAGAAGTGAAAGGTCAGGCGGTATGGAAGAGCTCCATCATCGGGAGCGGCACACTCACTGCACTGCCTCCTTCCGTTGAGCTTGACCCACGTCTTAGCCACTCGGCGCATGAGATGGCTCTTGATTGGGAGGGTGAAATACGATGCCGCGATGATATTCGTGTAGGACACTTCGATGCGGGTAAAATCGCGATGTCGGTACGTGTACTAATCCCGTATATGATCGACATGCAAGGTGCTAATAATCATTTTCGTTGCCAGGACTTTTTGGTGTTTTCAGTCGTCCCGAAGCCCACCATGGGAGCATTCAACTCTCTCCGAATGATAGTACCCATTTTGCTCGTCACTGATACCTGGGTCGAGCATTAGCCTATCATTGATTGCCCCGTCTCTCTTTCTCCTAGTGCTCTTCATCGCTTAACTTAGCTCCTACTTTTCGCAGAGTTTTCGTTCGGTTTCTTCCCCATCCATTTATCTCACAAATATCGAGACTTGCTTATTCTGATAACCTGTCGGATCAAAATTTGGCAGCAACGCTTGCCGTCTATCTCGAAGTACTTATTTTTCATTGTTTCACATACCATGGTACAGCTCTACAGTTTATGCTGATACTAATACGAAACATAATTGTCTACCAAGTTTACTCAATATTTATCCTGGCTATGAATCGTCTTAATACATTGATAGAGTTCGATATACATAAGTACCAGGTTCATATGTATACGTAAATGGGTAAATGGGTATATATCTACCAAGCTTTCTTCAGCTTGCATAGAATATGCTAGGCTGTTAATGTTATCGCCTACGTGAGCACTCGGAAATCTAAAAAATCCTTCTCGTTCCTCGGAACTAGCGAGGGCATCTTATCCTGTCTTCAGCCCCTCAGATTACAGTTGTCGAGCCTATAGCTAGCTTTTCATGACATTGTATGTTCGTCAGGTTTATCTAGTGAGAACACGCAAGTATTGACGCAATTGGAGAGATTACATTCTACCTTGCTATTTATATCAGCTACCTATCAAGTCGTAGATCCGACTAAGCAAAGAACCTGAGTTTTCCTCGACTACCCAGCCCAAATACTAGCATATACTGTAACCTTCCTAGCCTCTCTCCTCAATTCGATGCTTTGATGATATCCGCAGCCTTCTCGGCAACACCGTACAAAGTTGCACTCAGATGCGCACTTATTTGCATCGGCAAAATTGATGCATCAACGACACGAACATTGGTCGTGTTATAAATTTTTAACTGTGCGTCAACGACACCTTTTGATGCTAATTCATGAATCTCACAAATCTCACAAATCTGAGAGACACAAATCACTTACCACCCAGTTCCTGCCTCATCATTGGCGCAGTGCCTATCGCATGATTTACTGCCGCGAAGCCAGCACTAGGATCCAAAATCCATGATTTCCAATCTTGGTCTGAACCAAAATTGCCATTGGTGTTAGGAACAACTCGAGTTCCGGGAACGGTTTCGCCGGTGGAAAGGGAGCTGTGAGAAAGGATCGAGGGAGATCATTGAGAAGGGTGAGACGATAGAGAACGAGCGCGATTAGATAAACTGACCTTAGTGGCGGACTAGCAATGATTCTACGTGCTAACCTCGCACTAGCAATTTGTACATCCAGGTCCCAGCCAACCCCAAAGTAATTTACGTTCACTGCTGGTCTGGTGAACGGATCGGTAGTCTAGATGGTCTGTGCGATTAATTCTTGGACGAGGAAGAAGGACATTGACGGTAATGCTGACGTTCCCTCGACTGAAAGGAAGCAACTGCCACAAGTCGATACCAATGTCACTAAGAAGCCCATCAGTTGCTTTGATTTCAAGTTGAAGTATGTCTCAATAAAATACACACTCGGGAAAACCTGTATCATAGAAAAGTTCCACAATGGGTGCTGAAAAGATTTCAAACTCGCTGTTAGCCGTCAATCGTAACCAGTCGGACAAGTTTACGAACCATTCCCATTCAGGATCAACCCAGCTTGCACCTCATAAATTTTTTCTAGCGCCGCTTGACTATCCGCCGATGCAGATTGACTCGCCGCCCAACTGCTCCTAACACTGCTATCGTTCAACTGATCCACGGCTACCTGCAGCGCGGTTTCATTCCATCCAAAGACTTGGTAGATATTGGGATAGGCAATGCAATCCGAGGGCCCTTCACCACCGTAGTCAAAATTGCCGCCAGCGCCGAGGGAATTCATTGTCTGCGAACATTTGATGATTAATCAAAAGTGGGTACTAGGTAGCCTAACATACACGAAATCTCACCTGTTCTTGGAGGTTTCGGCCGACACCTTTCATATCCAAATTGGTACCAATGTCCAGCGAGTTAAGTAAACTCGAATCCCCAATTCCGGATAATTGGAGTAAGGCGGGTGACTAGGGCCGGAATTCTTTGAGCGAAGAAGAGATCAGATACAAATTAGAGTTACCTGGATTGCACCGGCTGCGACGATTATTTCCTTGAGAGCTGTAGCAGCATACCGCGTACTTCCACCACTAGATGGTGCAAATTCGATGCCCGAGGCGGTGAGAGGTACGTTTTCTGTGTTCGACCAAATAATTCGAGTTACCTGGTAATAACCAGTGAGATTGGCACCTATTGAGACACTAAGATACGCACAAGATGCTCAGTCAACGTTAACCAGTTTGTGCGCTGACTCTCCACGGGAGTAAGATATGCTTGACACGAAGATGAACGGTGATCACTATCATGCCAGTCGATGGTCTTGAAAATGAAAAAGAAGAGAAATCAGTGTTTTGCGAAGGGTGGAGGCAGAAGAAACCTACCAGGGGTGTCATCGAGACGCAATTGCTTGCACCACCATTCACGTCGGGGCAATGTTCGATGCCTGTAAGATTGACGATGGAATTAATGAAATCAGGTTGCTCGGGACCACCATACATAGCATCGGGATAAGTGACTTGCACAGGTCCGGAAAGTCCATGATAATCCGCAACGCTTTCGGCGCCCTTTGCAGCTTGCTGACTGTTAGGCGAGGAAAATGCCTCAGACTGAAAGGAATATCATATAAGGAAAAAACTGTAACCTCAAACTAGACCAACGTACCTTTTGCATGTACCCAAAAATTCCTTCCCAGTTCCAACCAGCGTCAACGTCGGATGTTTCCAGAAGTGTTGTCCAAGCATCATATTGAGCCTGCATACCCCGAGTGTAGTGTGCACCGTTGATGGAAGTGCTCCCCCCGAGTGTTTTTCCACTGAAACTTAGATCAGCAGAGGCCAGGAGATTACATGCAAAAAAATACCACAACATACCCTCTCATAGTCTTGCCTTGGTCTGTTGGCCATGCCCAGTCTAAGTCTGTCCCAAATGCTTGGCTGTACGCGTAAATATCATATACAATTTCATCCGTTCGATTGTCAGAGCCTGCTTCAACGAGTAATACCGTGACTTCAGAGTTCTCCGCAAGCCTGGCAGCTACCGTGGTTCCTGCTAAGCCTCCACCCACGACGATGTAATCAAAGGATTGTCCATTGGCCAAAATCGGGTCCGTGTTGACGCCATATGCGCTCAAAGACTGAACCGTTTGAAACTTTGAAGCGGCGAAGGCAAAGACAGTCAGAATCTTGCCGAATGACATGGTAGAATAACGGGATAGAAACATACCCCCCGAAATTCCTGGAAAATTTTATACCCTCATACATATATACGATATGTACGACTCGTACAAATATTAATTGCTGTGAACCCCTCACAGCCCGTGCCAAAAGGTCGAATAATAAAAGACTGAAATAAAACCACGTGCTATCCGGCATTGTTTGACTAATGCGGTAAGTACTACATTTGTTGCTGTACCACGCGCTACCACGCGTATTATCCATCCCAGTTGGTAGAAACAAATAGCATATATATTCAGGTGATGTCTCGAGGACTCGTACGTAGTGTAGTGTGTGACTGTCGAGAGCTATCCCGACATCATCGCCATGATCGTTCGAATTCGTTCCCGAAGTGTTCCCGACCTTTCCCGACACGGACAACCTCATACACCTCCGTTCAGTACTCAAAACTGTACGGCCGCGGTAGGTCCAACTTGAACCTCGCAAGCAATCACACTGTATTTCACGGCACACCGCCGCATCTCTTATTGGGCAATTACATAGAATTGACGTCGTCAAATCTTCCAGGAAGTTCCAGGAAGAATCAGTCTAGTAACCACACAGTCATCTCTTTGTGCATATGGAGCCAGCGGGGTCTGTCAAGATTGTCTTGATATGATATCCTGATCAGCCAAACTTCATAGTACGTGAAAGTCATGGAGAGAAATGCTTTTGTACACTGACCCGACCTTGTGATTCGGCAACCATTGAATGAGTTTGAACGTACACATTCCAAGCAAACAGGATATTCTTGTCGTCATCATTGTTATTCTCCGAACCATTGATTGGCCCCTTTCTGTTTCTATTCGAATGCCACAAATGCTCGCTTCAAGTTTTCACATTTTTCGAAATTGTTGCTGCTTCCTGCTCCTCACAATGATGAAGTCTAGACGTAAAATGATTTCTGGGGGACCCTCAAGGAGGTCCCTCCCTATTATAATGGGATATACTAAAGTCGTCCATGTTCGAATCAAGCAAGACTCACAACGAGGAGCGCGATCATAGGCGTAAATAGCAGAAAATCCTTCAACAGGTCATCCGTGCCAGGAAAGGCTAGGAGGACAAATTGAATATTTGATACCCTTGTAGGAGCACCGTCGATGATCATACTGGCGTGTTTTCTCTATATCCGACGCCAACAGGTAACTTAGAAGGAGCAAAGTGATAGAGGATATGGAAACAGCCCGTAGGGGTATATCATGTGTAGTAAATTGTGAATATATCAATAAGGCGACGAAATTTGTTGCACAAACTTGGATACAATACAGAACAGATGGAGGAAATTTACTGGCGTGTGTTTAGATTGATACATTCCAGCCGCAAACCCTCCTCTGGGCGGAAGTCCGTGTGGGACATGAAATTGTAGGATCGGGATCGTTGGACTCCGGTTTCTGCAAAGACTGAGTCTTCGGATACATGTGTATAGTATGGCACACATGCAACGTCCGCCTGCGAGTATCCTGCTAACGAAACGTCCCCAATGGTCGCAATTTCCCGCGCGGAATCCCCGGCGTGATCGAGTGCAAAGGATTCAGACGTTGATCTATAATATGAACTGTCAGCAACCCAGCACTAACTATAGAACGGATCGAGGAAGCCTACATCGTTTTTTCTGTATTTATATGCGACTGTACCAACGATTCAGGCACCCGAGAGTAAGGTCGATATCCGACAGGGTGCGCCATCGACTGAAAGCACGCGGAGGGCAGATCAGAGGCAGCAGAGTCTGAACCATATCTACCCCTATATAACCGTAAATTGGAGAGTCTACGTGTATCGCCTCGGCTACCACTAAATGACTTTGGATCGGCGTGATAATGCGACCCGACCGTAGGATCGGGTGAACTTGTGGAAGAAGAGATAGGTGAATAGAGCGCGTTGCAGCCAATAGAACAAGGTGATGATGGTGACGACAAGGATGCCGACATGGAAGGAGGTAGAATAGATGGTGAGACATATCTGCGAGTTGGACATACTCCAACAGGGGTGGAGATTGGAATCGGAATTTCCGACGTAAGGGGAGACGGGTTTTGAAGGACGAGGGGAGAAGTCATTTCTTGTACAACAGGAAGTTTTGGCTTGGGTTTGTTAGGACCACGAACGCGTCCTTCCTTGGCATACTCGCATACAAGACCTCGATTCGAGCATCGCTTACACGACGGATGCTCGCCGCTACACTACAAGAACATTTTAGTATTCGGGAATCAGGGATGTTATCAAAAAGTACCTTTGCCTTCCTAGTACGGCACTTTTCGCATGCTTGAGCTGTTCGAAGACGTGGGTGCTCAGGCATGCGATAAAATACCCCGGTGGAGGGATCCAATGATCCAGCAAGGGTACGTTGCATGCCAGAGTACAAATCCAAATCCACAGGCCCAGCATTTCGGAAATTAGATCGTGACGCTGCTGGATCTACAGGCGGAACAAGGTGATGAGAAGGATATGGATAGTCGGGGAAGCGATAATTTCCTGTAGAATCAACATGATAGTTTTGAGGGTATGAGACCCATGGCTCGTTTACATTAGGGTGGTGCAATATCGACGATGGTAAAGCTTCACGATGAAACTCAGTGGAATATAAGTTGTGTGTCTGGGGGTTGGTGCTTGCATGCGGAAGATGCAGGGGATTTTGTTCGTCATAGTTTTGCCCGTAGCCAGTATACGAGCTTTGATTGTGATTGACGAAACGAACGTCTGGAGCATTGTGACTATATTGCCGAAGATGCTGCATGTCCGTGAAGTCGTCGTATAAGCGCTTCGGGGTTTTTACAAAAGACATTCTGGCGGGACAATGAAAGAGAGAAGGATGAGTATGGAAAAAGTTGCACAATATAAATGAAGCTGAATGCCGATCCTCTGAGTCGATACGTAGGACGAAGTAGAAAGAGAAGTTTTTATTTACCTTTGTAAAGTTATCCGGTTAAGCCACAGTATGTAAAGCAAGCCACTTCAGCATGGTTATTCAAATTCTCTGGCCTTCATACGTCGAAGTTTGTTGCAATGCAGAAATTGAACAACTAAAGCCAAGATGATATACAGAAAAGAAGAATCTTGAGAGTTCGGGTCGCCCTACCTATAACTTGATCGAACAAAGACGCCAGTATCCAAATCTTGAGATCCGCGGGGACAGCGAGCTCCCCCATCTCAGTTTTTCATTTTTCCCTCGTGCACCAATCGTACCGGTTTATCGCGCCGAAACGCGTCTCGCGATATATTTAGTGTAACGCCAACTGTACGAGATAACAGTGAGGAAGTACGTTGCAGCTCCAAACCAACAGTAACAAGCAGTGTTGTCAGACCTTTCCTGTCTTGTTAGAATTACTTTGGCATATAAACATGAGGGGATAACTCAAATCATACGCGAACAGTGGCACCTGATGACTCTGTTACTTCTCAATACTTAATGATTCTTTGCCTGTTCAGGAGATAAAAATAGGGACACATCGCCGCTGCATGAGCAAGTTTTCTCGTGATGGAAACTGAAATTTCTCTTACATGTATATATTGTATGAGTGTTGTTGATCACCTACTCTCATTATTTCTTGGACCGCAAGTTTTCAAAATGGCCTTTATCCCTGCCACCTGCAACATCTGCAACCCGAGTTATGGAGCACACCGTGTTGAATTAACTTTGACCAGAAGTTGACGTACTACACTGTCCCTGCATCGAGTGCCTGTAAGTTGGACCTGCTTCATGCACCTGTCTGATCGCATTCACACTGCATCTTTGTCCCATAGAAATTGGATCACGCCTTTTCTTTCTGTCCTTCGTCTCCTGTATACCGACTTTTCCCCGTTTTGGGGCTACTACATACGAATTTTTGACGCTTGTGTATCATTTCCACAGAGCAGTTACCAGTGCTCGCCTCAACCCCCGGTATCAAGAAGCATGGTTTCGGAGCTTGAATCGACTTCCTGAAACAGCCCTTATAAGTTTTATACACAAAGGATAACGTATATAGATTTGAATTTTTTTTCACTCACCGGAATATGTATCTGCGGTAACTTTATTCAAATAGAGCCTTCTGAGGACTGGGCATCGTGAAGATGAGCTTAACCTAAGTTCAAAAAAGATCAACATTTATCTGCTCGTTCGCGGGAGCTCCCCACCCAATATGTAGGTTAGAGTTTGAACACCGGAAACAGGAAAATCACCGGTTTGCTGAAAGTTGAAGACAGATGGAAATCGACTTCCTAACTTACAAGAAGAATTTCCACCCAGAATGTGAGAAAGAGGTGGAAGTGGTAGGACGGTCTGAAGAAGATCGAAAAGTACCTGTGAAAAGTACATTTTGGTGGCTCTCGGGATAACTAGGACAGTCGTGCGTATAGAATTTCGGAAGAAACCTCCATCTTGCTTCGAACGTCTGTAATGACAACCGGACTCGACTAAACAGATCCAAAAATGGATATCTCCCACAGTAGCCCATGGTTGAGACACCGGTACGGCTATTAGTATATCATGAAATGAGACGAAGGTTCGCGATGCAACTGCTCGGGAATACGATCGTTGGGACGAAAATAACCTACATGGTACCTGTATTCATTTGCGCAGACAAACGTACATAAACACCGTATGCCTCCTTCATCAACCATGAAAATGACTTCAGTATGTAGTTACATTGGGCCAGACTGTAAAAGTTAAGCTATGCATCTTGAATGCCTAGAATAAGTAAGATACGAGCCGTATTGGGACAGTCGTACGATGTGAGCCTAATCAAATCCGGAGACCTACTTCGTGAGTGGTACCAGGCATTGCACTACCTGAAAGTTTCAAACAGCGGGCCAGATAATTGGCTGTAATGAACGGCCCACACATTTCTCAGTACAACCAGCCTTTCAGAGCCTTTCAGCTTATACGTTAGACTCACAGTTTGATTGAACTGAGGATTATACTTGTTTGTCTTCAGTGAGTGCTATTAACACAGTACCAATCGTTTGGGAAGGATCATTCAACATGCATATTAAGCTGGAAGCGCTGGAGTTACCTGTTGCGCCGATAAGGAACGAAAAAAAGATTGACGCCAGTCCTGCAAGTGGGCCTGGTGGGCCAGCGGACTTTAGCATCGCACCGCATTCGCCGCCACAGTGGAATGCAGTACAAAAGAAGAATCGCAGTGAAGAGTGAAACTGATTTATGTTACCTGTAAGAATGACTGCAATTGACGAATTTCATTTGAAGATTTGACGATAAGAACGGTCTTGTAGAATGTGCCCTATTCATTGGAAAGACACCGTTTTTATCCTTCATTCACTGAAGCTCGCCGCCTCGTTTTTTGGGGTACAAACCTGGACGAAAGGATCGACTACTTGTATGCAAATGTTAGCACTCTGTTTTTGAAAATAGCGTGAAAATCGCTCCTTGACTGGAAATGCGGCTTCAAAATCAAAAGCTAAGAATGCTCGATTCTATAAAGTATTGCAATTGTTTTGAAATGGATGCACACACCTTATTTACCTTACACTCTTAGAAACCATGTAATCCAATCACAGAAGATAATTCTGCAAGGCCTATGCACGCGATGAGATGCGTCGTGTAGTCATTGCTCTTCTGCATCGAGGTAAAGCTTCACTATGGCTCTCAGGGCAGAGTCTTTAGAGTCTCCGCGTCTTCATGTTAAGTAACGTCCAAAAACGCTCTAGATGATCTTCTAAAGGAAATCTGCGGCATGTGCAAGAACTAGCATCAGGAACAATGAATTTCTAGAATCGGTTAGAAGAAACGACCTGAGCTTAAAGTCAGAATTGCTCCTTGCCCCTATATACGCAGCGAGCCACGCTCCTCGAATAATCCGGGTATTGAGTTGATGTTGGTTCCCGTTTTCTGTAACGTTTGAATCATAACGGTGTAAACGGGATGTTCCAGGCAATTTCTCTAGTAATCGGTCGAAGACAGAACCACGACGCAGTCGTGGTTCTGCTGATAATATTTCGAATCGATGGCCAAAAAAGGTTCAAGAAAAAAATCGTTGCAAGTGATTGAACAATGAAAGAGAAAGACTAATTGGAGGACGGTCCGACCAGAGTTCGAACTAGACACCAGCGCCTATTGAGATTCTCGTTCTTCGTATTCTATCGGGCACCGTCCACGAGGTTACTGTTCAGCCTCCCCTGGAGCTACGGCCGACCTCGACTGGTATCAATACAGCAGATATCGGATCGTTTCGTCTACATACCTAGTTGAGGGAGGTGCTTTCTAAAGTTCCGTACTTGGCTTCATCGACGGGGTATGTCTCCGCTGTCTCTATATTGCATCTATTCTGACCTCCCGCGTAGGCGAACTCTTTCCGTACTCTGTAGAATATGAGACTGTCTGGTCCACGTCAAGTGCAGGTCGGCTAGGAACCGTCGGTATTCGTAAATGTCCAGGACTATATCACTTCTTCCGCACATGTCATGGTGACAAAGTCATCGAGGAGCCTCAACTGATCGCCGAGTAGAGTCTGACGAACTTAGGCAGCTTCACGAATTTCGAAAAAAGCCAGAGACGTGAACTAGGCTAGTCAAATGATGATGCCTCTTCGGATCTTCTGCCTTCTGCTGCCTATAAAAACTGCATTACAAGCTCATGCATCATCGCTCTTGTAGCAAAAGATGAAACTCTCAATCACACTCATCGCGTTCGCCTTTGCACTTTCTGTTGCTGCTTCTCCCACCAGGCGAGGTAATGTCTTTTCGATTGTAGTACCATTCAATGCTTCGGACCCGGAAATGGAACGTTTCTTAGATACCAGTATATGTGCCGGCGAAGAAATTCTTTCGGAAACATACGTTGGTGAAGAGAAGAATGTGAAGCTTCAGCACATTACGTGTCCACCGACGCCCTCAAAGAGGGCTCTTGCTCCGCGTCAAACGAATGTTTGTGGAAATACTTGTACGGATATCGCAGTAATTGATCATTTAAAAGCACTGATATTCTAGTGCAGGTATTACCAATTGCTTCGTGCCTAGCGGTGGAGGACCTGTCCCGGATGACTGTCATGTAATTGCAGATGCTTTACGGTTTGACAGTGAGAACGTAGGTATGTATAATCATACAGGCACTATATAATTTTTATCCAGTTACTCACTCACACGTTTGCATCTGCATAGGCGCTTTGTTTGAGATTGGTACTGGGGTATGTCCATTGTTTAACTGCCGAGGGTTCACTCTATGACAGAAATCCTCTATTTAGATCAACAACACCATCGCGCTCACCTACGCTACCTGCGAATCCTTCTACGTCAACCAGGATCCTACCACCCAAATTTACTGTCGTACTGACTGGGTACGTCGTTTTTCTCCTGAATGTTATTGATATCGACTAATCATCATATAGGCGGCAGTCATTGACTGGGTCAGTATTTCATGTGAACCTGGCTGAAGATTTCGCTGATCTTCGTTTGCACAGGTTGCTCCCAATTGCCAATCGACGCAAAACGCGCACGGCGGTAATTGTGTTGCGACTGATCAACAATTCTTCATCCAGTACGTATTCACTCACCTGCTTTCATGGTTTGGAACGCTAACCTATCGTGCACTACAGGGTTCAACATTCCTGAATGAACCATCAGCCACCTTCGCCGTTCTCAAAACCAAACTCCCTGTATTTCTTATCCTTTGAGGACCTTTTTTCTGTCCAGTTCCCTAAGCTTCCGTAATCAGATTTGTGGGAATAGCTTAATCACTGTGGTTGTTTTTAAGACGAGGACTAATGTATTGAACAGCTTATGCAAGCAAGACATGGCTCAGTTGTAGTTGTATCTCTCGTTAGCCTGTTGAATATTGCTCGCTTTGACCTTCCGTAAAAGTCAGATAGCCACGTGAAGAATTTACGCCTACGGGCTCCAGTCCGCGTCCTACTTAGGAGGTCCTAGGCCCACAGTCTCTTATCTTTCAATCATTCACTTTGGGGTTCCAATACGACCTTCACCCGATTTGTCGAGATTTGACTGCCAGAAGACTTCTCTACGGCCTCTTTGATATTTACGAAGATTTCAAAGGACCGTCACGCTATCCTTGGCTTTCAAGAGTGTGGTAATCTATCTAAATGATCATACTACAGCTAAAAATAGGTCCCGAGTCTTCCTGTTTGTATCGATCTACAGGTACGTATTCTTTGTCTCTGTGTATCTCTGTGTATGTTATCGATCCAGACCTTCCGTGTAGGTACTCTGTGAACTCAATGGAAGTTCAATGTGTATTAATGCTGTCGAAGGACGACTTAGCGAAAGACTATCTTCATCAATGACACTGTTGGGAGAGTGATGTTGGTTGCATTCCCAGATTTTCCACTGCCTATCGAAAGCTATCGAAGTTGTCTATTATCCACTCCAATATCCTCACCCTGCAAGAAAAAAGAAGCTCCTTACCCTAAACCACAGTTATTCCTTCCTTGCTCTTCCTTGTCTCCTTCTGAATATTTGGACGTTCATAACGCTGATCCGACTCACTGTAACCGGGTTCAACGTTTCCAGTTTTATGATTGAAGTTCTTTGAAGTTTCTCTGTTGAATCTGCCTTTGTGTGTCTTCTGGGCACGCTGGAGCAATTGTATCGATTATTCTTGATCCTGGCATAACTGAGAACAGACTGAGAAGTTTGGTATTTCTTTGCTTTGGCCATTCTATAAAAGTCGACTCTGACACGTGGGGAAATTAGATCAGCGATTAAACGATTTTCTGGGCGACCAACTCGCTTGAAGAATACATTCAGATCCAGCCCTCTCTGCTTTCGAACTCGTTGTTCCTTTACCTACAGAGTTATAACTCTATACACCACGGCTTTTCCTTGACACGATTACTTCATTCTACACGCCCTGACCACAGCTGACCTCCTGACCTCGATAAACTTGCCGCCTTGGTTTCCCTATATAATGTGTTCCATGGTCCCCGGTCATATTTGAAGTTTTTCTCCACTCCACTATGGTTTGGTTTAGTCTTGGACTGTGTTTTGTGGTAGCAAGGCTCTTCTCTAGAGTCCTTGGTATTCGTCCTTTTCATTCTCAAGACGTGTTAGTCTCTGAGGCTGATCCTATAGCGGAAAGCGATGCCACACATTTTTCAAAGAATGTGTCCAGCTGTCCGGGTGCGTTATCTAGAATTTCTATGTACTAAGCTTACCGACCAATACTCAGGCTACTTATTAAACTTCCTCCAAGAAAGCAGATTTGGACTTGTTGCACAACTTTCCCTAGCAGGAGCTCCTTGCAACGCCTTCGGAACGGATTTCGAAGATCTCACAATTCAGGTCACGTACGAAACTGACTCTCGGTACGTTCTTATTATCACGATCTACGGTTCGTCTATCTGATTGAACACCTTTCCAGACTTCGGGTACGCATTGCAGACAGCGGAAACAAACAGTTCACTATCCCAGAATCTGTCATCGCTCGTCCCCCACCGCCTACCACCTCGTTCACTCACTCGTCCGATTTAGTATTTAACTACGAACCTTCCCCTTTTTCGTTCTGGATCACGCGACGTTCTAATCCCGATGCCACTCCCTTATTCGATACACGGTTTTCATCACTCCCGAAACCTCCCTTGGCGCCCGTCATTCCCGATGACAATTCTACCGCTTTAGATGGATTTTCTCTTGTGTTCGAAGACCAGTATCTTCAAGTGAGCACAGTGTCATGCTACAGCACCAATAATTAAAAATTTCCATAGCTAACTTCCTCGTTACCACTGGACGCAAATATCTATGGATTGGGTGAAGTCATTGCAAGCTCAGGCTTTAGACGCAATGTTGCTTCCAACGGAGGGTCCATCCAAACCCTATGGGCTCGCGATATTGCCGACCCCATTGATCAGAACATGTGAGGTTCATTACATTATTCAGTCACAATTTCTGAATGTGATTCACCTCAGGTATGGAAACCATCCCGTTTACGTCGAGCATAGGTTCAATGAAACCACGAACGAGGCACAGAGTCACGGCGTCTTCTTATTTAGGTCTTTCTTCCCTTCACTTTCATGAATTCATACGCTTATCGCTCTCATCCTGTAGTTCGTCTGGAGCCGATATTTTGCTCCTGACTCCTCCCGGCGCCTCGCAGTCCCTCGTTCAGTATCGAATGATAGGCGGCGTGTTCGACTTTTATTTCTTTTCTGGTCCCACTCCTCATGCGGTCATTGAGCAATACGGTGCTCTTGTGGGACTGCCGAGTTGGATACCTTCATGGGCGTTCGGTTTCCATCTATGCAGGTCAGCTTAGGTCAAAATTTATGAAAATCATCTTGATGCCTTTCAGATGGGGTTATATATCGATCAATGAAACAATGGATCAAGTCCAAGCCATGCGAGCTGCCAATATCCCTTTAGAAGGTGAGCAACTGTCTTCTCTATCGACCGCCTATTGAAAGCATTGCAGTAATGTGGAACGATATCGACCTGTATCATGCTTTCCGCGACTTTACTTCTGATCCTGTCAGTTTTCCTGGGGATGCGATGCGGGCTTTCATCCAGGAGTTGGTGAGCTTCTAGAGTACGATCTGAGGTGAAGATATCTAGCTCACCTTTCTCAGGCCTCCAATAACCAACATTGTAAGCTATCCGTAGTGATGTCTCCAATGTGTTTCCCGATTGACCTTCGGCTGCTTGTTGTCAGACATCCCTATACTGGACGCTGCGGTTCCCCATCCCACCAATGCCACAGATGTCGTACGTCCCTTCGTACCTGATCTTCTCTTTGAAAATCACCTTTGAATAGTATGATCCGTATATCAGGGGCCACGAACTGTACGTTTATATAGTCGTCACAGCTACGTATGTCTTCAGCGTTATACCTTTGTAGTGATACTTTTGTCAAGAATCCAGACGGCTCTGAATACATCGGTAAGGTTTGGCCAGGATACACTGTGAGCACTTTGTTCGGTTGTTTTCAAAGAACTCGCGATTCTCACCACGTCGACTGCAGGTTTTTCCGGACTGGTTCGCAGATGACACGCAACAATGGTGGACGGAATCACTGAAGAACTGGAGCGACGAGGGTGTTGAATATTCAGGCATCTGGCTCGACATGAACGAAATCAGCTCCTTTTGTCAGGGATCCTGGTACGCAGTTTGTCTTTGATTCCAGCTCTTTGAATCCCTTACCAAATTTCCTTTCCTTATTACAGCGGCACGGGTGCCGATCTAAGTGATACTTCTGTACCTTTCCCACTCCCTGGATCGCCAGGAGCTCTCGTCACTGATTATCCAGAATGGTGCGTGCACTATCGTCAACGTGCAATATTGCCTACAACATCATCCGTAGTTATGATTCTTCTGTGTCTGGCCCCAGTGGAAATTTTACTGTGAATGGAGCTTTGACGTGTACCGATAGTAACATTCAAGCCCTGTTGAAAAGGGGAGAAGGAGCGGGCGGGGAACAGGGAGTCAGCCTTAACGCACCTCCGTATGCGATCCACAACGGTGCTTTACTTTCCAGCCATTTGCTACGATATATTGATACGTTATCCTCAGGCATTGGCGATCTTTCTATCAACACCCTTGCCACAAACGCTACCCATGCCGGGGGTTTTGCGGAGCTGGATGTACATAATATGTGGGGTATGATGGAAGAAAAGGCGACACACCTTGCCCTTCAACAACTTCAACCTGGGAAACGACCTGTGATCATTGCGCGTTCCACGTTCCCATCATCAGGTAAATGGGCCGGACATTGGGTGAGCCCGGTGCTATATTTCATTCTTCGATTTCTCTGACAAGTTTATATAGCTCGGTGATAATTTCTCCAAGTAGGTCGATCGGGCAGTGTAACCAACAAAGTTTTTACTTCTTTTAATAGATGGGAGTATCTTTATTACAATATTCAAGGCATCCTCCAGTTCCAGATATTCCAAATACCTTTTGTCGGTGCGGACACCTGCGGATTCAGTAAGCGTTTCAAAGTCATGTCTAGCATGAAACTGGTCCGATAAATCACGTAGATGGCAACACCGATGAGGAATTGTGTAACCGGTGGATGCAACTATCCGCATTTGTACCCTTCTATCGGAATCACAACGAGCGGGGAGCGCTCAGTCAAGAGCCTTACCGTTGGGATAGCGTAGCGAATGCTTCTCGAACTGCTATTGCCACTCGGTATACCTTGCTCCCGTATTGGGTAAGTAGGTGCTTTGTGCGAGTAGATCCGATGGCTAATCATTTAATAGACTTCCCTCTTTGCGAATGCTTCCTTGCGTGGGACTCCGCCAGTTCGAGCACTCTGGTACGAGTTCCCTACAGAAGCCGAACTCTTCTCCGTGGACAAGCAGTTCTTGGTTGGTGCAGACATATTGGTAACGCCAGTATTGACTCCCAACGTCTCCACTGTGGAAGGTGACTTGTTGCTCGCCTCGCCTTCGGCGTGATTCTTACTATTTGCCGCCAGGTATTTTCCCGGGTCGTGGCCAAGTCACTTGGCGAGACTACTATACGCATAAGGTGGTTGATGTATCATCTAATGGCACTGCAACGCTCTCTGCCCCCCTCGGACACATCAATGTTCATATTCGTGGCGGCTCCGCTCTTCTTTTGCACGCGAATCCTGGCTACACGACCACCGAAACTAGAGGAGGACCGTTCTCTCTCTTGGTTTCCCTTGAATCCAACGAACATGCCTTTGGAACAGCCTATATCGATGATGGGGTCACCAATCCACCCACTGAAAGCCGAAATCTGACGTTCTCGGCGACTGCTGGCCACCTTGCCATCTCAAGTAATGGGAATTTTGCTGTCGAACAAAAATTGCAGCAAATAACGATTTTGGGAGTCACAGCGGATCCCACTGACGTCTCTGTGAGCGGGATAACTGCTGAAAACTGGCAGTTCATACCCGAACTTCAGAAGCTAGTTATTTACAATTTAGCCCTGGACTTGAACGGTGCTCAAACTGTATCGTGGTAGAAATGCGCATTATTCCTGTACATGCAATGAATCGAATGAATGAAGACTCAAAGTTGGTCTAGGTTATAATAGGCACATTTCAGATTTGAAGAAAAAGATGGGAAGTGGAAAATGAGTGTAGAATTGTTATAAGCAGTAACGCGAGAAGGCAAGGTGTTCAGATGTTGGTTTGAACCCTGAACAGGTATCAGAGACAATAAAAATGCGGGGTGCAGGCATGCCACTTACTGGATGAACCATTGCTGATCATCAGCTATACAGTTCCCTCCGTGAGCGTTCTGAGTAGACTGGCAGTTGGGAGCAATCTATTGATCTGTTATGTAGCCTGACCACTAGCTCTGAACATGAATGTACACATACATAATCGACGATAGAGGCCTAAGAAAATAACTTCATCAGCAGGGAAACCGAAAAAACTTCGTAATTTACATAACTCACCCAGTCACTATAGCAGTAGCTCTGTTCGACGGGGTCCTGATTGACATAGAAAGTCTCGCAAGTCGAGTAGGTTAAAACCACAGTGTTATTTGTCTAGGATGAATAGTCAAAAAATTAGACAATGAACATCACGAGCGAAGGTAATCAACTCACTCCGGTACCGATCAAGAAGGTATCGTCTTTGACATGAAGAGGTAAAGCTATCCTCTCAGATTCTTGAGAAAACATTACTCACTAACGTTCTGGCTATAGAACCTCATCGCATCTGCGATGACGGTGCAGTCATTGGGGTCAGGGCCCCCACCACTGGGAGTGAAGCAGTTGGTGCCGCCTGGAGTTCCACATTCAGGACACATGCATTAAGATAGTCAAAATCCAGAAGACCTACAGGTGTTTCCACAGACATCAATGGCCGTACCATTATCCTGACGAGGAGTCAGAGTCGGTACTGTGTTCTCTGGGCAGTAAACCTGGGCAAGTTTGACATTGCTGTTTGCACCAATGAAGGTCTCGGAGACCGTGACTTGACCGGGGCATACTATTTGCTCTGAAGAGTATTCAATTCAGGAACTGAAAACGAAAGGAACATCCAAGGTGTGATACTGACCACGCTTCGTGATGATAGTAGGTGTCGCTTTCACGAGGAAGAGCGAAGTCGCACCAAGAACAATATTGGAGACCTTCATGATTTTTCGAGGGACTAAGGAAGAAAGATGATAGAATAAGGTCTTGGGCCTGAGTTTATATACAGTTGCGAAAACTAACCATGACTGATTTCCTCGCGATCTGAAGATGCTCCGTCGTCAAGCTGGAACTATGAAGGCAATACAGTGCGGGGAAAGCTGCCCGCTCCATCTGATTTTGTTGGGTATAATATGTAGCTGATGGTCATAGGACCTCTGGATCCGCCTCCCTTCCATTAAACGGCTTCAAGAATTCACTGGACCGGATGCAGAACTTTACTTTGAAGAGAGGGTCAGGCACGTGAACCTTGTTCATTCAACATTCAATTTAATTTCAAACTTCAAGCTTGTTCATCTTTTTCCTGAACCTGACAGATGTTTGTTTCTTGAGAACCAGTAGCCCTGCAGAATTTGAAGCTTGGCTTGACGACTCGGGTTTCAGAGGACTTGCTGCGTAACGAACCAGCTACAAAGTACTTAAGTAATAGGTGAGAGGAGTGGGCGTTACTTACACAAGAGCTCTAGAAAAACAAGTACTGGCTAATTTAAAACTACCAAAAAATCACCCAGTCGTTCTTGCTTGCTTAGAGTTTGTGCGAGCAGATATTCATTTCTACAATGATAGTACATTATGATTAATTGCTGAGACTGACGATAATGGTACAAGTTGATGATGTCAGAATAAACAATCATTGCATGACGGCTCCTTCTGCAAAATTGGAGGTAGAGTAACGTAGAATAGATACCAGGTATAACATACGGCAAGCTTTACTCTCTTTGAGTCCCTGACACTCGATATCCATTCAATCTACTCGTCAATTCATTAGCTCAACTAGGAAACAGAGTAAATCCAACTCACCGTCGTCATCCAGATCAGTCAACGGACTACCTATGTCCAAGGGGTATTCCTGGTCTTCCGAAATGGCTTCGTCATTTAATCGTGCATCGGAGAGAGAATCGGAGTGAGATGCATGATCTTGTACAACTGACAGTTCTGAGAGATGATTTGTGGGGAACATATCATCTTCCACGAGAACCGCGATATCGAATTCGGTGGCGGATGTTGGAGAAATATTATCAGAAGGCACATGGAAGTTTTCAGTGGTGTCGTAATCCATTTGTGAATCCAGACTTTCCGCTTCCGTCTCACAACAATTCATGGTCACAGCTCCTGATTCCAAGTCCGTGCCTATTGCAACCTCGCCTTCATCTGTAGTGGGCGAGATCTGAATGACCATATCTGTTTCGGAGTCGCCGCAGACATCATACATTCCTTGAACGTCTGCGGGATTGTCGAGAGGTGCTTCGAAAACAGAAGCCGAAAGAGGCTTACCGATCTCGCCCTCAACTACGGCGGAAGAGAGCTGAACGTCCATGTCGCCCTTAACATCGATCTTTATTCCTTTAGTTTCTGGACTCCTGAATCGTCCCTCCGGATTATGAGTGGAACGAGGCTTGTAGGCGTCGCGCTCGGAAGAATGGGAAGAAGGTCGTACACCCATAAATGTTCGCAAGTTACCAGAAGCAAGGACTTCCTTTCGCTCGGAATCTCTAGTCTCGCTGGAGGATGCACCGAGACTATGGGCAATAACAGACTGGTCGGCAATAATATCAATTGACATAGATTCAGCCTGAGATTCAAATTCGTCGACATCCACTGGACAAGCAGCGCTATTGCCCATACTAGAAACCATGGGCCCTGAAGGCGAAGCGGAGATGACTGTCGAAGGAAGGGGAGGCTTCCCAACGTAGAGGATCTTCCTTTTTCTCGTTGTTGGACTTGGTCCTATTGATGTATCATCGTTTGTGATGACAGGCTCCTGAGCTACGTTTTCCCTGGACTCTCCTAAGTAGCGAATTTTAAAGTTGCTTCCCAGTTCCCAATCGGGCTGAACATCGCCGATGAAAACTCTGCGTTTTTGGAGCGGCCGAGCAAAGATAATCCCATCGTTTTCAACAGAAGCCACATACGCCGAAGCAATTACCTCGCCTGTCCAGTTGTAAACTGCACCCCAATACACCACAGGATGCAAAACCTGGGTGTCAACAGTTATTGGCGCTAGTTTTGGGTAAGGTCTTTCTTCTGATTGGCGAGGACGGAGATGTGCAGGCTTGAACGTGGTTGGCCTTGCGGGAGGCCTTCTGAAAGAGATGTAAGTTTCACCACGTTTACGACAACATATATCGCAGAGGCAGGTGTCCTTGCAACGGAAACAGAAAAAGTCATCGCGAGTTGAGTCAAATGAGATAGTGCTGGCATAACTAGGGAATACGTGTCATAAGAGTAACAAAAAAGAAGCAGGAAAATTTACGCACCGGGAGGTGACACATCTTATGCAATATTTGGCGTTGCAGCCCTCTGACGCACATTCCATGTATAACCTAAACGACTTGTGTCGACATTGGTGGCAATAATATTCCAGCGGACCTTCTGGCCAATTGCTTTTTGTTAACGCAGCCTTCTCCCCGGTTTCCTTCTCATAGGCCGTGTCCTTTTCCGTAGATGCGATTATCTCTGGTTCCATCTTTGCTTTCCCTTTAACTTTGTCTCTCTTTTCCCTTTTCTCCGCGATCGTATTCTCTCCGGAGGGACCAGCCGACTCAGAAAGGGTTCTGTCTTCAATCTCCTTTGTCTCCAATTCCAGATCCATCTCCTTCCGGTTCGCATTCTTCCTTCTCTGCCTTCTTTGAGTGAGGGTCATTAGTTCAGGAGGTTCATTGTCTGAAGCAAGTTGGACATTCCTCTTAGGAGGAATGTAGATCTCACCGCGCTTGCGACAGCACAAATCGCAACGGCAATTGTTTGTACATCGAAAACACGAAAAGTCTTTTCGCTTGGCGTCAAAAGCGAGAAGGTCGGCATATCTACATAAGAAAATAAGAACCAGAAAAGAAAGCCAAAGACGACAATACACACCGAACAGTGATGCATTTTATACAGTATTTGAGGTTACAGTTATCGAATGCACAAGCCATGTGCAACTTGAAGGATCTAGAGCGACACTGGTGGCAGAAATACTCAGATGAACCCAGTGGCCAATTACGTCTGTTTGCGGGAGCTTGCTTCTTCTTCTTCTTCTCTTTTTCTCTCCCTGTTGCTTTTTGAGAAAGATCAGCCGATCTCGGTACCTCGAGTGCGGCCGGATCAGACAGGCGTAATTTGGGAGAAGGTTGTTTGTTTGGAGAAGGTATTGTTAATCTCGACGTCGGACTGCGTTCGCCGCCCTTCTGCAATCCAGACCCACTCTCGATAGATATAACATCGACTCCATTATTTATCGTTGCCTGCGATTCTGTTAGGGACGATGAGACTGTAGACGGAGATGCCAGGGTAGCTGGTGTGGCGGAAAGAGCGGATACAATGGTGTGAAGATGAACATCGAAGTCCAAGCTGTCTTCATGTAGATTATCTTTTTCTTCAGAATCCGAGTTGGAACCATAATCCAACACAAGACTTAACGCGTTACTCTGGAGAAGAGGCGGAGGGGGTTGTGGTACGGGTGAAGTCGCAGAGGACTGAGAGTCCGTATTACGCTGCTTTCGAGCCTTTGGCTGAACGCTAATCATTCTCTGTTTACCTCGAGGAGGAAGTGGATCACCAGAGTAATAAACTCTCTCGGAAGAATTGAGTATATCTAAACCATCAGAGGTAACATGCTCGTCCTCGACAGAGAACAAGATAGAGGGATTGATGGTGGCGTTGCTACTTGCGTCTGGGGACATGGACGTATGTTTTACAGGGTGGTCGGGAGTAGAAACTTCGATCCCTGCTCTGGAACTACGACTAAGCCCAGAATAGAGGCCAGGCTCAATTTCAGTATTCGCTTGATCACCGGCCTCTAGGATCCTTCCCATACCGAAGCTAGGAATTAACCACTCTCCAACGTCAACTCCTCTATGATCGCCATGGACACTGAAATTGCGCTTGGTTATTTCTTGACCAATCCCTACGTCATGCCCTGGCATGTTCAGGAAACCATCCAAAGATCCGTTCGACTGAGGTTGAGGTAAAGTATTACCCGTAGCAATGGTCTATGTAGCAGTAAGAAGACTGGAGTCAAAAAGTCAAAGGAAACGATGACATACCTGACCAGGACGCTGCAGCTGCAACATTTCAATGACGTCTTTCGCTTGCTGAGGATCGTTCTGCAATAACACCAAAAATTTCTCGGCAGCCCATTTCAGGTCATCACAATGGGTATCTGGTTCGTCGTGACCTGTTTGTCCGATGGTGGCCTCTGCTTCTACTCCCGATTCTGCGCCATCTCCAGAAAAAGGATTACCGACAATCGCAATAGGTGGAAGGGAAGTCAATCCAGGTATGTACGCATTAGTTCGTGTAGAAGTCCGAACGTGAGCGTGAGGAGAGTAGAACTGGTAAATATGTCCGTTTTGATTCCCTTGTGAACTTGGGATCTTGACGAGGTTATCAGTGATCCGAGGACCTCCTAATATCTCACTAGGACCTGAGGCTGAAACAGCCGACGTACGCGAAAACAATTCATGTTGCCCAACACTATCTGGGATAAGGTGACTGTCCTGAGCTTCATACAAATTTTGAGCATGGCACGGGTCGTGAGGAGTATGCGAAACATGTCCATGATACTGACTCATACTGGAATTAGCGAGTACAGTGGGAGGACGATGTTTCCCAGGACGACCCCGTTTAATGTGAGGTTTAACTCCATCATCGAAAGCCTTTCGTTTCCCGAGCGCCTTCTCCGATGGACCAGGGAGGTTCAGCGATATTGCATCACGTTGAATTGGGAACTGCTGAGCCTTTACTGGGGGTGAAAGCGGCTGATAATCAGTATATTTATGAGGTTCTGTTTGAGAATAGCTTTTTCGCAAAGGCTGAGCCGACAACAATGAGGCGGACCATGACGGGGTCGAGATTGGTAAGGAGAAAGAAGTTGACGCCGAAACTGACGAGTAAGACGCAGACGACATGGAAAAGGATTCGTACGAGTTTCCAGGGTCAGGATATTGAGCTACAGGATTTTGAGTCGTGGGGCTGGAAGGTTTTTTCCGAAACTTAATACCTTTGAGAGAAGAGGACTTCGAAGGTCCTCCAGGAACTGACGAGGGCGCGCTCTGGGGAGTTCCATGTGGTTGAGTTTTTGGTTTCGGATTTGGGTTTGGAAGAGGCATGGTCATCTTCCCGGTAGTCCTAGAGGCCGTTCCAGCAGTCCCAGCAGTATTGACCGAAGAATATGACGACGACGCTCGCACTTTGTGAACTTCTGACAGGTCCAGGTACGGAAGATCATCTTCATCGTCTGTCTCATCTCCAGGAAACTCTTCGTCCGAGTTTTGAACAATCCAATACCCTGCCGCCGTCTCGGGAGCAAAAATGGAGGCAAACATACGCTCTACCGACCCTGAATTTCTTTTCGAAGAGGACAACATCCTATCCTTCCCCTTCCAATTCATTAATCCGGTACTACAGCTATTCAATCCAGGGGGTAAGCCACGCTTCGTCCCAAGATTTTGGACTTCGCCTTGTCGATGGTTCTTCACTCCAATATGACGCGTATTAGAATTCTTGACCAGCAACATCCGATGGTCACGCCTTTTCTGTTTGGAGGAGGAATTGGGTATGGTGGACTCGTGCGCATTCTTCAACCAACTCGCCCCAGAAATGAAATCCATGTGCTTGCCTACGAAGAGCCGCACGTAACCATCACCGTCCCCGCGCGTCTTGTCAGTCAGCATAATATCACCTGGGATATAGGAACTCTTCGTCGTCGTCAAGTTTTGACTGACCACTACGGAGACAGAACTGTTGCCAGACGATGGCGCCGCGACGATAGATGGGTTCAACCTGGCCTTTTTGCGAGGCAGGTGAACACCGTCAAATGGACTTTGTTTCTGTTTACGACGAACGACAGGTCGAGTTTTGTCTATGAATGCCCCAATGTAGTCATCCTCTGCGTTATGTATCGTGGAAGCGTTCAAAGCATCCTGAAGATTTGTGTACTTCATTGGGGTATGCTGTTTTAATGATGATGATAATGGAAGCGCAGAAGTAGAGGGAGCATAAACGTTTGGTCTAGGAGGTGCTTTCTTGTGATGCAACCCGAATGGTGGAGGCGACGGGGAATCCTGGAATAGGACAGATGGAGAGCTGAACTTAGTAATTTTTTCCAGGACTTTCGGATGGGGTTTCAAATAATGGGCATGAGTAGTGTCTCTAGGAAGAAGAGGGGCTTGGATATGGGAGAGAAAGATGAGTGTGCCGGTACCATGACCATGGTAGGATTCGGGATCAAATTTTTCGCCTGGTTCTTGTTGATGAGAGTTCTCTGTCTGCTGTCGCAGGGGCGAGAGCGTGCTAGTTGATGATTTAGGAGACTCCCTAGGGGAGAAAAGAGAAGCACCATCCAATGAAGATGACGGCGAAAGGGGAGAGATGGACTCCCGACGAGGAGGAGTAAAGAGACTACTGTTGATGGTTTCAGACATATTCGTAGCCTAGATGTAGGATGAATGATTCAACGGATCATAAAGGTCATGACAGTGGTAGAACTCACTACAGCCGTCTCGGTATCGGTGTCTACACTTTCGGCCTCTTTATCAATCGCATCGAGATTCTAAAACAAATGAGATTATCTACTCAGACACTCACAATGATATATGGAAGTCATACCGGAATATTTGCACATTTTTCTAACGCTGAAAACGGCTCAGACGACGATACATCCTGATGAATTAGAAGCTGCTTCAAAGCGGCGACCTCTAAAGGCGTGCATTCAGAGGTAGATTCATTCTGGGGCACAGATTGAGGTGAATCTCTCGTGGAAGACGTTTTGGATGTCAATGTCGATTTTGGTTGAAATAAGCTCTCGTCGCCATCCCAGTTACTGAGGCTACTGTAGCTAGTAAAGTTCATGGCCACGAATGGGAGGCGCCAGATCTAGTAGTCCGTTAGCGTACTAGACTAGTTATAAAACGAAAGGAGCGAGGTTGACGGGGCTAGAATTGGGAAAGGGCGTCGAGCTTGATGAGCTTGTTTGGCGTAGCGCGTATCAATATTCTCACAACCCAATGACTCGTGGGCGCTTAAAATCCACCTCCGTCTGATCATTCATTGTATTGAATCCTGCCTTCTCTTCGACTGATCATGAATATCGTAACCTAGCGGGCGATTGCACATTGAAATGCTTAAGGTCAGGTAAGTGTGCAAAATAAACCGCAAGCCTGATGTTGTCCGTCAGACCAATCTTCCTATCTCACTATCATGTGGAGGCGAAATGCTACTAGCACAGTACAGTACCCAACCAAACTTCGAGTGAAAAACGAAAAGAAAGGGTACAATATCAACCAACAATCAGACTCTAGAGAAACCTCTCTTGAAATTTAATTTGTTTAGTATACCTGGTAGTTCTTCACCTTATATTACAAATGATTGCTTGTTGTATGAGTCCGTGATTACATGCTTTTACCTCCAAAACCCTACAATGATAAATGACTATTAAAGTACAACACGTTCAAAGCACGATAGCAAATAATAAAGATATTAAGATGAGATTATCCTCCAGCAACACTTACCCAAGCCTCAGTTTACTTCAATTCACCAATACCTCAGACCCTGACACAGAGAGCGACTCCGGCTGCAAAGTTGGCGACCGCAGTTTGAGAGTATTGACAATGCCACCACTCATGTCATGGTTCGCTGTCGCGATGGGAAGTGGTTTGAAATTACAGGCATGACACAACCATCCGCTCTCCGTCTGGTAAAACTTTGGCGTAAAGTGCGTCGAGCATTTCACACACTGGAGGTCTTCAGATGGGAAATCAGCCACCGGGCCGGAGGATTCGGGCCGGACAGTGATAAGTTGGTCAAGCCGTCGAGCTTTCCGGAGGAGTGCATGTGTTTGGGATACTTGGGGTACTTGTTTGTATGCTCGACAATATACTTGGAGAGCACTCTGGAGAAAAGAGGTTAGCATTTTAAAAAAATCAGAATATGTGCAACGATAACTCACCTCTCCTCCGTCATCAGTTTCACAAATCTCGTATATCTGCCGCCGACTGTGGTCGTGCTCCTTGCAAGAGATAATAGCATTCATACAACCAGGTTCTCCCCTGAACATCGTTGTGACGTGCGTTTCTCTCCGGGTTCCTTTGACCTGAAATTGAACTTAACAAAAATTCCTAGAGTAAGCAATAGTTCAATGCCTTACGGGCTGGATCTCGAAGCCAAACGTATGACCCTGGTTCCACGCACAGGACACATGGTATTCCTTCGAACAGTCGCTACATTTGACTACAGCACCACCCCTTTGCTGACATATACCACATTGCTACAACAAGATTAGCGTTCAGAGGTTAAAATAAAAAGATGTAACGACTCACTGCCATCCATCTACGATTGGGAATACCAGTAATTCCTTCTACAGATCTCATCGTCGATGTATTCGTAAAGTTGATTTCCGGAATGAACACAGAACATAGAACATGCGCCCAACCATGACTCTCTGTCACTTTACAAGCTTGAAGATATGATCCGGGACGGGATTGTACAGGACCACGCGGGCGAGGGCATAGTAAGCAGTCATGGTACTGATGATTCAACAACAATCAGTTCAGAGTCGCCCGTAAATGGTTACAGTATGTACGCTTACAATAGAAGCTTCTTGTTCTTCCTCGTTCTCGCATAGATCACATCGCCAGTCATCTAGCTTGTCGGCGCTCAGAGTAATCCCGACAGATGCTATAATTATGGTTGTGACGGTGCGCGACTCGAAGGGAAGGCACTCTTACCGGCATGAACTGAAAAACCGCACTTTTTGCACTTTATTACTTTCCCAACGGGCCCATTCTTCGAGCATGCGCAACAGCGGAGTTGAGGAACATTGGATGGAGGTGGGGGGGTCGATGGTATAGATGATGCGGTCTACGAGTAATGCGAATAAGAACAATTGCTGGTCGACACTAGTATACACAAAGCATACCTTCGATCTTTTCGATGCAGGACCCACAACTGGCGTCCCCTCCCTCTTCTCCGCCGAGCTACTGCTACTTCCACTCGGTCTTCCCCTTGTAGAGCTTCCCTGCCCTAGGCCTGATGGCACTACTGGAGCCGGGGTAGACTCATCCCTCGTCGGCCTCATATTCAGGTCGGCATATTTCCTATAATTAACGCCGCAACTGTCACACAAGACATTCGATTGGAGTCCTTTCGGTGCCTTCCACCATATCTTACTATCTCGAGTCCGACATGCACCACAGGATGGTACTTTGGAAGGAGGGACAATGATGGAAGATTCGTCGTCAGAGAGGCCAATGGTTTGGGAACGATGTAAACCACCAAGGCTTAATTGCGTTGAAGGAATAGGTGTTGGCATAGAGCCATATGTACGAATCCTCTCGTTCTCTTCACCGAGTTTGGTACTGTCGTATATATATATATGTGAGGGCGAGGTTTCGTTTATCGAAGAGTCACGGGAACGTACTTTTTCCAATGTCCGTAGAATCTCACCACCTCATATATCGACCTGACTACTACTTCATCTCTCACTGCGCGTAATTCAGCTCCGTGTACCGCGATAGCATCCTCAAATGCTACAATCTCTTCCCGAGACCAATCTTTATCAGTATAGCGCCTCGTAGGCTGGACTTTCCACTAATAGCTAATTTTCAGTTTTGATCCATTCCTTGTCCGATAAACTTCTTACTTTTTCGATCCTTGGCATGTTCAGCGTCTTCGGTGTTACAGAGGAAAGCGATTTGCCATTCAGTGTGGCGTCAGAGAATTGGCGTACAACTTCAGTAAGGAAGTCGACAGAGCTGCGAGTCTTCCCGTCGTTGGTTATGCTTCGAAGACACGCTTCCACTGTACACACTTGAATAAGTTTTTCGCTGAAGAATAGAAGTAAACATACTCTCGCTCACTGCACAATATTGATCAGCCAGGTAACAGATAAACTTAGGGGAGGAATCTTACTTTCAGAAGGAGTGAAGTCATTTACTGCTCCCAGAACCTCAACAGTCTTGTCGGTCCCACGTTCTTCGTCTATGAAATGGTGTGATTGTTATGAAAGTTTAGGAGATGACCAAGCGCACCAGGACCAAGATGTGGGCCGCCATTGTCAGGAAAAGCAGTAAGCTGGTATTTCGGGCCAACCCGTGTAGCGGCTCGAGGAAAAATCAGGTCTTCTGGATCTGGAGCCAAGATGTTCAATTGACACGAGGTCTGGGCCAAGTGAATAGAACGTACCAAGAGTGTCTTCAACAAGGGTATATTGCCTATAAAACCATTAAATTGTTCAATATCTGCTATTTGGAGGGGGGAAAAATGGACACTCACCCGAAATATCTAAACGGCCATAACCTAAAGTGTTTCACAGGAAAATTCTCTTCCTTCTCTGCCTGAGTACGGTCTTTTCGAGGACGACCACGACCACGAGGGGCAGGAGCATTGGACTTGAGCGGGGGTTTGATGGGGACTGGCGTCGCATGGCGTACGGCGGCGCGTGAATCAACTTCCTCCTCATGTCGGCGGGAGCATGGTGCGCAGGTCCATCCATAGCCGCGAGAAGGCTTTGCTTGTAGAGGAGGTTGAACGCAGTGCATATGGAAATATTTCTTGCACCGGTCGCATTGAACAGATTCCAAGCTAAACGCTTGATGAGTGAGATTTATGTGATATGCTTGAATTAAAGATACTAGCACGTACCTTGCACACCAGACTGTACATGTATCACACAGACGGAGCGCGTCAGTGAGATCCGGGACAACTTCTTTCTCTGCAGCAACATATTCGTATCGCTCAACCAGCGTGTTCCTAACGTCTTCCGGTACTGATTCGGGATTCAATGAGTCAGGTTGATCTTCACAGAAGATTTACACTCCAAGGATCTACAATACTCACCGTTTTTCACGTCCGACGCCTGGATAATCTCGAATTCCTTTTTGAGATATGGATCAAATAGCCTCATAAAATAGAACCTATCCGGCCGCTTCTTCCACCCCGCTAAATCACTAATCTTGTCTCGATGAACTACAAAACATTTCGCCCTAACTTGATTGATATCACATATTTCGGAGTAGATCGCTGCAAGTAACAAGCGGGAGTCACCACCGGGGCGGTCGGAAACGTCGCGGGGGCGGTAATACCATGCTAGGCGAACGCGGGAGTATGGTAGAGAGTCAAAGTCTGCAGAAGAAGAGGTTCCTTCGGGCTTGAGGAATTCCATTATACGACCTATGGAATATGGTGTCCCTTCGCGGGTCGACCAGCTGGGCGAAACATAGACGTGGTCTATAATTAAAGAATGAGAACAGGCGGATGAGGGGAGAAAATCGAAGACATAAATTTGAAGCAGTAAAAATGTAATTACCATTCACTTTAATTTCTACGCCGCCTTTGAGCAGGACAGTGTGTCTAGTCTGATTATTCGGGGACGAAGACTCTGCAGAGGCAGACGCCATGTTTGTTGGCAAGTTGACAGGGAAGATGAGAAGAAATCAAAAGATAAAATAAAGGCTGTGATGGTAATTTCAGCTAAAAGAATTACTTTATGAAGGACAAATTACCTACGTTTGAACAGGAATGCAATGAATAATTGAGAAGAACAAGGTCAGAGAGAGGAACGAGCGAAGCACAAATCAATTTGATTGCATGCCGGCGGAGTATAAAATATTCGGCATACCCCAGATTAGATATCAACCCTCCGAAACCGTCACTGAGGTGAAAGCTTTTCGTTGGTCTCAATACCCAATGGGAGGAACGATGACGCGGAAAGCATGGCCCACGATGTTAAACTCAGTATAAACCTGATTTACTATAATCGTGACTCCATCATTCTTTATTATACAGTAATATCGACACCCTAATGGGATGAGGAATAATAACGAGTCTTGATACCGTGCAGACAGATCCCGATGAAAATAGACCTCTGCCAGAAAATGCACTCGCTCACAGCAGAAAATAAATCAAATATCTCAATACTGAATTATTGGAAAGTGAAAGGGAACGGCGGGGGAACATCCAAAACCAAGAGGCACTAAGACGTATGTTGTAAATGGTATTTCGAGGTAACGGAAGGTAGTTTAGGAGTGTAGACTCTACCTGGTAGCGTAGAGCTCGGAAGCATTCAAGTTGGCACTGAGTCAATGAAAGTTCCTTCTAGAACAATGCTCGCTGCATTGAACACCGGATGGAGAACCGTGACAAGCATTGAACTCGATTGAGCACCGATGGCAAGAGAAGACAAGAAGAAACCTGCACTTAAACAAAGCATAGACTGAGAGAGACTGAGAACGCACGAATACATCAGATACTGATACTTCCAGTGATACGCACTTTGAACCAAATCTAACCCCAATCATATTGTCATGCCTCGACCGTTAACCACAGCTCCCTTTCTCCCGTCTTCATGCCTGGTGACTACCAGGACAGCCCCAGTATCAGCCATACGCTCTCACAACCCGCACAGAACCACCTCCGTACCTCCCCAAAACATACCAGTTACCATCTTCAGATCCCTCGACACAAGTAACCCCTAAAACCTCCCCCGACACGCGTAAGAAGCCCTCCTACACCTACCCCATTAAGGTACTAATCTCGATTACATGCCTCATGGTCCCTGATGTTCCCTTGTTCACTTCCCATACCTATTTAAGTAGCTCCGTAACGTCCCCAAGCCCCAGCTTGGTATATTTTGAACACACACCCTTTTGCATAGGTCCAGTCCCTGTCCCTTTGTACCTGCTAACCATACGGATTTCTCTTTACTCTCTGTTTCTCTACCTCTGTTTCTCTCTACTTCTGTCTATTGTCTCTCTGATCGTCTATACGATCGAATATACGCTTTCACTTCAAGTCTAAGCCTTCTGAGTGAGTCCCCGAGCTCCCTCGAACATTACTAAAGCTCCCCACGCCTACCCGCTTGGTGAGCTACCCTTCCCCAAACCTCCCAGAGCTCCCTAGCTACTTCGTAAGCTTCGGGACCTCGATCTAGGTAACGTCGAAGCTACCCCTCACGTCGAACTATGTATTGCTTCTCCGTTACCACCTCCCACACTCGAGGACGACCATCCTCAAACCTAGTCCCCAGGGACCTACCCTCCCTGGCATATCCCTTCTCGGGAGCTTACACCCTCGAGACCCCGTTGCATAAACTACCTACTCGACTCTATATTGACGTTCTAGCGAGTACAACTCCTACTACGCAATATCTTACGGCCCCGCACTCGTCCTGAACCTCCCTACGCATTAGGGACCCCCCTGGACCTCCTAGGAACCCCTCAAGGGTCACCATCTCGTCGTTCCAACTACTACTAGGTCATTCCCGTCCTCGGTCGCGGTTCTCGTAGCTCCCTTCGAGCTCCAGCCTGCTCCTAGCACGCTACAACATAAACCTCCACATACCAAAACCTACCCTAAGACCTATTTTGGCCCAGGTCTTACACAAGTCCACATTGCAGGCATATCTGCTCTGTGGCCTATCTGGCTCTTGCTGGACTTGGGCAGCTAACCTGTTACATCTCCTGCAACAGGAAAGCCAAAACCCACGCTAGCAAGTTGTGAGCTTGCCACACCAACGGTCTCGGGTTTTGTGTTTCGGCTAGTAGGTGGTGGTATGGTATAGGTTGTGTTTGTTATATCTCGGTATCGGAGTTGTCAGAGTCTATGACCTCCTCCCTCCAATCAGCTTCCGGAGTCATTTCTTCCCCGGTTGGGCCATGGAACATGACTTCAAGTTCCTCCCTGATGCCCAGTGGTGTGTACATTGGTGCTTCAGCGATTGGGCGCTGTTTTCCTGTTTTAGTGAATGCCCCACTTTCTTCCAGGAACTCTGTGAGGGCCTCAATTCCTTCCTCCGTTCCAAGTATCTCTTTCAAGCAGATATCATCCAATGCTTTCCTGAGTATATGCTGAAAGTTGTCATATCAAGGGCAGGCACGTAATATGTGTTCGCAGGTCTGCAGATCTTCGCCACAAGGGCAGTTAATGTTCTCACCAGGTACAAACTGAGCATAGTACTCGCCTAGGAAGGCATGGCCTGTCCGACATTGTGTTAGTCATCCGAACACTTCCCTTGGTGTTTCCTTCAGCCGCTTTGTTGGTTTTAGGGAGGGTGGGAGCTGGTTGGCAATTGCGAAACGCCCATAGGTTGACCGTGATTCCCATTTCTTCTTCCATTCTCTCTCTGCCCGCACCTTATTTAACCGCAGAGCATTTGATCGTGACCTCCCCCACATTGCCTCATTTTTCTGTTCTGTTCCCATTTTGGCTAGGAAGTCAGCATGTTCATTGCCAATTATACCTATGTGGCTCGGCACCCATGCCACTTCAACTGAATGTAGTGGGTCAGAGTCCAGAAACTCCACTACTTTTTGGTAGAAGTTAGAGCAATACACTTGGCCTGGCTTGGGAGAGGTGTCGAATATTGAGTTGATGCTTGAAGCGCTATCTGTGAAGAATTGCCAGTGAGTGATAGAGTCATCTTGGGAGGACATATTTGCTGCAAGGCCCGCGGCATAGCTGAGTGCAACAATCACCCCATCATATGCTTCTGCATGAAAGCCCAGCCCAATGCTTCGGCTGAACATTTCTATATTATTCTGATAGGCCACTAGTCCCACACCTGCTCTCCATATACGGCGGATGGGTTTGTTCATCAGAGATCATCAGCCATATGCTCATCCTTGTTGTTGGGCTCGTGACCCTAGCCTGTATGATTGTCCTTTACAAGAGCTCTTTGTACTGCGAATTCTTCGTAGGACCCTGGAAGCTCCTGCCAAACCCCACCCGCCCAGGCGGCCTCAAGTACGCTACGATTTTGGCCTCAAGCAGGCCTCAAGTACGCTAATTCGGATAAGGAATGTCACGTGAAATCATAAAAATTGCTCTGAAAATACCGAATTTTCTTCCCCAAGCCTGGAATCATCTTTCTGTACGTTTTTTTGACTATTATCGCTGCATCCGGAGCTCTTCTGAGCTTCTTTGCCCAAACTCCGGTGCCAGAGCTCCACCTACATCCATTGGGCCACCAAGTCAACCAATAGATACCCAAAGTACACTATCTCGGACAGGGATTGAACCTTCTGAGGCCTAAAGTACACTAATTTCGGCCAAGGAAAATGGCAAAATTGGGTCCTAAAGTACGCTAATTCGGATGGGGTCTGGTAGGAGCTTCCGGGGTCCTTTCTTTGTCTTTTGCCTTTCTTTTCTTCTTGAGGGGATTGCCAACAGGGATGCGTCTGCTTTGGACCCGGACATGTATATGTTGGCCAAGTAAGCTTTCATAGACATTGTAGACCAGAAGGCTTAGTCTAAGTCAGTAGTAGATTGTGATAGCTGTGTTAGATATTAGGTGCGTTAAGGAGAGAGTACATCATCCCGTGATTTTTAGCACATCATGCGCGTCTAATTACTTCTGCTTCCAAAGCACCATCTTACATCTGGTCCATGTTTTCCCGCATATTTTCCCCTGCCTACCGTATGTTCACGGTATCTGCGACCTCATCCCCAAGCATGAAGCTCGTCGAGGTGTGTCTCACGAAGATCTCAACAATATGCCAGTACCTAACACTAAATTGTATCTTATCACCTGCTTAGTCTGCAATTTCGCACAACCAGATCACCGTCTTTTCGAAAACCACCTGTCCTTTTTGTACCGCGACAAAGAGACTGTTTTCTGACAAGTTTCCCGACGTACCAGTCAAAATATTAGAGTACGTAGCCCTTTACATCCTCGCTTTAAATCCTGGTTGAAGCTCGTTCTTGTCTCTTGCCAAACAGACTCGATCTATTAGAAGAAGGACCAGCAATCCAGGCTTATCTTGCTCAGAAAACGGGACAGCGCACAGTTCCTAATGTTTTTGTCAGTAAGTAACTCTGTCTTTTGCACAAGATGAGTTATTATGCTAAGTGTAATGGCTTCGTCAACGATATACAGACTCTCAGCACATCGGAGGTATGTTGGTTTTCCATGCTCAGCCTGGCATGCATCCTCACATCTATCAGGTAACGACACCACGCAAGCTGCGTACCATAATGGAAAACTTTCGACCATGCTTCAAACATGACCAATGTATACCACCATAACATTAGAGTCCATCATGAATACTAGAATTCAATAAGTACTACTACGTGCAGAACACCTTTATCATTAAACATCACATGTAGAAAGCACGCAAACCTGACATGCTGCTCCGTATAGGGTTCGTCTGTGATGCAGGGGTTGGGCTAAGTGGAGGCAGTATTATCTGGAATTGGGAAGGCTGCAATACGGCCAAAAGATCTCGAGTGGTCATTGATGGACCGTTGTGCATTTCTTGACTATCATTCTTGAGTTCGGCATGTTCACTTTCTACCTTTGACGTGGTGCGCAAAGCCCATTCATCGAATATGTAGTCACCAGCTTCATCTCGAGGATGACTCTGGACTTGTATTCCAGCAGAGACGTGAGGTTGCGGCGCATCAGAAAGATTTATCCCTTGTTCCGTCTTGCGAGAGCTAACAAGTCGTTCTCGACGAATTGATGGTTGGACATTGACTTTCTGGTGACGTTGACTTGCCGAGGTCGCTACACGAACAGTTTCGAGAAATTCGTCGAAGAACGATGAGAGCGGTTTGGCGGGCTTTTTTGACGAGTCGACACTGATAGTGTCAGGACGAGACGGAGTGTTGACAGAGTGAGATTTGGTACTTGTTGACGAGATTGGACTGGAAAAACTATTGGAACTAGAATGTTGAACTTCTCCGAGAGTATTGAAAGCGGAAGCCAGAGATGCAAGAAGGGGAACGGAAGTAGTAGGATTCAGAATGAGCGCAGGTAAATTTTGAAGAAGGGGTGAAACTTGAAGCTCTTCAATCAGCTTTGGTGAAGGGGGTATGGAAACATATGCAAGAGGAGCGACAGCAGCAGAGGGTTTGAGTTCACGATCTGGGTCAGTGTTAAATCCAATGTTATCAATTTCACTGGCCAGGTCAAGATGAGAGACTTGAGGCAGATGCGATGGCGAACTCGCTTGATTGGTGGATTTGATGACTGGCGTATCCTTGGTTAGCACATTGATCAAAGTCAGCGGAGGCGGTGATGTCTTCGTAGCGATACTGGTACCAATTACATGAGAGGTCAACTTCAAAGATTCCTTAGGAAGGCTGCAATCAATTCATATCAACTATTGTGAAGGTATAAGCGGATAGAGTACTGACCTAGAGACACGAGGAGTAATTTTGTTCTCGAGCAGTTCTGATTGCTCAATGGGAACCAACGTCAACGGCCGTCGTGAGCCATACCGCACTTCTGTATTTACTTTGGAACTAGAGGCCCTGATTTTCGCGTGCTTGAAAGCAGCCTCGTTTTTCTTCTCCTTTGATGGACGCGAGAAGGTACTAGTAGACCATCCTGTTAACGGCTTGAGTGTCGGGTTTAAGCTTGAAGGAGCCAACGTCTGCTTCTCTCGAACGGAAGCGAACGAAGCAGTACGAATAGAGGTTGTCCGATGAGGATCGACGAGAGTCCATGACGGGCGACGTTTGAGTTGAGACTCGGGAGTATGACGAAGAAAATCAGGTATTTCGAACTGAAGAGGCTTTCGAGTAGGTGGAGGTGCGCTTGGATCAGGTTCGATAAGGCTGTCCACAGGGTTTACACCGGACAACACAGCAGCTTGAAGCAAGCAATCTGCAAGAGGCCGTCGTCGCTTTCGTTTGACTCGAGAATGAACGTCAGTCTTGTCGGCAGGTGAATGGATGCGCATGGGATTATGTTTGAATGTCCCCTTGATCGGAGACGGTGACAGTGACTCTGAGGTTTCTTGCTCAGAGCCCGTATCAACGTCGTTTTTAGGCTGTTTTTGCCGTTGTTTTGCATATTTCCTAGGCCTCTTCACATCTCTCCTCTTATTAGACTCCGGATTTGGTCTCTTCTTATGTATGATAGTAGCAGGCTCCGGCTTTGTTTGACCGGTCGGAGTCGCGTCGATCCGGGGCAATTCTTCTTCAGTCTTTCGTTTTCTGTTTTGCGATGGAGTTAAATCGTTCGATGTATTTGTATACACGCCTGGAGTAGTTTGAGAAACAGCTGCGGCTGCAGCATTAGCAGCCACATGCGCTAAAACGGAGGGATAGAATCCAAGGCAGGGGTCTATCGCATCATGGCGCATCCGTCTTCGTTTGGTCTGTGATGGTAGAGTAACCTTGAATCAGACAAATGAGTATGGAATGAGGTCCTGATTGTAATTACGGTGCGTTCAAATCTGTTGCAATCCATGTCGTTCAAAGTATGAAGTATGGAGTAACGGAGATGATGGTACGAAAACAAGGTCGTTTGGAATCAAACCAGCATTTCACAGGATTTTAGGACCTCTTTTTACTCATCAAAAATAGCGCAGGGATTCCTAAATACTTCGAAAGTAGAGCATGGACCTATACGTTATATCTAGCCTTAAGTGCTATCGGAACTTCGGCGAAGGCTCGGGCAAAAGAGGGTCACGTCCTCTGCTATCTGATAATGTCGAAGGCATTTCCTTACTATCTGATAAGTTTAAGCGATTCAAATCGTTGAGACGATTACGATTTTGATCAGCTCTTAGTTCTTTCCGCCACCATCTATATATGCACAGATGAAGTGCTCCAAAAAAAAATAAGTATGAGAAATGATCTTAATGACCAATCGCAGCGTTGCCGAGGTGACTTATCTGGGTATCGTTTCGTTAAGAAGCGTCGAGTTGACTGGCCGGGCCCTCCTTTATCTACACCTTCAACTGCTCCCACTTTCACAGCTATTTCTTCATGTCTCGCTCACATAGTCAGTCAGAGGAGGAACCCTTGCTCACAGGAAATATTCAGAGCGTTGGCGGGTCTTCAAGTTCTAGACCTAGTCCCTACTGGTACGTTTATTGCTGGTTCGTGCCAGGATATCCTCTGAATATCCTCATCCAGGCTAGTCCCAGTTGTGATAGTCGCCTCAATGGCTGTAGGTCTTCTATGACTACGCCAAACGCTTCCTGAACTCATCTACTCTCTCAGCGGGGAGTCTCTATGGCCCCTCGGATCCAAGTATACAACGATATCGCTTGCAGGGCGTTGGGTATCGAATTGGACGCCTGTAAATCTTCCTCAGATGTACAAGGAAGAGCTGCAAGAATCCAGGCCTGTATGACTTATGCTTGACTGTGCTGCGGCTTTTTATATTTATGAAACGAATTTTTTAACTAATATCAAGCCATTACTACCGTCATGAGTGTGCTGAGCGCATTAGCAACGGGACCATGGAGCCGCTGGGGAGACTTTCATGGCCGCAAGCCCCTTCTCTTCTTCACACTTTCTGGCGCCTTCTCTATGTCAGCCATCATTTATATCCTATTCGCATCGCCCTCATCACTTTATTTGGCATATTGACAGGGAGCTAGTCTACCTCTTGGTTACTCGCGAGAACACACCTTTTTATAGCTACGCCGAACAGTTTATTATGGTCGGACCTGTATTGGATGGATTTGTCGGCGGGCTTTCAGCCTTCAACGGTGTTGTTCATGCGTGAGTGCACGTTTCCCAAACGCCGACTATGATCTCGATCGATATGTGTTGCTTAGGTATACGTCGGATTGCACAGCGCCTGGCTCTCGAGCGAAGATATTTTCTACTCTCCAAGGAATGGTCTTCGTAGGACTTGCCATCGGGCCTTGGGTGCGTATATTATGCTCCTAGCGCCATCGCGTCATTAATATCGAAGGCAACAGCTCGGTGGCTTGATTACTTCATCCACAGGTCCCGAACCTCTAAATCCCTATACTCTCTTCTACGTTAGCTCCACAATGAATGCGCTTTTACTTTGCTTCGTTGCTTTGGTCCTGCCTGAATCGATCGAAAAGAAGTACGAACCCTTGGAGGCCACTATCGGTTGGAGAAGGAAACCCCTAAAGGCATCCATAAAGTCGGGTCTTGCAGAGCTGCTCGCCGGGCTTCTTTCTCCTATCTCTATCTTCTTTCCTAGAATCATCACCAATTATGAAGGGTCCAGGAAGAGAGATTGGAACTTGTCATTTGCTGGAGGTGCATTGTTTTTGTACTTGATTTCCATTGTGAGTTGGCGTCTCTCGAACTCTAATTCTCGCTCACGAGGTGTCATTGTCAGGGAGTATTCTCAATCAAGTACTTGTATGCGAAACATATCTATTCGTGGACTTCAAATGAGGCACGCACCTAGTTTATGTTTATCATGATCGAACGTCTAAATTACCTGCAGTTGGGTTACTACATGTCGCTGTTATGGACTACTCGGGCAATCAACCTCTTGGTCGTCCTCCCTCGTGAGCTCACACTTCATCTCATCGTCAACAAACTCTAAACGAAAGGGAATAGTCATTGTAAACTATCTCAAACCTAAACACCGACCAACTGATCCGCTCTCTATTTGGTCTGAGTTACGCTTCGATAAACTTTTAGCTCAAGCTTCACTATTCGTCGATGCATCTGCAGACGCACTTGTCGCGATCGTGCCATCATCCTCACAGCCCGCCTTTGTTGCTTTCTCTACCCTATCATCCTTCACTTCTGGTGGAAACCCTACTCTGCATTCGCTCGGTGCTGTATGCTTGCACGCTAGCGGGCGTAGTTCCGAGGTGGGGTCCTTATTTGGAGCGTTAGCAGTCCTTTCTGCTATCGCCCACGTCATCTCAGTGAGTATTTCCAATGTAGATGATTTTACCTGGTGCTTAACAAGGTCTGCAGCCCACCCTATACGCTGTCACTTATGGAACGACTGTGGCTACGTTTCCCAAAGCGATTTTTGTCCTTGCTGCGTCTCTACTTGGTACTGCAGTTGTCTTGCTGGCTTTCATTCGTATCAGGAATCGTGTTACGTTGGCCACCCGTGTGTAGATCATATGCTTCGCAATGTGCCACAGACACTGTACATTGACCAGAATTCGACATGTACATTGTATTTTGTATGTTGTGGAACAGTGAAATATATAACTGCCTGATTGTAATCGAAAAAAGGACCCAAAAATTCACCGACAGGTTACAGGAAAGGCAGTAATGCTTGAGGAAGGATACTTGGAACAGCCGCACCAGCGGGGGGCTCAATAGATGTAAAGTAATCTGCCCACCAAGGTCCAGCCGCCCACCAGGAAAGCCCTATCCAGACACCGCCAGCCTCCTGCATAGAGCAAAGTGCTCCGAAGACGGCCTGAATGCAGTCGGTATTTGATCCAGCCCCGATCTCACCTAGGAATCCCTTAATGCCTGTAGATTGCAGCCACGAAGTTGCGTCAGCCAGACGGGATGCACCAATTGAGTTGGAAACACAGGTGCCGCTTGTTCCGGAACCGTCAGAATCAAGGTACTGGTGCATCTCTAGTGATAAGGAACGAAATCAATCGGTCATTTTTCAATGTCATAAATCAAAATACGAACCAATGGCTACGTTGTCATTGGGGTCTGTGAGTGCCTCGAATGCAGCAGCATTACCGCTTGTAATCCAAGCTGAAAATATATCATGTTAGTGCTTAATAATGACAGACTAACATTGAAAACTCACTCCAGGCTCCTGTCCATGCTGATTGAGGAGAAAATGAGTTTAGAATCAAGGATTGAATAATCCTGCGCTCACAGGTTCCTTCAACCAAAATGAGCTGCGAGGTCGCACCACTTGCTCTTACTCCGTTGACACCCGCTTGCATCTGAGTCGTACCAATATATGAGGGCAGATACAGATAGAAGTAGTAATGGGATCACCATTTCGTAGACAACTTGTGCAGTGGGTTGGTAGGGTTCGTTCATGAGATCTTCCGTATGTTTAAGCGCTATTTTCAATGAGCTTCAAATGTCGCGATAACTCACCGAAGATGACATGGTCATTATCTTTCTGTGGTGGATTAAGACCAAGTTTCCATTCGGATGATGTATGTAGAGACTTACAAATTTGCCAGCAAGGTTTGTCCAGACTATCAGGGTTTAGAATCAGTTCAAGCCCACATAAGCTTGATTGAGCACATACATGTCTGGAAACTAATTGGTGTACGATATATGTTGTCAGTATATCGGAACAATACATGTATGCAATGGTATAACTTACTCGGATGTACTGCTGAGGGTAGCTCCGTTGTATATTAAGTAGTTGTGAGCTATGACAAAGTAAGCGATCTGGCCTGACGCGGTGTATGCCAGCAGAAGTATTTACGTTCAATGGCAACGAAAGCTCCCTGGCTTGTTATCTCGGTGACGGTCTGAAAGTCAGACCGTGATCAATCAGAGAATTCACAAGAACAGGAAACTAAAACGACTTACAGCTGAAAGGTTGCCGAAGTAGTTGGGATCGAAAGGACCCGTTATACCCGTAGCAGGAGGGGTAAGCCTCTCCAGCAAGAAAGGAAGCCGGAAGAAATTGAATCCTTGTCCAACGAAATACTGTCCGAGCTGTTAGCAAGGACTGCAAGAAATAGACAGGAATAGGGGGAATTACATCAATTGAACTGTACAGAATTGCGATGAGTGAGTGAGTTGGGTGACCGGGAAATGTCATGACGATTTTACCTAGGTGCTGGCCAGGTGTAGTCGGTACCAAGTACACCTGGAATAACCGTGTTTCCGAATTCTGCACCAGATTCGTTTACGCCGAAGTAGGTGAACTTCGTCGTGGGACCGGAGCATGTTCCTGCTGCAGAGGAAGGGGCAGATCCTGAAGACGTAGACGTGGGCGTTGTGCTTCCGGTGGTTGAGCTGGCGGGTGCTGTGGTGGTGACGGCTCCAGGAAGACATTGTGAATAGTCTTGTAGACAAAACGACTCGGTCATGATTATAGGTATAGGAGGAAGATCACAACTTACATGCGTTTGATACCACACAACTAGAACCAGAAGCGCAGGTGGTCGATCCAGTCCAGCCAATGCCCTGGGGTATCACAATCCAAAATTAGCTCGAAATTGCAATCAAATGAGAAAAAGATTGTCTACTCCACACTGTCCCCAGATGGGTGACTGGCCTCGAACGGAGACGGATAGAACCACAGAGACAGCCAAAGAGACGAACTTCGCAGACAAGAATCTCATGGTTGGCAAATGCTGAATTCTAGGAGGTGAGGATGTATGCCCTTATAAACATGGGCTTGACAACAATATACATCCATTATCCGCTGTTTTGCCGAAAAGAAACCCATACCGACCATCACATGCGGTATTTATCGTATGCATTGGACCTGAAAGGTCGAGGTATATCCGATACGAGACCTTGGCTGACCCAGCTGAGGGAGTATGAATCGAATGGACCGTACAACGATAAAGACGGTCTCTATGATGTCGGAACGGCCTCTTCACGGGGAAATGTACTTGATATGTATCATTGAAAATATAGAGAATAGCTGGGACCAGACTAGGACGTCTTCGCGGCGCGGAGATGTATCGGTGGCTATAACTGTAACGGTCGGGAAATCTATTTTTTTATTTCCCGCAAACCAAATAAACCAGCTCTCTCTGATATTTGAAATTTCGATTAGGGCATTGTTTCCGAAAATCATCCCATACCGAGTTCACGAGAGAGGCATGAAAACGCTTGTGTACTATGTATACAGATGAGTTTGCTCTTTTCGGACAATTCTGCAACACCACAACCAAAAATGTAACAAAGGCTTCAAATTTTCACGTACAATCTGAGTCTGGGGATATGTATACAAGATATAGCAACCCATAAGATCGGGGACCTAATTTGGTACTAGCAGACAAGAAAGCAGATGAGATGTCTGTAGTCAAAGGATTGAATATAGACGTACTACATATTCCGAATCACCGAACATTGGAGCCTCCGAATCCGGTACTTCGTCTCACATTGCCCAAATTAGAAGACCCTTCTCCTCGATCTTCAGAGTTTGTTGAAGAAGACCAAGTACGACGAGTACCACCCCCACCGAAAAACGAAGTCGGTCGTCTACTTTGCTCCCAATCCCATTGCCTTCGCTGTCCACCACCAGCCTCGTTATTGCGGAAGAGGAATCGGTCAGCCAATCCACCAGCTACAGCACCAGTCCAAAACCCTGGCCTCCATGGTTCATTTTGAGTTTTGGAGTATGGAGGGGGAGAGTCTCTCCCTGTATTGTCGTCGTAATAACCTGGAAATCTGCCATTGCCTCCACCACCACCTGGTCTGGGTGGTGCTCCTGATTGGTTTCCACTACGCGAGGTACTGGAAGACGGCGCGTTGCGTGTGCTGAGGCAAGACCTGAGAAAACTGTAGCAGATGAATAAGAGAACGGAAACCCAAGCCATGGTGAATATAATATTTGCGATGTCTACTGCTTGTCTGTCTTTAGTTCGAATATATCACCAGGCATTGTGAGCCTTACCTTTCTTGCTTGAACTATGATGTGGATCTGAATGATTCCTCAAGTCCCTTGGGATTTCGACAAGTCTGTATTCCAGAGAACAAGAATCTGAACGTAATCAGATGAGGATTGCATAGTGGTAGCCACCCTGTGTTAGTTACCTTTGAGAACATAAGGATCTCCGGGTCCTGACCAGCCTTCACAGGAAACCTAAAGCAAGTGATCAGAGAAATTCATTGTATGACTACTGTATGATTAGACTTCAATGCGAAACATACCATGACTTTCCCAAAACGCAACGCCTCAGGCAAATCAGCCTCGCACTACACCGGATCCCATTTCATTGGAATTACTTTCTACCATCCGATGATACGGCGTACCTTCCAGTCGACATCCAATCCTGCTCCGCCAATGTTCTTACAACGCACGACCTCTGGTTGGTACGCTTTACAAGGGTTTCCGACGCACATCAGCTGGGGAATGGGACTAGTTCGTCGTGCATTCGTGAGATCGTCTTTGTAAAAGGTCAGAGCCTTGATGCCTGCTAGTGCGACGCGAGACATGTTTATTAGATGAACGATGAGAGCAAGAGATATTTGAGGCTAATTTGAGGGATATGACATTCAGTGAGGGATATCATGGAGGGCATCAAAAAGGTAAGCGCGCAGACACGTAGCAAGTCTGCGGAACACGTTTGCAAATAATGTGTTCATTACAATGTACATAGTGTTCCATCCATAGCTATCAAGTAAAGTAAATCTATACTGAGCAACCCCCACAAACCCCGCTCTGTCCACATCCCCAACAACTCGCGACACCAACGCCGCATGTCTTCAGTATCAGTGATATAACACTTGTCACCCCCTCACCAAGTACAAACCCGCTGGCGATTACTATAAGCCGAATGTCCCCTCCGCTCCTGGCATATCTTGTACGGAAGATGTATTCAAGAATACCCCCAATAAGACGAGCGATAGAGAAGGAAGGCGTATTCAAGAAGCCGATTGCAAAAGCCACGCCTGAAGGTACCCACTTTGCCCACCATACCTGTTTGTTGGCGGCGTAAAACTTGACTGCAGCAATAAGCGCAAAGATGATAGCGAAGCCAACCATGAAAACATCACTCTTTTCTGGCAACTGACCATCACCTGGTGAATCCCGTCAGTTTGATAATAATGAGGAGTCCTCAATGGTATACAACTCACGCAAAAGCCTCGCAAAACTTAGCCATACATATGCCGTAGGGGCAGGAAAAGATGGTCCGGGGATGGGGTATACTCGGGTGTAAAGGGAATAGGCAGTGGTTGTGACAAATATTGATACAACGGACCCAATAAGTTGTCCGTAAAACTGAGCTCGAGGGGATGCCCCGCACAAATGGCCAGTTTTCAGGTCTTGCATTAGATCTCCAGCCCTGGAAGCACTGTTATGACAATTTAATAGAACCTAGGAAGTATCTTACTGTTGCGCGCCAGCTTCTGCTACACCTCCTGCGATAATGTTTGCTACAATATTGCCAGGCTGGATCCAGGCGAAAAACAACTGTGAGATCTTTCCTAATCCTGATACGGGGTTAATATCTGTTTCTCCCAACGCGCGAACACTATTTCTGATATGAGACCAACGGATATGGCATTGACAATGATGAACAGCTTACGCGAGAACGCTGAGAAGACCTCCTATGACATACCCAGCGAACGTTGCAGCTGGCTTGATTCCTTCATGCCCGAAGACAATCCAAACCAAGACTATACCAACCAACACACTTGCGCACCAGCCGACAATTACCCATCGACCAGGTACAAGACGATCTGCGCTTTCTATTTCGCCGTCATTCTTTCCCTCTATTTGCGATGAAGACCCATACTTCATTCTGCGGAACGCGTCCACGATAAACTCCCATGCCACAGGTAGCAATGAGACAAGACTGTCAGCGCACATGATGGCCAATGAAACCCAAAGGATCCAGCCTCTTGATCCTGAAGTCATATCACCGACAGGACCAGGAGCCCATCCGGAAAACTTGGCTATTGGAGAAAGAATTCCCCATCCAACAAGCATCCCCTGCGCAAAAGAAGTAGGAACGGGCTACAATAAGAATTATGAAGAGGTTACTGACCATGTTCATGCTAAGCGTAGTCGGAAATCCCATGATAATTCCTATTGCTCAACGCGTCGTCAGTGTAAATCGATAGAATACGATTGCGCACTGTACCTTGGCCTACATACGAAAGACTAGGGGTGAATGACCACGCCCACTCTCGAGCAAGATAGTTTCCAAAAAGAGGAATAGCAAAGATGACGGGGAAGAAGTACGCAGCTAGCTGGAGACGATTAGAGGTACGGTATTCCAAGGGAAACTCTGCTGATCACATACCGTCAGTAGACTAGAGATGACAAAGCTCCACAAGAGCTCATGCCAACCCGCGGTAGGGGTATTTTCTGGGTGCCTAAGCGGCGTAGTCTCTCGGACGGGTCGAACGTCTGTCTCTTCATCGAATTCTTGATCCTCAACTGATTGATACCCGTTTCGTCGCCGCAAACTGGTGTCGGGAGGTGGAAGTTTGTGAAGAACGGATATTAATTGCGCTGTAGCTGTTCCGGAGGGAAACGCAAGCTCTTCTTCAATAATCTACATGTAAGATGCCATTGTAACAGTGAATCATCTGCTATAGACAATTGGCACATACTACTTGCTTGCGAATGGGAGGTGACAGAAAGACACTAGAGTGAAAGTTCAGTCATGGCGTGTACGCCACACATACACAGAGTACTCACCCAAAGAACGCAACTGCACACGACCATCCAATTCCTGCAACCCACGTCAAATGAATCGGAGGTGACCCATCTCGCTCTTCGTCGATTAAACCCAGGGCCGGGATGATTCCGACGAATCCAGCTGCTAGAGGCATTGTTCCTGTAGCTGTCGCAGTCGTCTGGACCAATATGATTTCTTGAGGAGTTAGCGGAATAGGTAGCATTTTGCTGACGAGAAATCCTATCAAAGCAGATTGAAGAGACATCCTATCAAATGCAAAGTTTAAGCATCGTTTGAATAAGGGAATCAAGTATGGCATGTACACACATGCTAATGAACCCAGTTTGTAGACCAAAGTATAGATTGGTAAAGCATAGAAGACATCCGATCAACAAGCCAATGATTATTGCGGGGAATGAAAATTCGACAAGAGCTGAATCTCGAGAAGAGGGTAGCCATTTAATCTTGTGCTCTCTGAAATCATTTGCAATTCAGTGCCGTTATCGCGTTCAAGATTTCAAAGTATGTGCTCACTGTATCCAATGCCTGAGGCTTGAGGGTATCATGGCGATGAGAGAGCCTCGTAGACCGGCCACGAGTCTTTAAGTGGGTACTTGGCGGAATCGGAAGTGAGAAGCCGACTAAACGCGTGCTGAATAAGCGCCAAATCTCAAGCTCTTTTACCTGTTCTTAAGATATTCAAATCACCAGAGCCAAAGGGGCACTCTCTGGTTCTCGGACTTCGCAATTTCTCAGATGTCGCAGTGATATAAACAAGCGAACACCTCCCTACAAACCTTTCTAATTCATCTCTACTCACACTTCAGTCAGTCACATAATGGCCGCCTCGTCTACATTGTCCCTGGAAGAATCGACAAAGCTGTTTTCCAACTTCGACACCGAACATTCAACAAGGTTGATCTCGATAATGTTGAGAAAGTAAGTGGTCAACGCCCTAGTTGGTTATCATTCCATCTCAAATTTTCAGATGGGGCCCGCAGCTCCTTACCCGCCTTCATATAACGATTTCTGTGATGTCTCACTCATCAAAATTACAGAAGATTCTTTCGCTGCGAACGGTCCATACAAGCGCTACCAACGTTTTACTTCAGTTTAAGATCTTTGTCCTGCTCAGCGTGTTAGGACAACTTCATGTATGGCCATGGGGTATTCGACGTCGGGAAAAATCGATCCACTCAAAGGCTTCTTCGGCCTTCCCGATTCTGCTGTCCCGGCTGGTGATCGCGAGTGTGAACAAGAAGAAGTTCCTTACTTTGTGAAGGAGTACTGTGTTCAAGAGGAGCTGCTTGAAGCGGCTGGTACGGCAGGTGCTGTACTTCACACTCGAGATTCTGTAGGTATGCTCGTAGGGTATTTTCGTTGCACAGGTATCAGCTTGTGGATTATGCTTCCCCTGATAGTTTGCTGAACAGAGTTGAAACCGACTGCGGAGTGAACTTGGATGTCCTTCGATGATGATTAGTGAAACGCTGCAGATCCTCATGATTTAGAACATTTCAGTATCGTTGTTCACAATAATTTGGCTTTGTACAAAGGCCTATCCAAATGTTCCCATATTCAGGAACTTGCAGTGTTGACGTTGCTTGCTACATGAACAATTCCATCGGCGTAAATTATTCGTTGGTAAATGTTTGTGTTACAAAATATGCTACATAGATCCTACGGAGGGAAGTGTCTTTCCATATACATGTGAAAAGTAAATGCTGCAGAACGCGAATCTCGTGGAATGGCTGAGTAGACACAGAAAGAGCCATTTCACATTCCATCCATAGCCTTCTCCTCTAAATCTTTCAACTCTGACCATGATGGTAATTCAAAAATCAGCGGCAGCTTTGCCCAGATCTCGCGCTGCGTTGCTTCGGTATCTAACTTTGATTGTGTGAAACAAGCCAGACACAGATCACCCTCCAATGCATCCCAATTCTCATCAAGATAGTCTAGCGGATCGGCTATATTCCACGACGAAGCATGGTTAAGCCACTTCCTGAGCTGCTCCACACAATCCGCTGGTGAAGAGCAATCTGTATGGGGAGTTGAACGGAGGCATCGAAATGACAGATTGGTTTGGAGGTGCACAAGTTCTGCCCTGCCCACGAGAACTTTCCGTCTATCATCTTCGTTGAGAGTGAGATGTCGTGTTCTGAAAGTAACTCCGTCGATGATTTGAGAAACATTATAGGAGCAGAGGCAGTACAGAACAGCGGGAAGAGCCCAATCTAATTCAAACTCTCGTACCAGTGGAAGGATGGCAAATGGCTGGGGCGTTCGATAAGTAACCCAATGCGATGAAGTCATGTAGACTCTTACCGAATTGTCAATAGGAGGGATACTTCGATGAGTATCACGACGCTTCCATGCTCGTAACGTACTCGGATATGTGGTTTGAACATGAAGCAGTGCACGTCTACGCAGGAATTGTACGTCGTATTTGCTGCTTAACCTTAGTATCGCACCAACGATGCTGAGGTCAGTTGTTGATGGAGGTGGCTCAAAGAATCTGCGCAAAGAACGAGTAAGTGTATGTATTCAACTAAATACAGGCAGCACATACTCTGGATCCAATATGGCTTTCAGAAACCAGGTCAACTCCTCCGTCGAGTCATATAGTCGTACAGTTGGAACATCTTTATGATCGTTTGGTTGCGGGAAAGTGAACATATCACGAAAGACGCTACTCTTGCGAACTAACAGGCCGCTGTATACTTTGAATAAAGAATTCTCGGTTTCGAGTATTAGATTGCCGTCCGAGAACCAGAGGTCTGATACGATTTGTGGAGACTTCGTAGAAGTGGTGAATGGAGTTGACGAAGTGTCCATGGTTGTTGTATAGAAAGAAAGAGAAAGTAAAGACGAATAAGCCTACGTGAACACCCTGTCTGAGGTTGTATATACCTTAAAGGTGTTTATTATTTCCTTTTCCAGCGACTCCGAGTCGATTTTGAGCACGTGTGTCAGTATGTACCGCCCATTCTGTTCCGAACTTCGATAACTACAGATATACAGTGTTTGGCAGACTTCAAACTTGGGCACGCATCTGACGCTTTATCCTTCACTTGTACAAACAAAAGTGAAAGGGGGGTGGAGAGGGGTGGAGTCAGCGAGTTACTGTACGAGGACTAGAGTAGACTAGAGTAGCGATGACTCTCCTGATTTGTTCAAGCATGGAAATTAATTTTGCCAACAGATGAAGCAGTGATCATAATATTATGAATACAGTATTTCCAAAATTCCGATTATAGGTATGCTAAATGGGGTCATACAAAGCAAATCATGAGAGAAAGCATAGAGCTAAGAGAAATGATAGAATGAAAGATGTTCAACGTCACTCTTTCCTATCTGACCAGCGAGTCTCAAGGGGTTCGTCCTCGAAAGTAGACATGATTGTCCTGAACGTGTGATATGTAACATGTCTGTCGAGGATAAAGTATTCCAATCAAATTTTTGAGGTGCAGAACTCATTGAAGCAAGCAGTTTAGATGCAACCACGTTCGGAAGTGAGTGAAGTACGCTAAGGTTGAATGGGAAGATGCTCAGGGGGGATGTGGTAAGGAAGGAGTTCTTACAAAGACTTCTTCATCAGTCCCGCTGAACCATTTCGAGTACGCTCGTGCTTCCGCAGTGGGAAGTCCGGGTTTCTTGTAGCGACAGGCAAGGCAGAGCATGATATAAAACAATGACTCTAAGTCATGGGGCTCGTCCAGGTTGGGCATAACAGATCGCGAGACATGAAAGGCCGGGTACCAGTACGCTGGTTCGACGTTGGGCCCTTGTCCATATCGGCGACATGGGATGAAAGGTTGGAATCATTCAAAACTCCATATATCTTGTCATCCTTGCGTCTGAACATGATGTTGCCGGAGCTGAGGTCGCGATGCAGAATTCCAACACATTCATAGAGCCATTGATGAACTAGAAGCAGAAGGATAACATCATAAAGTGAACAAACAGAGAGATGAATGACAGTGCACTTTGAAGACTTTTGAAGAACATCGTAAAACACTTGCGCAAACTCCTTCCGGTCCTCTAACTCCGAAAGTGGATATTGCAGGTTCCTGTATATGTATCTCAAGCTATATTCTGCGAAATTTGAGGGTCAAAGATCAAACTTACGATCACACCTGCAAAGTTGGGGTTGAGCGGAAATCTGCAGAGAGGGAAGGGAGGTGCAGAATGAAAAATAACAGAAAAAAGACTCACCGATTAAATACATCTGCACTCAGAGAGCTCCTGATTATATTCCCTACATAATCATGCATATGTAGTCAGTTCGGGACTAATGACTTTGAATGATACGCATTTCAACGCGTACCTAAATGTGGTACATTATTACAATAAGGCAAGGCAGACGTAATCAAAATATTTGTTTCGTCTTCTTTGGGTAAACGAACATCGTCAGATTATGCAAGATAGAAATTCGGAGAAATGGAAAAGATCAGAGAGGAAAAGCAATACATCGCAGGGTGTCCTGGTAGAGGAATAACTTGTAGAATACCGTCCGCTGACCGTATTTTCTGAGACATGAAAAGGCCTTGTGAAGGTTAGAGCAAATGAATCAACGGGGAGGTTACAGTCAACGCTTCAGCGTTATCGATTGATTATGACTTCGTGGTGAGCGCTTGAGTAATGTCATTGGCACTCAAATCGACGCGATTAGGCTCAGGTCCGCAAGCTGCTCTGCATACAACGTTGGTATCTATCTTGATACGCGACCAAGAATTTGCTCCATCCTTTCCCAGCAATAATAATATGACCATCAATAGAAAGAAGTGAACGGGCACTCAGGGAGCAAGTCTGGATTACCTTGAGACAAGTATTCCTTCGATAGACATTGGAATCCTATATGAAACAACACGTCGTTGTAGAGACAGAATGTATAATGCGTCCAGACATGGATAGCATGGTGAACGCAGGTTGGTCAAAAGGAAGGATGTAGGTAGATTGACCTACACTTTCCCATTGAGGAAGAAAGTTGAGGTGATCTGATGCCCCCGGAGTACATACAAGGAAGAATGCGGACAATGACAGACTTACCAAACATGGAATCGAAGAACAATAGATGAAGAGCTTTGCCACTACTTTGATATCATGTGATCGTTACATCGCAGCCACTTAAGTGCGTCTCGACAGTAGTCCAAGCATTTTCCACTGTCAAACTCACTCCTACACCACCATAAACATTTCCCACTGAATCATGGAAGCTTCACCACAGAATAACCTCTTAGCCCAAGCTCCCCTTACTCACACTCCTAAACAGAAACAGGCCGGTGGTCCACCAGTTGTCAAGAACACTCCTGGGAGTCACAACTATACCGCTCATGCCAAAGACAAGGTTCCCCAGCGCGCCTCTGTTCTCAACAAGTTTCTCCAAGATGATATCAGCGATAGAGCCGTATTATCTCTCGACGACTTTGCAACCTTGATCCTCGATCTTCCTCCAGATTGGAGAATCAAGGAAGATTTTAGCCTGCTGCCGGAAAGCGAAGTCGTGAGGGAGACTTTTGAGGCATACCTGACAGCTGCAATAGGGGCGACGGAGGGCGAAGGAAAGGGGAAGAAGAAGGGAAAGGCTGCTGCAGTGCGCGAGAAGGAACTGTACCAGCCCCTTGCGAATCTATTGAATAGTTTGAGAGACGGAAAAGGACGGCATATGAAAAAGGACATTGATGAGAAGATTTTCTATGTGCAGGATCCTCGTCCGCTTCTGGGATCACTATTGGAGAGGAAGCCAGACCTAGGTGCAATTTACATTCAGCTATTAGAACTCACCAAGAACGCAAAACTGTCCAAATACCTCGGGAAAAACAAAATCGCCGGCGTTTTTTGGGGACTGCTACTATTCTTCGTGGAAGTCAAGCACGAGAAAGGACGTTTCATAGGCCTGAACATAACCAAAGAAGGTACGCATGCAGAAGTGTGTTCCTTCCCATAAATATTGACATACATTCAGAGACTGGAACGCCCAAGGATGTTTCATCCGGATCATTTATATCCAAAACATCGAAGCATGAATCAACTCAGGCTTCGAAAACAGCACCAGGCTCTTCACAGCTGAATCCCTCAAATTCCAGATCCATTAAACGGCCGAGACCAGTTGAAGAACTCGGAACAGATAGTACGTGGGCCATTGCTTACTATGTAAAGGTTTGTCGCTGAAATAAATCCACAGTATTCCGAGTAACCAAGAGGGTCAAATCTCATTCAACCGCCCAGTCGGAGTCACTAACATTGAGAAGATCCCAAAGATTAGCGAGGAGCACAGGTGAGACAATATTCCCGATAAAAAGGCCATCGCTGAAGCGCGCCTCCAGGTTCTTCGTACCGCGTTCAATCGGGGCCCTTGCCGTCCATCAGACATTCGGGATCTGCTTCTACGCCTCCCGCTTCAGCAACTACCAGTTTTGGAGACGAAAATAGGCCTCGGGTAACCATTCACCAGAGCGGGGGCAAAGAAAAGTTGTTGGAAGTGGGCTCATCGCAGGAGTATGCACTGAGAGCGGAAGAAGAGCTGAAAGAAGAAAGATTGTTGACTCCGACGCAAGGGCAGCACCGTACAAGAATACAATGCGCGAGCTATGCGAAGGAGATGCTTTCGAATGGGTTTATTCGGAACCACGCTATTGGAATCCTAGCGGACGATGACGGGTTCCGTTTTCATTATTATGATCGTTCTAAGGTTGTTGAAAGCGAGGTAAGTTTGTCGCGGCCCGACCCGGCCTTTTTGATTATTTTCTCACAATCACAACTTAACCTTTTACATCCACATCCCAGGCCTTCAACATTTTAGACGACGAGTGGAAGAAACTCTTCATGGCTATGGTCTGCCAGCTGAATAAGCTGTCTTCAGAGAAGCTTGGATTTATCCCAAATCTACATTTGGATAAATACGATCACCTTCGGGACCCAGAACAGTTTTCACAACAGTTTGCAAACGATCCGCAAGGCCTGGTTGGTGCCCACTATTCTTTCAAAGGATCTGACGGCGTTGTGCATATAGTCGTCATAGAACAAGTTCTCTATCGTGCCGAGGGCATCATTGGTCGATGCTCGGTCGTCGTCGAGGTGACATGTATCTGTCAGGACTCTGGTTGCAAATGGAATGGGGAAAGGAAGATCATGAAGATCAGCTTTCCAAGTAAATCTCGACCCTCAGAAGAAGGACTTATATATGATGCTCGATCTAAGGCAGAATCGTCTAGCGAGCACTGGGCGCTCAACCATCTTCCGAAAGTTATCGACTCCATCACGTTACCCTACCATGAAAAGGAAACGGTTCAAGGTCGCTTGAAGACGCATCTGAAAGACAAGTACGAGGAACGAGTAATGCGTGTCACAATTTTGGAGAAACTACAGCCACTTTCGGAGTTAGAGGACCCGAGGGAGTTCGCGCAAGTGTTTTACGATGTTCTTCAAAGTGCGCTGTTATCCACCTCTCTGCTTGTTCACTCTATAATGATATCCTTCTGCTTCTAGTTCATCAATGGCTTTATGAATGTGTTGGAATTCTGCATCGCGACCTCAGCTCCGGCAACATCATGTTCAGACGCAAGGATGACAAGATTTATGGAGTGTTGAATGATTTCGACCTTTCATCCCGTGTCGCCGATATGGACAAGGGCCCAACGTCGAACCAGCGTACTGGTACCCGGCCTTTCATGTCTCGCGATCTGTTATGCCCAACTTGGAATGGCGGCCATCTCTACCGCCATGATTTAGAGTCATTGTTTTATATCATACTCTGTCTCGCCTGCCGCTACGAGAGACCAAATGTGCCTGTTCCTGAACCACGACCTTATGCCTCTTGGTTTCGTGGAACGGACCAGGACGTCTTCAACGACAAATCCACTTTCCTTTCCGAATTTCTTCCTGGAGGGCTACCCGTTCAACCTTATTTCACTCACTTCAGGACATGGCTGCATCTTATCTACCGTTTCGTCTCCGCCGGATATAAAGCGCGACCGTCCCTCGAAGTTGAGTCTGAAATCGCAAATTATGACCCGGCCACCCTGCTTGCTTTGAGGGACTCCTTGCAGGATCCTGAACTCGAAGAGTTTGATTGGAGTACCCTCAATGGACGCGTTACATACCTCACATTCAGAAGGATTATGTCTTCCTTCCAAGCTCAACCTCTCGAAACTCGTTGGTTAAGTGGGAATCTACGCCAGTAACTCATTTATATCACGTCTTGTATAACCCTGTGTAGCATATCTAATTTTGGAACTTCAGAAACATGTATCCATATACTTACTACATCTTCCTTCAACGATTCATCACTTCGATACTACTTTGTCAATGTACAATGATCGCTGTAACTAATCAAACAAAACCAATTATATATAGCAAAGGGGATACTACGTCTGTAAATCCTGGTACACCAAGCATTACCATCTCCTTTCTTTTGGAAACCACCCTACTAGTATAGACTAGTATGCACAATCTAAGGACAACGACATAATACATTACGCACGGTCGTATACGGTTACATGACCCTCAATGTCCCATCAAGTCCCATCACCATCGCTCAAGTGCCTCCCCTTCCCTTTCCTCGGCGAATATCTTGTCATCTCGTCAAATTCAGCATGTTTCCGGTGGATAAAAGAATCATAGAGGAGCAACATATCATTATCGCGACCAATAGTACAACCCCAATTTAGTACTAATCGAAGAGACAAATTGGCATCTCTTCATCAAACACCTCTACCTCTCCTTCCTCCTGCGTACCATTAATTGCATTACTTGCTGCAAAAGCAGCGCCAGCACCTCCTGCTCCAGAAGCAACCCAACTCAACTTAGTGGAGACCTCAGCAATGAGTTCTTGAAGATCTTTCCCTTGAACCCCGGAAAGGGGTCGTGCTCTGCCTCGATGCCAACCACGGAGAGGAGCTGCTTGATTTCGGAGGCGGAAGGGGAGGAGTTTCCACCCAACTGAAGGAGGAGATAGGCTGCGATGTAACGCATTTCTAGCATGGTCTATTTGGCTCCTTATGGAGGGAGTTAGGATGTAAGGATCAGGGAGATCACTCAACTTGAATGAATCAAAAAAAATACACCTGAGACTTATCCTTTAGATGCTACACAGGTCAATCCTTATATACTGATTGCTACAGTTCAAAGACTGACTTCTACTACCGAGTCATGCGAAGTCGATACCAATACTAAGTTGTTCGCTAGAGTGTTTCTTGACTCAATCTCCCGGATCCGTTGGCAGAGGTTGGCAAGTTGTTCCCTGCTGCTTCACGGCAGGCCAAAGGTTACATATATTATCAATATGTATACCTCCCAGGACAATTCTCGTTCGTGGATGAGTGACAACTCCTCGAAAGCAGAAGGTGAAGGTTCCACTGCTGAACATCATCGAAATTGAACGCGAAAACAGGATAAGAGGTTGTAGGAATGAATCAGAATGTTTCCATAAAGTTTCTGGAGCAGGATTGATCAAGGATATGTGACGATAACTGCAAAGTACTAACACACTGAGATTCCTGGCTTGACCGGATGCAAGTGACGGATTGAATAGCAGATGTCATGTAAGCGTTAACGAGCGCTGAACACTTTTGAGATAGATAGATAGATTGATACTCGGCTCCGTCCCTAGAGACGGGGTCCCGCATCGGAACAGCCGGTTACAGTACATGAACAATAGCGAGCTCAGTCCGCAGAGGGAAGGGTAGACTACTGCTGATGTACCGCATACGAGTAAGAATAATGTACGAGAAAGAGCGAGTGCGAGAGATTGAGAGTGCAAGAGATGTGAGAGTGCAAGAGAAATAGATGAGTAAGAGTAAACGGAAGAGTACGAGCGACAAGAAGAGATACGAAATGGTACGAGCGATGAAGATACGACGACGCAAGAGAGCACGAAAGGGACGCAAGAGAGTACGAAAGGGACGCAAGAGAGTACGAAAGGAGAAGTTGAAGGGATTGGAGGAAAATCGTGTCGAGAGTGAAGTGGAACACAAGGAAGAAGAGAGAGGAAGAATGCCATTGCCTTGACAAGAAAGAGAGGAAAGGGTAGATGATGAACGATGATTGTCTAACCTTCGTCTTCCTCGCACTCCTCTTCACAGGCCATGTGAAGTTGGTGTAGTGAATTCCAATGCACGACAGTAGCGTGGATGAAACGTGCTGTGCGAGTGATGAACGTGGTGTTGAAGATGAAGAGTTTGAGGTAATGAAGAGCCTCGGCATTAGAAAATTGTCGGCTTCGGGGAAGAGGGATGAATGGTGATATGTCGAGGAGGAAGGCGGTTCGTAGGTCAGTGGTGGTATCGTCAGCTACACATTGAAGGAGGATATGCTGGGGAGATTCTGGATGAAATGGTGATTGGCATGACCGACATCCCTTTGTGTGTTGTTCTGCCTCAGATATGGGGTCCGTTCTCGCCGGAGAAGCGCGGAATGTGAGAGGGACCATGTCACCACATATTAATCTGGTGAGAGTCCGCCGATGGTCATGATTTTGGATTAGTATGAGGTAGTGGCGCAGCGTTCGAGCGATGTACTTGGCTGGTCCTTCTTTCTGTGGTTCCCGGCGGTTGTGTAGCAATGCTAAGCGATGGCTGTTGTCAACTTCTGACTGGAGGTGGGCGTCCGACTCGTGAGAGATAGATTTGATTAGTTGGAGAACGGATTGCTCCGAGAGCTGAGCCAGTGGGGGAAGGGAGAGTGTTGAGGATGGAAGGTGGGTGATGGCCCAATCGAGGTCCGAGAGCCAACATTTCCTGCCCTGAGTTCGAAGATTGTTGTTTTCCTGGAGCGCGAGATAGGCGTAATGGTCAGGTGGGAGTTTCAGAAGGTAAATGAGGTATCGGAGAGCAAGAATAACTCGACGAATGCGGATGGGCATGATGCCAGTCTCAGTGAAGAGAGGAGCGACCATAGAGCGACGAGAGAGACCTAGCATCCGCCGGAGGAAGAGAAGCTGCACCTGTTCGAGCATGGACAGTAAGTGTTTGTCGGTGTCAATCGCGATTTCACAGCCATTGATGAGGTGACAGTCAATGAGTGCCGAGTAGAGTTGCTTTGCAATCAGCGGGTCAAGACGACGGTGTCCAATGATGAGGTCGCAGCCAGCGATGCCGCCAGCAGCAGTGATTGCAGAGTCACGCTTCACCGTATAATGCGCAGCAAATAGATGTCGGTGTGTGGATTGGAGGTGGAGTCCGACATAGCGTACAGAGTCTCGGTAGGATAGTACTTCGCCTGCAAGGTATAAGGTGGGCAGGGGTGAGGGTAGGCGGCCGAAGACCATAACCCAGGATTTCCCAGCACTGATGGAGAGGTTGTTTGTATGGCAGTAAGTTTCGAAGGCCTTGAGATGGGACTGCAAGCCATGTGAAGAGCGTGAGATCAGGGCAATGTCATCAGCGTGTTCGAGATGAGATATGACAATGCCGAGTAGGTCGAGGTCATTGGGGTCGTGGATGAGATTGAAGGTGGACAAGAAGATGTTCCAGAGAGTTGGAGAGGAGGGGTCGCCCATCAAAACCCCACACATAGCTCGGAAACGATCAGAGATGTCACCATTGTGGGCGATGACATAGGTCATCTGGTTGTAAAGGGAGCGTAACCAGTCGAAGTATTTGCCTGTCAAGTTGTAGTCAGCCAGCTTGTTCCATAAGCTGCTCTGGTTTGTTGATGGAAAAGCATTCGAGATGTCTACAAAAGCCACGTAAAGGGTGTCATCCTGAGATTTAGCCTTTTCGATGAGGGTGCGGAGGATGAATGCGTTGTTGTTTGTCCGGTATCCTGCCCTAAATCCGTTCTGTGAGGCAGGTAGAACGTTAGCCTCTTCCAGCGCCTGGCTCAGCTTGAGATGTAGTAGGAGTGAGGCAAATTTGAGGATACAGCTTTCCAAGGCGATCGCTCGGTAGTTGTTTGGGTCAGTTGCGTCCTTTCCTGGCTTAGGTACTGCCACAATCAGAGATGTGAGCCACGATGTAGGACATTCATTGTGCGTGAATGCGCGGTCAAAGAAGGAGGCCAAGCGGTCATTATCAATGTCCACGATAGTTGAATATGTGACAAGATCAACACCAGCCGAGTTTGAATGGGTGGTGCGTTTAAGGTAGCTCTTGATGGTGCCGATGTCGTCTTCAGATATTGAAGAGTTAAATGAGGGAATTGGTGAAGGAGGTGAAGGGTTCAGGATAGCCTCAGCTCGGGAGCTTTCGTGTTGGGGGGATCGGGGATCGAAGGAGGTAGTATGAGGATCGGGAGGGTTCATGCGAGGAATGAAACAGCTCGTCAGTTGCTCCAGTGTAACCTTAGGTAGGGGCTTGTCAGGGTTGCGTAGGGATTTGTAAAACTTCCAGAAGGCAGCACCACCAGTGTCAGCAGCGAGCCGCAGGCGTGATAAGTTTGCATCCTCCATCTTCCGTCGGTGAGAGCGACCACGGTGGTCAACTGTAGAAGAGGTAGCAGGGATACAGCGAGCCATAGTGGACACAGATGAACGAGGGTCCGGTAACGTGGTAGAGACTTTGGCAATGCACGTATGTGATTGAGGGATAAATGGAGGTGGGGTAGGTAAGGAAAGAAAGTCGAGGTTGGAGTGTTGTTGAGGTAGAGGGAGATTGGCACCAGCTTTTGCGAGTTGGTCTGCCTGCTCATTCTGAGTGATGCCGATGTGGGCATGGACATGAGTAAATGCAATTGTGGAGGCCCTAGCCAAGATCCACTGAGCGATTACTTGAAGAAGGTCCCCGTTAGGACAATTCCAGCAGCATTGAGCATTGTCAGGTGCGTTATATACAATGGACTGGATAGCGTAGGTAGAGTCAGTGTAGATCTCAAGTGTACGACTTAATGAGGTGCGCTGAATGGTGGCGAGGATGGCATAGAGTTCAGCGCGGTTGTTTCGCTGAGGACCTAATATACGCGCAGAAAGGTTTAAGTGGTGGTTAGGTCCCACATAGATTCCGAGACCGGCACATGCAGCGGCAGTGTTATTCTTGAGGCAAGAACCATCGGTGAAAATTTTTAGAGGTGTAGACTGGGGATGGCAGCTGGCATGGCCATAGACCTTGAGTAAGCGTTCGTGGTGCGACTTGTTCCGAGAGTGCAGCAGTTCATGTTGAAGGTGATCAATATCGGAGAGTAATGGGATAGCAATATGAGGCCTTGGGCGTCGTACAGGAGGGCAACGTGTAATTTCAGTGCCCAGTACAAATAGATCCCATGATAGGTAAGCATGGTCAGACCATTCTGTTTCCGGGCTTACTGCTAACTTAGAGATAAAGTATGAGGAGAGCGGTGAGGCCAAGACATAGTCAATTACGGAGGGGTGAGTAGCTGGTGTCCCATCAGTGCTTCATCGGTGTTGGAAGGAGGTCCAGCTGCTGTGGTTGCCGGGGATGGTGGAACAGCCATTCATGATTGTCAGGTGAAGATCTGCGCATAGTTCAAGAAGGCGGCGGCCACGGGTGGAGATGACTGAGTCAGCAGATTGGCGAGGTGCGTGCTCTGGATAGGGAGAAGAGGACCCCGTTCGGGCATTGATGTCGCCACTTATAATGAAAGGGAGATCCAGGGAGGTAGCGAGACGAATGCTTTGGGCAAGGGCATCCCAAGGATGTAGGTCAGCCCATTGGGTCCAATCGGTGCGGGAAGATTCGGGGATGATGTAAGAGTTGAAAAGTACAATACCGTTTACCTGGACTGCTAATATATCCGGACTACTCAGGTCTAGTCTGACAGAGCTCCGAAGGCTGTCGCGAACAATGGTAGCCACACCCCCCAAGGGTTTTCAATATCATCTGCAATTCGTCGACGATTTCGGGTGTAGACTGTAAAGCCAGTTGGAGGGCATATTGTAGTACCCGCTTGAATGCGAGTTTCTTGGAGCATTATAATGTCATAGCTTGTGATGATCTTCACAAAATCTGAGCAGAGGTAATTTAACAAGTAGCGGCCGTTGATATTCCAGGACAAGATATGAATTTTACTGCCATTATTGATCAATGTGGGATTAGAGAGAGGGGGAGGGAGAGAGTGAGGGGGTGGGATGTTGTGAGTAGAGGAAGAAGAGAGAGGGATACGTCGATTATTATTAATTACAGAGCTAAGAGTAGAGACCCTTGAGGGACCCTCAAGTGTAAGAGTGTCTAGGGAGACAGAGCTATCTATGTGTACAGAGGAGTGGAGAGAGGATTGTGAAGACTGTAAGGCAATGTAGCGGCCGGGGACACGAGGTGTCGGCAATGAAGGGGTGTATGACAGAGACTGGTCACTGTCTGCAACCGCCTTCAGTTGTAAGCGTTACTCCGCGCTGTCCCGGAAGACCATGATGTGTGCTAAAGTTGGCACCTCCATGTGGTGGTGGACAGGAAAGCCTCGAGGCCGAAAGGTGAGAAACAGAGTCGAACGTTGCGAGGACCGAGGCGTTCGATGAAGCCCACATTTGGTAGTGTAACGCCTCGGGCGGAACTCAGCGCTAATGACCATTGGCGGTACATGTCGAAAATGTGAGGGTTCACCATCGCTGGGAGGGCTGGGGCATTTGGGGGAAGAATCACCGTAGCAGAGTGGGCAAAGCGAGGATCGCTGCAAAGACGTTTTTGTCTGTGCTCACCATCATCTGCCAGAGGCTCTTGGCGCTTGATTGCGGATCTTGGCAATGGAGAGTCTGTTATGCGATTGATTAACGAGGCAGGAGGGGAAGAGGGCTGGACAAGGGGAGATGTAGTTGTAGATACAGAGGAGGAAGGTGAATGATTGAGGAGGGTCTCCATTGTGAGTAAAAGCTCATTCATAGCTTCCAGGGGTATTGACGAAGATATGAGAGTCTTGAGTTGTCCTTCCAGCACTTTGAGCTCCTGATGGATAAGACTCTTGAGCTCCTGGAGGTGGGGAGCAAGGTTCAAAGCAGAGTGTTCCTCACTTCGAGACATCTCCACTTGAATGTCATGTGTAATTTGTTCTCGAAGCGAGGTAATGGCGGAGGCAGTCGAGGTCTGGATCTCCTCCGTCCGACGATTAATGAGCGCCTCTAAGCGGACAACGTTGCATTCGAGTCGGTGCATCTGCTGCGCTTTTGTCTCCTTATTGGAGCCCTGGTCGAGCAGCGAAGACTGAGGGTAGGCGATTGGATGTAGAGTTGAATCAGAGTTCTTTGGTTTGCGAGGCTTCGAGGTGCCTCCCAGTTTGTGGCCACGACGGCTTGGTGGTTGTAGGCGAGTGGGAGAAGGGGTGGCGACAATCCCGCCAGCAGCAGCAAAGGCTTCTGCCGACTGATTGGCGGATTGACGGTGAGTACGTTCCTTCGATGAAGAGGCAGTGATCATCCGAGCACGGAGCTCCCGGCCTAGGTCGCGAAAGCGTGTATCGAGGGAGAAAGTGGCGGAAGAGATGGGTGCAGGCGTTGGCGAAAGGGAGTCGGCAATAGCGATGTTAGCGAGGTCCCTCCATTCCGCAGTTTGATGGTCCTGCTCCTGGTCCAATTGCTGAGAGGATTGATCTTCCGCATTTTCTAACTCCATTTCGCTAAAGTAATCGTCTTCGTAGTCCACAGGGTAGTCCTGGCTGTCATTGTTGGACATGATGGAATTATATGGGGTTGGGGAAGGAAGAAGGGGGTAGAACAAATAGGGGTTTACGTTCGGGAGGATGGGAAAGGCGAAGATTGGGGAATGTAATGTTTAAGAGGGAAGGTCCAGCTCTCCGCTGTATGGACCGTTCGCAAGCGCAAGGATGAATGGGCTGGGCAAGGAACGCCGTGTGAGAGATAGGCGAGTGGTTGCCCTTCGGGGTTTTCGGCTTGTTCTTGTTTCTTGTTAGACACGGCGTCGAGGGTCCTTAGTTCTTCGCCTGCTGGGAACGCAGTGGCTGGGAGCGATTGCTGGCGTCGTTTAGCGACGTTTTAGGATGTTATTATGTGTGTTTTAGAGAGGGCGGGCGATTTCGAGAGTTAAGCGCTCAATAGATGATGGTGGTTCTGTGGAAAAGACGTCCTAGCGCCGGCCAGCGGCATAGCCCGCTACCCGTACTTAGGATTAATGTTAGGAAATGATTGTTATGACTGTGATACAGTAACCCTAAACACAAAGCCAAGCAAGGTGTAAGTAGGGCCCCAGAGGGAGAGGGGTACACTAGTATGTAGTTGATGTCATATCAACAGACTCAACATTGAGCTCGTGCGACTGCAAAATAAATTCATCCACGGAACTTGAAGATGTGCAGGTGAAAGTTTTCAACTTTTCAGTGGACATTAGATCCAAGAAATTCTTGATACATTGTTCTTTAATGGAAGTGGGAACAATTGAGGGCCACTGCATCCTTATTTGTTACATTCTCAATGCTGAGTTACCGCCCACTGACCCAGGGGCTGATGCAATGTTATCAACATATAATGCAGGTCTTGCTTTAGACTCGAGCCAGTAGCTTCGGATGTTGACACTTTGGAAACTGGTGCTCAAAGGTGTCAGTCTCTGCCAAGAAAGTGATTCCGCATATTGCTTCTCAGCAGCAGACTGGTTCGAGTCTAGTCTCGCTTATTGTTGCATTCACTGAACTTCCAGGATGTCCAGTACAGACCGCAGCGCAGTATCAGTACTCAATGTTCCATTGCCTCCTCTTCCGTCTCAGGGATCCTTTGGTTAGTCGTCGAACATTATCCTGTTTCCTTTCTCAGACTTCCATAGATCCTGTGTTATCATCTCGTGTGGTTTCAGAGACCACCTCTGGTTCGTTGTATCTGCTGTTCATTCCTACCTTACCTTTCCATAGATCCTGCTTCAGTCAGTGATATGACCCAAGCTACATTGACCGAAGGTCCACCACCTGCTACACCCCAGTCGGGACCTTCTTGTGTTGATAATTTGCCTAGTGCATACCCATATTCTCTTGCTTGTGTATCAACACCCTCGTGCTCTACGGTCACACAAATAAACACAACGAGTCTGTCTTCATTGCCACCAAAGACAAACAATGTACCCAGCAAGGTGTGGTCCATGACAGTGGAGCCTAGTGATGATAGTGTGAAGAGAACCTAGACAACCGCCAATGTACTTAGTGGATCGATAATGGATAACGGTAAACGTGATGTTGACATGAGAAATTTGAGTATGACCATGATGGTTTACAAATATCCAACAGTGCATAACCACGTTAGAAATTTTAACTTAAAAAAAAATTGGACCTACATATTGTAGAAACCTGTATAAACTAGGCTTTCCGCTATACATATTTAGACTTTTTTCCAGACTCTGCTGGCGGAGGTCCGTCTGCCCATATAAGCCAAGCACTTCTATGGTGGCTAAGATCGCGGGCAAGAGGGAAGAAGTAGATTGAATGGATAACCTAGGTAAACGGTTTGTGCGTTCCGAATGGTCTGAGTTTAAGAAGGGAATTGAGTTGAAGAAGGCAGGGTCCACGGTGCTGCTTGATGTTGAACGTTTTGAACATGCGTTTCCTTTGAGGTTCTTTCTGATAGTAGCGTATATTGGGTTCATGTTATCTATGAGTTTCATTCAGAGAGTCAGAAAGTCAATGAAAGGCGGTTCAACAGTCGCTTTACACGAGTAAACATTGTGCTAATAACTGTTGGTACTAGTGGCAAGACGCGGATCCGGGTTCCGGATTCGCGGGGAAGGCAAACGCCGAAAGGATAACTTTGGGGGCGTCAATAATTTGTTCATAATCATCTCAACATGTGTTCACGGTCTGTAACCTCTCATATATATTTGACCTTATCTTCTCTCCTTCTTTCCGTAACTGGCTATCCTCTCCCTCCTGTTTTTCTGTCTTTCGTACTATCACCTGAGAAGGTCAATATCTCTTGAACATTCCATTAACTTTATCTACAATGGCGGCGGGCCAACAAGCCACTAGTGCAGCTAGTGAGCGGGTTCCGTTACTAGGAACGAGTACCAGTCAGCCTCGAAATGAGGCTCGGATGAGAAAGCCTTTCTATAGAGCAAGACCTCTATGGTGCGCTTCTTTCTTAGGGCGTTTTTTGACTAGCTCACGCGACAAACAGGCTGGTTCCGTTCGCGATTACCGCGTCTCTCGTTGTGAGTTTCTCACATCATCTTTCCTTCACTTCAATTCACGATTGACGACGACTTGTACTATTATAGCGTGGTATGACTATGGCACCTCGCGTCGAAGTCTTCACTCAGCTGGCTTGTGCATCTACACACCACCACACTCAGCGTACATACAACCATACGCTAGATAATGCTAGCCTGAACCTTCTTGACTCACACACTCTTTCCTTATATTACACACTCGACCCTCTGGGACCTCATCTACCCGAACACCTTTCAATTCCTACAATTCCAACATCCACAGAACATACCTCGCCTGTTGACCCTCCAGACGACGACGAACCCGATCCCGACGACGACCCTCGGAAATTACCATCCCCACAATGTATCAGAGATCCTCAAGTCCAGAAAGAAGCTGCACGTATTCAAACAATATTGACTACTACGATGGGTCTATTATCGGCGTTCAGTACTGGCTGGTGGGGCCACTTCAGCGAACGTCATGGGAGGACTAGGGTTTTGGCTATGGCAACTTTGGGGTTGTTTCTAACGTACGTCCGGGTTTGCGTTCATGATCGTTCATTTATCATTTCCGTTCCCATGTCCGTTCTGGGAATCATTGGAGGCACTGCCTGTACATACACTCATACGGAGCGTGCTAGGCTCTTCATTGAGCCCGTGCGATTGATGCCGCATGCCATCACAGCGAGCATCATGACTATTACCAAGGCGGTATGATGCTGTTGACGCTTTTGACTATCGTTTCTTATAAATCGAGTCTGCCGTGTGCTAACGCATTGTTTCTTTGCTCCTTTAGGGACCTTACATTCATTCTAGTCGCGACCCCCGGTTCACCTCTAGCCGCTCACGGTCATAAATTACTCGTCATCGCACCGATAATCGAAGGCTTACTCGGAGGCTGGTCTACACTCCAGTCAGCCACATCGGCGTATGTCTCGGACTGTACTAGTCCAGGCTCTCGTGCGACTATTTTTTCGAGGTTCAATGGGGTTTTCTTCCTTGGGTTTAGTATTGGGCCGGTGATTGGTGGGTGGATCATTAGGAATGGTATTCCAGGGATTGACAGGATTGGAACTATCAATAAGCAAGTGAGTTACTAAGCGCTCACTAGTTTACTAGAGCATACGGTTACTCGTATATTTTGCAATCTCGCATTCTCATCGCTATTTTTACTGACTTACTTTTTCTCCGGTTTCGTGTAATCCAGGGCAAAAGCGTGACAGAAGTTTTCTGGCTAGCGATATGTTTATCGTTTATGAATTTCCTCCTGACGACCTTTTTGTTCCCCGAATCTTTGTCAAAGGAACAGCAGGACAAGGCAAAGTTGGCGCATGATGGTGACGGTCCGGACGCCAAAGGCAGATCACGATCTGATAACGACTCTATGAGTGCAAATGCAAGTCCCACTCATGGACCCGATGAACCTAGAGCGGCACCGCGAAAGAGCAGTACTCTGGGGCGTGTATTCAGTCCCTTGGCACTCTTCCTTCCCGTTGTTATCACGGAAACTACGAATACTGGAATCCGGAAGAGGAAAGATTGGAGTTTAACTTTCCTTGCTATGGCAATGTTTTTGTATATGCTTTCCACGGTATGGGTTCATCGATAACTTAATATTCAGATAAAAAGCTGATACCGTGTTTTCTTCAAAGGGTGTTTACCAGATAAAGTATCTCTATGTCGTTCACACGTATAACTGGGCCGCCGACCAGCTTAGCTACTACATTTCGTATCTCGGTGGTTTAAGAGCACTTGGGTTGTTGTTCTTGTTACCCAGTAAGCTTTTCCTTTCTCGTTCAAGGTATTTTCGGCTTCTTAACTAAATAAATCAAGGCATTATCTCAACTTTTAAGCCGAAACCTCCTCCCGGTCAAGGGAAACAAGCAAAGCCGACTAAGAGTCGTCTTGCAGTAGAGATAAACTTTGACCTTCTCTTAACTCGATGCTCAATCCTCATTGATATCTTTTCACAATTCCTGGTCACTGTCATTCCAACACCTCGTATCGCGCATCAAATGCATACTACTGCTGATATCGGTCCTGGTAGCCTTGGTAGTCCTAATTGGATTCACGACCCAAACACGCGAAGCACGGTCTTCTTCGTGGTCGCCAGTGGTCTAAGCAGTATCGGCTCAGGCTTCATCCCGGCATGCCAAAGTCTGGCATTGTGTATTGTTCAGGCAAGACAGCTACTGGAAGGACAGGCAGATCCAGATCGGACAATAGAGGAACAACAGCAAGAAGAAGAAGAGTTTGGAGGAGGAGGAGGAATCAAACCTCAAGCAGATACTGGAATTGGAAAACTCTTCGGAGCGCTGTCAATGTTACAGGCCGTTGGACAGATGATCCTTGGGGTGAGTCGGATTTTCTTTTCACTTGCCACACTGTTTGACCAAACTTTACCATTCCTCCGAATGCGATCTTCTCCTATCGTTTCGTACGATATACAGCCTCTATTCTTCGGTTTGCTTTACGGAAACACCGTAGCTTTCTTCCCGAAAGCTATTTTCGTTTGCGGTTGTGCAATATTGACTGCCGCGTTGGTTTGTGCCTTCATGATACGGAGTCCCGTGGAACGAGAGCTTCTGATTCATAGGGCTCAAAAGATGAAAGGGAAGAAAAGAGTTGAGCGTGAGAGGGGCAGGTCGAGGGCTAGCAAAGACTTATTTGGGGGTACGAGTTTGGAATCAAGTTCAGGCTCGGATTCGGGCTCGAGCAGCGGTAGCTCTGACGCTACAGTTCCGGTGGTGGAAGCTTGACCGATTTCCTCATACTACTTATGAGTTCTAGTGTGATTTCGTGAGGGGGGGGGGCGAATTGGTTAGAATATTAAGGATAATAACTTGTATTATTCCCATACTTATTTCATTGTATCGTATCTTACTATACCGTATGCATGTAACATATACTCTTTTGATCAAGTGCTGTGAAGAACTAAACGTTGATCAACTGTGGTTGAACTGCAGAACCAGATCATTTTCGGAATTTCCGGACCGCATTGGCTTCAAACAAGAACAAAGGACATCCTGTCACGGTTAGTCAATAATATCTTTTGCCCTGAACGGCGACAACGGCGAGTCCTATCTCATGGAAAGTACCAGCCCAAACGCTGTCGCAGGCCCTTCAAATCCACGCAGTTCCCCATCTCACCCTACGTCTTCCGCTAACCCTTCTAACACGCCACACTCTCATGCCGACCAACCTTCACAACTCTTTCTCCCGACACCAGGTCCTCTTCTTCATATCAATATTACAACCATGAACTAACTCAGATCATGTAACCAAAGGTCCCCAGCAATTACCGGCGTATATACAAAGCACGCAGGATCTACTGGGCAAGTTTCATCTTCACGACGCTTACGACAAATACGTGCGATTTTTCAACGCATCGTCTGAGGATGCCCCGATTCCAAATGATAGAAATGAAGCAGTATCAGCCTCCCCACCAACCGCAGGGCAAAATGGGTTGATGGGAGCCTCAGACAAAGGGAAAGGGAAAGAGGTAGCGCCTGCGCCAATTGCCCAAACTCCAGCTGCAGATGGTCAGGATGGTGATGATGACGACGGACCAGGCGGCAAGGGGGAAAAGAAGAAAAAGAATAGCTATAAGCATCTGATCAAGGGTGTCCCTGGTGCGCTCATGAAATTTATTTTTTCTTTTTTTTCTCGATCCTTATCCGGTTATCCAGGAAAACATTCTTTGAAGAAAGACGACTACTTGACAAACCTTATGCTAGCTCCCCCAAAACAGCGCGTACGAATATCAGAATTTGACTCTCGTACCCAGAGGGATGCATTCACCGTCAGTTTAGAAGGACTGAAAGGTGTAAGTCTTGACCTCAGACTGCGTTTATCTGAGTGGCTCCATATTTCCTTTGCAGTGGAATCCTAGTACACTGGTTCTCGAATCGGCTCAAGCCCGGGAAGATCGAAAGAAACGGGTAGGGTCTCTATCTCCCTTCTAGAATCGATATCCTATAACGCATGGTGATATAGAAAGAGCTTAAACGGCTTGCTAAGGCTCAGATGCAAGCTCAATCACAAGCCTCAACACACCAATCTTCACCGGTTGCTTCAACTCCCATCCCTGCTCCAGTACCTACATCGGCTACAGCATCTGCATTCCCTAATCTCGCTTCTACTCCCCGACCGTCCAATTTATCCTCAACTCCAAGACCTGCAGGCTCGGGTACACCTCGTCCTCATCCTACGGCCGCTGCTCCTCCCACGATCAGGCCTGGTAGTGCGAAACCTGGTTTACAACCAGTGCAAATACCCGGACCCGGCATCCGAGTGACTACTCCGCTTCGGACGGCGACTCCTACTGGTCCTCATCCACTCAGTGCTCCACCATTAAGTGCAAGTTTTGTATCTCCACCAGGCTCGTTCAGTGCCCCACAACCTCCTTCAAATGCGTTGAATGCTGTTGTTCCCCCTCGAGGGAAGAAGAGAGAACGTGACGAATCTATGCCCGCACCTGCTAATGGCAACGGGGTAGCTCAAGTCAATTTCAACGGCAATTCTGCCAACATCGGGGCAACACCAAATACCATTCCCAAGGCGATCATCGGAGCACGAGCTGGGAACAATGGCGTGAGACCTCGACCAATCCCTCCTCCGATGAAGAAACAAAGAATCGTATGTTTTTTGGGCTCCCTCGTGCTGCGATGAATCAAACGATTTCTCATTATAGGACTCGCATGGGGTTGGGCGCAGTACTGCACCTGTACAACAGCATACGCCTGTCTAGAACATTTCAACGCCATCATCCCATAAACGACTAACGGACCCAGGTCCTGCACAGGTCCCACGAATAAAGCAATTCCCAAGCACGATGTTGGGAAGTTGTTTCGGTCGTTTTACGCATATATAGTAATATACTGCAACGATTTAGTTGTGACTGCGCCGTCCATGACCCAAGACGTTTGCAGTTCGTACAAGCATGGAGACCAGAAGTCTGTATCCTTGTTAAATATGGTCCTTTGATTGTGTCGCGAATGCACACACCGTGGCTGTGTACGCGACGCGTACTTCGAAGTTTGGATATTCTTCTAGATTCAAGCTCACCTTCATGGCTCTCCTCGTGCTCATAAATTCCATACGTTACTGCCTGATGTATCTCCCCATACTTCATTTATATCCGTAATCGCTCCTGTATCACATACTTACCGCATGATTATGTATGTGGTTTGCCTTGGAAGTCAGAGAAAAAAACTGAGGTTCTACATATATAGTTCATAAAGGACGTGATAAAATTCTACCAAAAGATACTTATTACAAACAATGAGTATATAAATTACTCTAGTAAATTATCATAAAAAAGCAAGCATAAGTACACCAATACCAACGGTTCGTGGAATAGAAAAGGGTATAATGTTTATTGTCTTGTGTTCAAACCTAGATTCGTCGTGCTACGATTGCTGATGCCGCCAGAATCGTAGCTCCTTCTCCCAGAAACAGCACCAAATCTCCCCTCCTCCGTGATGCTAGTTATCAATCCAGTAGTACTAGCGTTCTTCTTGGAATCCAAAGAGCGCACCCCCTTCCCCGTCCCGTACCCACTGTCTTTGTTTTTCTTCGAATCCAAAAACGCATTTCCACCGACTATCGGCATACTCAATCGTCGCATCCACCCTTTGGGCTTTTCCTTCTCAGGGCGAACAGGCGAAGCTAGAGGTGAAGACGTTTTATATTTCGATGCTGAACAGTTTTCGCAGCCGCAATACGGAGCATGGTTTGACGTGCTTGTAGAGCTGTTTTGACTACTATCCCGACGTGTATACGCACTTCCAGCGTCGCTGGCACCGTATGAAGAAGGCCGGGGAGGGACGAGGTTGGTAGTGCTGGCAGAGGAATACTGCGACAAAGGACGGCTAGGGAAGGAACTAGAAGCAGCATTTGTGTGGGGCTGCTGAAAGGATAGTTGACGATCTCGAAGGCGCAAAGGAGGTTGCGGGTTACGGGCTATTGATTCCAAATCAGAAGGTTCTCTTGTAAAAACAACCTCGTTTCTGGAAATCAACATCGCTTTCTCTCTCTCAAGCTCTTGACTGCGCAACTTAATCTCTTGTTCCCTAAGCCGTAGTTCCCTTTCTTTGTCCTGGATCTCGAGCTCTGCAAGCTGATTTAATCGCTGCTGGTGGCGCCGGCGTTCATCTTCGAGAGATTCTGATTCGCTAGGGCGGTTAGTTGGCGATGAGGGAGACGACTGGTCTCTGAGTACTTCGCCTTGTCGCAATGTATCGAGAGAATGTGACGTCCGCGTTCCGTTGGGGGATAAAGGTCGAGGCCGGGGTGAGGAAGGACTAGCAGGAGATTGATAACGGGTGGCGAGGTCATTCACGCTTAACGGTAAGCGAGGAATATCCTTTGGAGGCGGTGATGTATTTCCAGGCTGATCAAAACTGATAGGTTAATGCCAGTCGCAAAGTAATCAGAACTTTACTGACCGTATAGGAGTACCGATTTCTCATCGTGGCAACAATACTCCCGTTGCTACCTGCTTTTGCAACTTCCTGACCTGCGGAACCAGTTCGTTCCTCCTTTGAATCTGGACCTGATTTCGAGGAGTAGGAATGCGTAGAAGAAGACTGGGTTGGTGAAGCGGAAGGTTGATCACGGGCTGTATAATTTGTCGAGACTTTACGTTCCGAAGTAGCTTCATCGAGCTGGGACTGTTGTGGGGACTGTGCTTGTTTTGACTGGACGATAGTCTCATTCAAAGCCGGCCTCTCAAAAGACACCAATTTCAACGGATTACTTGAAGAATCAGTCGTAGTGTTATCCAGCACATCTTCAGACCCAGGAGACTGGCGTTCGAACCGGTTCGCATTGAGTGAAGGGAAACTGGTGACGGGAGAAGAAGACCCGGTTGATCGGCGCTGGGTCAAAGGGGGAGGTAGTGGGAAATGTGTAGGAGGCGCTGGGAATTGGGATAATGATCGAACAGAACCAGTGTTGTCACTGTCTGTGAACTTTCGCGGAGGTTCGAACGAAGACGGGGGTGCGGATTGCTGATTAGTCTGGTCCTGCTTGCTCTGATACTGTGATCCGGCCTGGGTCAGTGCTGGAGATGGGAGGGGTTGGGGTTGAGGTTGGGTTTGGGTTTGGGGGTCGTTTGATGTGAGACTTGGTGGAGGGAACTTGGCGACTTGAGCTATGGCTGCCATATCGTTCGGGGTCATTATTTCTGCTTTCCTAGTTGGTGTTGAAATGGCACGGTGCTCGATGTCGTCTTCGTAGTCGGATCCCCTTGGCGTCTGATCAGCTGGCGAGGGAGGTCGAAGAACGTCGACATCCCTCAAGTCTGTTGGAATAGGGCCGGTCCAACCGCCTTCGCAGTATGTACGCCATTCAATCAATTTGCCGACAGAAGGTGCGAAACGTCGAACGCTTTCGCAAGACCGTAGCCATTCAGCGTCGGCTAGTCTAGACACACTTGCAGCAACGTTAAAGGTCGTAGCTGTATGCCTCTCAGTTACTTGTAAGCAGTGATTGCTGGGGATAGTGTCATTGTTGTATGATATAGTGCAGATATATACAGGAGGCTTACTATTTCTCCTGAGAAATTTCAGGCCCCATAGCAGATATTAGGTTGATATAGCGAGCGTGTTCTTCGCTAGCATCTCGAGCACTCTTCTTTGATTTCTTTTCATACATGAGACCTGTTATGAGTGTAGATTGTACTGCAGAGCGTCGTGACTTATTGAGAAGTTTACCGTACCAGCTTGTTTGATCTTTGCATTCGCGATTGCTATGCGTTCATCATGGGCCTTCTCTTCTTTCTAAGAAGTCTGGATCAGTGCTAAGTCGATCTGGGGCAATACATATACGGACGCACCGCCAACTTCCGGAACCATTTCTTCACATCACCGCTCACCCCGTCATATTCCTTGTCGGCTAATTTTGCAAACTTACTATCGACTTCAGAGAGAGCTTCAAAGATGGTAGCAGAAGTATTCAGAGCATTGGCTAAACAGAATAACATTAATTGAGAGCTTGTAACGAATCAGTCAACGACACACCTGCGATCTCTCCTGTTACTTTCATACCCGCTGTTTCCCTCAATGCCTTGGCCATCTTCTTTTGTAAAGTCACTACAGCGCTCGCAGCTTCACAGTAATCATTGAAGACACTGAGTAATGTTTCGAAGGATTTGCACGATTTGTGAATGTCAATTCGTTCAGCAAGTGGAGGCTGTACGGCAGGGGTAGCCATTGGAATGGCTGGAGTGCCCAGGGAGTGCCTGAGAATCGTTAAGAAGAGGTGCCGTGAGAATTGGTCAAAGCTAGATAAAGCAACCCTAAACAGGAAACGTCTTCAATTTCAATTCCCTTGCTAACTGTCCTGAGGACAACAAATTATCTTATCATCCCCAGACGCACAACGGCTACATCCCAATCTTCATTTAGATGGACCCACGAACGCTAGAGAAATACCGTGCACTTGTGATTTGCTCCAGCTCTCAGCTCTACCTAGCGAGCATCAGGGATATACACATAATGTCCAGGAAAATCATCGGTCCCAAACTTGGATACTGAGGCAAACCGAGGAAAGACTCAAGGAGTGATCAAATGAACGCGCGGGGTGTACATATTACGAATGAGCCAAGTGCAGTCCTGCGTATGTATGGAATGTCCACACCCATCGTATTGCGGAATCATCTAAACTCCATGTCACCTGAAGTTTTGGTTCAAGTTATCCTCACGGGGAAGGATAGGGAAAAACATTGTCACATTGAGGCCAGTATCTGTACACGCATACGTTTCAGAGGAACAAGGAGCATTGAGAGTCATGGCTTTGGATTGTTTTAATTGAAAATCTGTGAAGTATGATAGCCAGTCAGCACGAGACGACATAGGATAGTATGAAGACGAAATGTATCAGTAGTCAATGGATTTTTTTCCTCAACGTGTGATAGGTAGTCTAACATGCGCTTGACATGGCTGTGAAGCCCATCATATGGATTAGGAAAATTAGAAAAAGACTCACTCGAATGAAACCCAAAAGTGATATTGACCGGCTTGAATGTTGTGGTTCAGAAGAGGGAAGCAAAAAAAAATGATGGTCTGCGTGGGAATTAAACGAGTACGGGAAGCAAAGTTTTATCCATCGATGATCTTCAAGCCATCGACATGCCTCGTGCTGACAGCAAGGCGAATATATCACGTCCAAATGGCCAATCGATCTCTCGACTTCAGCGTGGACTTCTCCCCGCCTTCAACGCGCTTTTACTTTATTACAGAGCACTTGCTCTAAGTCCTCTTCTTTCTCATTTCCTGCAATTCGATCGCTGAGCTCCTTGTATCTTTTCCGAGATCCTCACCGACAGCGCAAGGCCGCTCGCTAACGCAATCGCGTAGTCGCTGGCCAGCTCTTTCCTATCTTGATCCATCTTAACTGATCTTCGCCTTTCAATTCTCCTACTTTTACCGGCGACCCTTATTCTTTCTTTCTCCAATACGCTCCTTCATGCCTAACCCTACCTACCCCGGCTACCTTCGAAATCCTTCTCGAATTCCAGATGTAAAATCTCCATTAGACAAAGGTTCTTCCCCAAATACCCCAACTCGCATTACGATACCCCCTTCCAGTGTGTTTGATCAGGCTGCCGAGATAGAACGGTTACCAGCGGCAAACTATTCTTCATCCTCTAATTCGCAGGATGTCGACGAAGCCTTGCTAGAAGAATCATATGTACCGCCTGTGGACGAAGGTTTAGATGACCTTTGGGAGACGTTGAGACAGAAGAAGGAGCTGAAGATGGCGAAGGAAACACCGAAAGTGCGGTCTCTTCAGGAGCAACCGGTTGAAGAGGAGTTCTCTCATATAGAGGCTCCAGACCTCGACGTACCGGTGGGTACTCAGAGATCGGAGACGCTCAGAAGACAGAAATCGATGTGCGTGCACCAGTCGGGATGGAACCTGGTGAACTAACGTCTGATTTCTTTCTAGAACTTCATTCCGCGAGTCGCCTGATGGCAGAATCATCGCTGCCTTCATTGAGATGCGAGGCGTGCAGAAACAAGACGTCCACGTCAGCTATTCGCGCAATCGTCTGGTCATCTCATGGAAATCCGTGGAGATATCAGAGTATGAAGAGAACGGTCGTGTCATTCGAGAAAGACTCGAGCGTGACTTTCAAAGAGTTCATCCTCTCCCAGAGGGCACCAGGGTGCGTTTGACGTTCGTTCAAGTAACGGTGACACAATTGATTTACTGTCATTTCCAGTTTGAAGAAATCAGTGGAGTGATGAATGGTAGATTTTTGGTACTACGTTACCCGAACAGCAGATCTTTCAGAGTTGAGAACATTCCAAGTTCAGTCATCTCATGATACATCCCTCTCTACTTTTTCGAGCTTTACTGGTAATTTCAGATTGTACATACTCATATGATCACCGTCCTTACTATTCAATGTTATAATTTGTGTCAGTACACGTTCGATACAATAATGATCAAGACTTCGAACTCCAAGATTCGGTACTCAGTGCTTCTCCCTTTTACCCTCTTTTTCATTTCTCCGGAAACCGTTATGAACACTTTTGTTCCAAATAGGATTCATTTAGGAGCAGCGTCCATACCTACGAACAGGTCCGGAGAAATCTATAATCTATATGGTAGCACTTATCTTCGTCCAGAACTTCAAAACTAACCAGGCTGGGAAAACGGAAGTAGAAACGAGAATGATATAGTAAGTACCACAGAGGTACCATGAGCTTTGAAATGAAATTCGAAAGCCTAGTAAGAGAATGTATCGAAGCACAAACACATGAGCATAGAAGCTAGACAAGTAGAGTACAAGCCAGGTGCAAGCAAGTCCATCTTTACAAACTATGGATACAATAGCTTGCCTGCGCAAGCGGCGAAAGTTCAAACAAATGCAGTGCAAGTAAAACTAGGTAGGAGGTTTGCGAGTTTGCGAGACTAAGGATTATGTTGGTGGCTTGAACTTTTTATTGGCATAACCTGTGGTAAGTCGACCCATTCCTAACCTCCGTTTAAAGCCGGTCGTAGGCTCGGGTCCATTAGGGGGAGTAGTGGTATTAGAAGAAGACCTGAGAGGCCGCACTACAGTTTGTGCTTCCAACGAGGCCGGGGCCACAGGAACTATAGGAATCACAGGTGCAGCTTCCTCTAAGGCCTCAGGAGTTATCGCAGGTTTCAGAGTATATTGTATTCCGCGGAGTAGGGATGTACGATGTGGGAGCAAATTTGGAAGCACGGATCTTGCAGATGATGGTGGAAACGCGGAAGATGCGTTGTAAATAGGCTTTTGGGAAGCTGCGATCGAGGAAGATAATGATGAGCCTCGATAGGTCATGTGCGAGGGCACTGGTGTCGGGTGTAAATTCGAGGATCCTGCAGAAGTAAAGTTCACGAAGGGCGGCGTATCTGTATCATTGTAGTCAGTTGATGGTGCGATATATGACTGCACATTCAAGACAGTGGCATTATTGTTGTGAGTTGGGTATTCTGGAAAACGACTTCTAGCTGACTTGTTACTGGAAGAGAATCGGTTAAGATGGACGTCAAACACGCTGCCGCTGACAGAAGGGACATACTACTCTGCAATGTGTTGTGTGACTTGTGCTGAGTTCGGTTGCGGTCGATTCAGAACTTGACAGATGACTTTCCGATCCAGGTCAGATAGCATTGACGAGCTTTCCGCGAATAATGACTGAAAACAATAGAATGAGCAAGAGAAACGGTGAAAAAAAATGCCAATGACCGGAATCCGTCTGATCACAGACGACACAAATGGTGATAGGTCTCTAGTCTTGGTCTCCCCGGAGACTTTCCGTTGCGTGGCATATGATAAATACAACAGAGACTGAGCACGAGTACAAGCTACGTAAAGTAGTCGTCTACGTAAGGGACTTGAGCGTCAGACGTCGGACAAGAGAGAAAAGGCCAGAACTTACCTTTCTTCTTCGACATCGTCAGTTCGATAAAAAGGGAAAGTTCCCTGTTCCACTTGGGTTAACGAGTCAGCAACCAAAAGTAAGTAAACATGGAACTCATCACCTGCAGGTACCATAACGACAGGCCATTCAAGACCTTTAGCAGCATGACATGTAGAAATCGTCACTTTCTAGGAGTTCGTTGAGCATCGCAATGAATAAATGGATAGTCTGTGGATTCACCTCATTTTCACCCTCTTTGCTTTGTTGATCTCCTTCCGAGGATAGCATCGAAGCCTGCAGGAAAAGACGAAGGGGAGTATCTCTGATTGGTTGTAAGTCAGTGTTGTATGGAATAGCTTAGACAAGAAAAGTGCAACCGTGATGTTTGGGCGTCTTCCGAAGCTGCAACAGTAGGGCCGTCTTGCCAGTCAGACTGAACGTCGCTGGCGAACGTGATGAGCTCCTGTACGTTTTCCCACCTGCTCTCCCAGTCGGGCTGTGTTTTTCTTAAATGATCTTCATAGCTGATCAGCTCGACGAGACGACGAATCAGGTCCGATGGACGAGCGTTCTCGGATGCCATTTGTTTGAGAATGCGGATAGAAGAAACGAAGGGGCCTATTTTGCGCTTGACAGCAGGCTTGATGTCAGACGTTGTACCACTGTGTATTTTCTCTGCGAGGTCCACAAGTGTTAGGTTTGACGCATCGGCTCGTGCTAGAAGCTCGGCCACACTCTGAGTCGAATGTTTAGTCAGAGAAAAGGAACTGAGGGTATAAAAACTGCTTACCTTTTCACCCATCCCTCGAGCGGGAGTGTTAATGGCGCGCACGAAAGCAGGGACGAATTGGGGGTTATCTACAAGTTGAAGGTATGCAAGCAGATCCTTGATCTGTAATTCTACGGAGTCAATGTCGTGACTAATCGCAATCATACAACACTGACTTCGACACGTTCAAAGAATTTATGCCCACCCAGAATACGACTCGGGATTCCTTCTTTTTGTAGAGCGCTTTCAATAGTACGGGAAAGAGCATTGAATCGCACTGCAAGTGGTCAGGTTGGTTCCGTCAAATCCTTTTGGATTACACATACGTAAAATAACGAAATCTCCCCAGTTCAAAACGCCTCCCATATGCGCCACAATCTGTTTGATTTCTCCTGCAAAAAATGCAGCTTCCATTTGTTCGGAGGAGGAGGACCTTAGGACAGGAATTAGTCCCACAGGATGCGACGTATGTAGCGATTTCTGGATACGAGTTTTATCTGCGAAGAATTAGTCACAGTGTAGAATATTGGAAGAGTGAATGAGGTTACCTTCGGCTACAATCGCCAAACTGGCTCTAAGAATAGAAGCAGTTGAACGATAGTTTTCTTCTAAAAATATCTGCTCTGTGGAGGAGAAATCTTCGCACAAATATTTTCAAAGGATGCTATTGCAACTGAAGGGAAAAAGCAGGCACCTTTTCGCATTCTCGCCAGATTTCCAACCTCAGCCGATCGCCAGCCATAAACTAAAATCGGATGAGCATCGAACAGGCATATACGCGAAGCAAATACGAACTGGATTGATCAGGATCACCAACAACGGTAACGCAACGCGCATAGGCAATAGCTTTCATAAGATCATATTGTGTGAGGTTCGTATCCTGGCTGAAAACCAATGAATGAAGTTGCATAAGGAAGGGAACCTTCGGCTCACAATTCGTCTACTAACACATGCTGACACCATTTGACTGAGTCCAAGTTTGTGGTAAAGAGTTTCACTCCAAAGAGAAGTAGATCGTCAAAGTCCAAGCTATTGTTCTTCCGCAGCGTCTTTTCATAGGCGTCATATATTTCGGCTACCACAAAATCGATGTCATTCACGGTGGTTGACGAGGTCAACAGCCCGTTCGAATCTTTTGGCCCATGGTTTCTGGCCTGAACTTCCCGGAGAAAGTCTCTCGAGGAAAGGCCTCTGGCTTTGGCTTTGGAGATGAGAGCAAGGACTGTTCCTTCTTTAAGGCTGATATCCTTGGCGGCTAGGTCGTCTTTGTATATCTTCAACAACGGTGCAACAATCTTCTTGCTAGGAAGCTTTGATAAAGTTCGTTCGTTTTCATATGCAAGTAACACACCTTTCCTCCGCATCGCAGATGGTGAAGTTTCCATCCAAACGGATACTCCTTGCATATTTTCTCAAGAACAGTGCACAAAGTGCGTGGAAAGTTCCCATTCGCACTTCCGATGTCTTTTCCTTCCCGATTACCTTCGTAAGGCGCACCCTCATTTCATTTGCGGCCTTGTTCGTGAACGTGACTGCACATATCGACGACGCGGGGAGGTGATGATGGAGAATTAGATGGGCAATGCGAGAGGTTAAGACCTGTAGAATGTATAAGATGGATAGGGAAATGAAGCGAAGAAGGGCAGAACAGATATCACTGGCCTTAGTTTTTCCGCTACCAGGACCAGCAAGTATTTGTAGAGGGGTTCGAGGGGAGTGTTGCACAGCTGAATACTTTCGCGTCAATAATTGGAGGTCTCTTTTCGACAGACAACTGTTCCACCTTTGAGTTGGGCAGCATTGAGAGAGTTCAGGTAAGAGGTCGCAGAGCTCTCGGATAATAATGGAGATAATCCAGTCGATTCAGCATTCATGAGCTCAGGAAGTTCGAGGGAGATGAGGAAGAATAGACACGCGTTGAATCACCGCGCCGTGACGCGATCACGTATACCCGGGCCGGGTTAGCCACCAAACACGTGCAACAGGTTGGACTATTGTTCGACAGAAATAAGAATCTAGAAACGACGTCGACTATTCCTTCAACATCCTGACCCTATGGCCATCACTGAGAATGCGCTTCCAGCAAGTCCCCTTGAGCGCAACTCGGTACCTCACATTGATCTATCGAAGACATTCAACACTACTGGTACCAAGAAGAACAGGAATCAGAACTCCACACCCTCCAGCTCATCTCGGAAACCTATGGGCAATTTGAACAGGTTGTCTGGCCATGCTAAACCCTTAGGATTACTTTCTCCCCCCTCCAGTCAAATAAATGTTCTCTCGGGCGAACCAAATTCCGAACGAAACTCAGACCGCCATTCTGATTATGAGCCGCGCGAAAAGGACGAGGACCCTGCGAGACTTTTAATTAGTCCACCCCCGGAAGAGGAACTTCAGCAAATCAATATCAGTCAGAGATCTAGCTTTCATAAACCATCTGTAAGTGTACAATAATTCCTACGGGTCACAACTTGAACGCCAGACACTACTGCTTTCCAGACGTCTCATCTAAATGATTCTACGAAATCAATTCCAACATCTTCTATTGCACCATCTCATTCTAAACGGAAACGGTCAATGGCTGCTACACACTCCTTTGTCGGCTCGTCTTACACTACCATCCATAACGGCGATCTTGCCACTGACGCTCAGGCTACGCCTAATCCCAAGCCTCGCAAACAGTCAAGGAAGTTTAATCGCGCCCATGTACGAACAGTCTCGAATCAGTCCGACACATCCATACAAACCACCCCTTCGCCAACCCGAGGTTCGGGGATTGCAACGTCTACTTTGACAGAGCAGGAACTCTTGCCTCTACCTTCCTCTTTAACGGGTCACAGCGTCCAGGCTACACCTAGTCGCAAACGGAGACAATCTAAGCTGATGCGGTCCCCTCGTACCTTTAATCCGAATGCCGACTACATTCCTACCTTCAGAACAGATTCTGACGAAGAATCGACCAACGTTGAAAATAATCAATCGCGGTGGCCGTATACGAAAAAAACCGTGCGGATGGGGCGCCGCAGTGTAACCCCTGCTACCATACCTCCGTATGAACCCCCACCCGTTATGTTCACGCCTCCTAGGGAAGTTGTTCACAGCCCTGTGACATCGACAACTAAGTCGAAACGCAAAGCAGGAAAATCCAAAGGGTTGAAATTGGATCTCCAAATCAAAAGTGAACCGCCTGATATTGACTATTTAAACGCGCCCATGCCGCCTCCGAGTCCTACTGATGACCCGCTTTTATTGAGTGGGCCACCCGAGGGAAGTTGTACACCTTCACGAAGTCGAACCATGCGCGATGCGTCTGTTTCCGCGGACTTTGCTCAGAATATACGAAAGCAACCATCCTTTGCACTTGAAAAAGAGAGTCTGCCTCCTTCTTCCCCTCCTGCGCAGGACGATTCTTCTTCTTCGCCCTCACAAGCTACTTACCATTGGCCGAATACCGGAGTGGTACAGGAGGACGACCGGTCAACTGACAGCATGGAGCTCGACATGCAACCACATGAATATGCGGAGATGGAGGGTATCCCTTACTTTGGATTTGGCCTAGAAGGCTTTGCTGTGGCTTCGGCTGGAGCTTGGAGTGATAGCGATGAGGAGGTGAGCCTCGAACTATCTTATGACGTTCGTGCCAATTTTTTCTCTTAATGCAGGGTCCACATACTCCTATGCGCGAAACCGGCGTAATCGATGAAGGCATTGGTGAATTTACTGGACATTGGCGCATGACCCAAGTTCCCACCAAAGCAGATCCACCGAGTAGCACAACAAGAACTCGGATGGATGAATGGGGCAGACCGAAGAGTCCATATCCATACAGACGACCCTCTTCAAGCTCCAGCCTTCCGCGCGTTGGAAGCACCAGTCCGTCACCGTCTCATCCTAAATCTCGTGTGAATGCTTCTGCTACTGCTGACGTAGAGGAGGCGGACAGAAGTGTACCACTCGCTGACGAAGACCACACAATCACCTTGCATCCCCCATTGTCAGAGCCTCCAAGTGCTCAAGAAGCAGAAACTCGTTCCTATCATGAACATAAAAATATTGAGGATGCAGAGGAGCAAGAGGAACAAGAAGTTCGAGCACTCAGTATTTCTGCAGATGACGAAGGCGAGGATAGCGCGGATGAAGAAGAAGTCAGGCGATTGAGTTTAGGACCAGAGCAACAATTTGAGCAAAAAGATCCGGATTTTGAACAGGAAGAATCGGAAGTCGAGGATCTGAACCTTAGTAGTGCTTCTTTTGATATGATAGTCGGTGACCATATCGCAGAACCGTCTGGCGTCACGGCAACAGCACATACTCCTCGTCGTGTTCACTCGGCAGAGTCTCAGGCGTGCTCTTCGCCTGCTCCGCTTAGAGATCTAGCTTTCCTTTCTGACAAGAGGCGTGGTAATACGCGCCTTTCCGCATTGGAACGAGCCAAGGAACTATTTGGTACACGTTCGAGTCCCGTGAAACCATTATCGGGTCTGGCACAGATTTTCGACGACGATGAGCAGGACGCCGAGGCAGCTCATTCATCTCATCAAGTAAATGAGAGGCCTATCACCGTTGATAAGGTATTTGAAGAGGAAGAGGAGGAGTTGAAAATGGACGCTGCAGAAGATGCCGCCGAAATGAGCAGTGGAGATGAGTCTGATCCTATGTCCCAAGATCCTGGCTTGGTTCAAATCACTAGCTCTGATCCCAAAGCTGCTGCTAGAGCTGCTGCTATCTTAAAACAGGTGACATATTTCTTCTGCTGATCTATACTTTCAATGATCCTCATCAAAAGTCCCCAGCACGACTACGATTGCTTCACCAAGATTGTTCTGAGGCAACAGCAACAACACACTCGAGAAATCTCGCATTACACTGTCGAGAAGTTGAAACGGGACAGTCGTCGTAAGACGCTGTCCGGTGCGGGAATCTCTAAGGGCAAACTTCGCTCGACGCCGAGACGCTCGCTGGGTACCGTTGTGGGTGACATGGTCTATATACCTGGCAGTCCGGTGACAACTCTAGGGGGACTACTAAAGGAAGCCGAGAAGGAAGTCCAAGAGGAGCAGTTTAGAGCCGTTTCGCCCCGCATCTCCAAGTCTGGTTCTCTGATGCCCGAAGATAATGCACTCGTCGGAATGGGGCTTGGTGAACGTGCATCGTACCGTACTCCTTTGCCTGCGAAATATGGGCTCGCAATCCGACCGCAGAGTACACTCGTGCATGAAATCAGGGATGTAGAAGATGATCACCAGAATGATCAACAGTTGGCTTACAAAGAATGGACAAAGGAAGAATGGAGAATCCTTGATGCCTGTTTTACAGATGAGAGAATAGATCTTGCATCCCGATCGTCATCCAACTCGATCTCATCTCCCCTGAATGACGGACATGAAGATGTTCCATTGGCAGAAGTTGACTTCGTCGACGTTGACGTTGTGGTTCAAAGATTCATAGTCGAAATGGGCGGGGACGATATCACTAATGCTCGTGGTTGGTCAAGGTAAGATTTGGTTCACAATATTTTTCTCAGCCACTAATTTGTATGACCTCGGATAGAGATAGTCTTCGTGCTAGAGCTAAAGCAATTCAGAAGAAACAGCGTGCAGGACACGTCGCACCACCTACAACTCCTTACACTCCCCGTACAATATCCAAGAGTCGCGAGCCATCGTCTTCTATGGAAGTTCCCGACTTCACACCCCTAAATCGACGACCTTTTCCTCTGAGGAACCCTGTATTGTTGCCTCCGCCTGGTGGATCTACCGCACCTTTCAGTAGTATACCTGATGACGTAGTGGAGGAGCCTCGACGGCACAAAGTCCCATCAACATTGTTAGCTCCTCGATATTCACATCTCTTACATGAAGCAGTCGCTATCAGCCGAGAATTGGCAAGTGAAGAACCTTCTTTGACAAATTCAGAAATGGGTACTCTCAATTATCTGTCGTTTCCGACTGTCAAGACTTCTTCCCTACCCAAAGCTGGTCTTGGACGTTTGTTCTCTTACATTCCCGGTTTTTTGAAAACTCCGGCTACTTCCACTCGCAAAGCACACGACTCCAAACCCGGCCTTCCCCTTCCTCCTGCTGAGATTATAGACAAACATCGAGGTCCGATTGTCACTCCTGCACGTCCGCCAGCTCCGAAGTCCAAACCTCCGAAAGAATTGGTGAACTTGCATCACCAACCTGTGCCGGACAAGAAGGAAACATCGAAGATACCCAGGAAGGTTCCACAGAGGATGGTGCAGCTGAACCAGGTTGGATTGCCTAAAGAACGTCAGGAACCAATTGTAAGGCCTAGGAGAAGCAGCGGGGGCAGTGTCAAAGATCTTATCAAGACATTCGAATCATTTGATGATAACGCTCAGCATACGGCAAGTGTCAGGAACATCGGGAATTGGAAGAAAGGCTTGCCTGGTAGTGAGAAGAGCTGCAGTAAACCGCTCTGGAAGCCATAGTTCGTTAGATACAGATAGGATCAATATTGCGCGGTACAATCGAATTACGCCAGACTTTTAGATCTGCTAGTACTTGAGACATATGTTTTTTTTCTGTATATACATAACCGAGTAGCGCCGGCCAGCGGCATAGCCCGCTACCCGTACTTAGGATTAATGTTAGGAAATGATTGTTATGACTGTGATACAGTAACCCTAAACACAAAGCCAAGCAAGGTGTAAGTAGGGCCCCAGAGGGAGAGGGGTACACTAGTATGTAGTTGATGTCATATCAACAGACTCAACATTGAGCTCGTGCGACTGCAAAATAAATTCATCCACGGAACAAGATGTGCAGGTGAAAGTTTTCAACTTTTCAGTGGACATTAGATCCAAGAAATTCTTGATACATTGTTCTTTAATGGAAGTGGGAACAATTGAGGGCCACTGCATCCTTATTTGTTACATTCTCAATGCTGAGTTACCGCCCACTGACCCAGGGGCTGATGCAATGTTATCAACATATAATGCAGGTCTTGCTTTAGACTCGAGCCAGTAGCTTCGGATGTTGACACTTTGGAAACTGGCGCTCAAAGGTGTCAGTCTCTGCCAAGAAAGTGATTCCGCATATTGCTTCTCAGCAGCAGACTGGTTCGAGTCTAGTCTCGCTTATTGTTGCATTCACTGAACTTCCAGGATGTCCAGTACAGACTGCAGTGCAGTATCAGTACTCAATGTTCCATTGCCTCCTCTTCCGTCTCAGGGATCCTTTGGTTAGTCGTCGAACATTATCCTGTTTCCTTTCTCAGACTTCCATAGATCCTGTGTTATCATCTCGTGTGGTTTCAGAGACCACCTCTGGTTCGTTGTATCTGCTGTTCATTCCTACCTTACCTTTCCATAAATCCTGCTTCAGTCAGTGATATGACCCAAGCTACATTGACCGAAGGTCCACCACCTGCTACACCCCAGTCGGGACCTCCTTGTGTTGATAATTTGCCTAGTGCATACCCATATTCTCTTGCTTGTGTATCAACACCGTCGTGCTCTACGGTCACACAAATAAACACAACGAGTCTGTCTTCATTGCCACCAAAGACAAACAATGTACCCAGCAAGGTGTGGTCCATGACAGTGGAGCCTAGTGATGATAGTGTGAAGAGAACCTAGACAACTGCCAATGTACTTAGTGGATCGATAATGGATAACGGTAAACGTGATGTTGACATGAGAAACGTGGTTCTGACAGGAAAAACGTGGTTTTGACAAGAATAACGTGGCTTTTTGACAGCATCGGACCATTTTCCTCAGTTTTGAAATGATAGGTCGACAATGGATGACTTCCCGCTGCAATTAATCCAGTATATAACAGTTTTCTGAAATTATGAGAGAGATTTGAAATTAAGTTATTTGTCAAATTATTCGCCTTATCCATCCCGTAGGCCATCAGACACCTGATGATTTTGATAAGGAGCTGCCGCGCTGACATGTCACCTTTTCCTTCTGCCTTCATGCGAAACGAGTTGCTTCCTCTGGTACTTCAGCAACAACAGGAAAATGACGAAGAAGACGAAGACAAGCTGAGGCTTCTCCTTCTGGCAACACTTGTTTCAGGTGTATTTGACCACGAGGCAGAACGTGTTCGACGCCGCAATCCATCTCGCCTCTACCTCACTCGTCCTCAGCTATTACCAAATCCCCGAATAGAGTCACCATGGATCCGCTTGTGGAAAGGGCAAGAAAACCGTGCCTTCATAACCACCATGGGCTTCGATGTAGCAACTTTCCGCTTTATGTTAGAAGGTCCAGGTCATTTTGCGGATGTTTGGAACAGTACACCAATTCCTCGGAATGATGTCTCCTTGTCCAGTGTTCCACGTGTCGAGCGGCGTTCCCTGGATGCTGCTGGAGTATTAGGACTTGCTCTACACTATCTAGGCTCAGCTATCCATGAAATCCAGCTTCAGCAGATCTTTGCCATCGTTCCATCTGTCCTCTCACGTTATCTTTCATTCTCACTCCACATTCTCCTTTCAACACTTCGGAAGATGAGAGAGGCCCAAATTGTGCTTCCAAGCTCTATTCATGAGTTTGAGGAACTCTCTTCTATGATAACAGCTCGTCATTCCCTTCTCGAGGGTGCCTTTGGATCTATAGATGGTCTCTCCTTAGTTGCTGAAGTATCTGATGATCCCGAACTTGAGAATGCGACGTATAATGGCTGGAAAACGGACCATCGAATCAATAATGTTCTAATGTTTTCACCAAAAGGTACGTCGCTTGTTAAATTGAGTCTATGAGTCTCGTTATTTACTTTCCAATAGGAATCATCATCGATGCGGTCTTGAATGCGCCCGGAAGCTGGCATGATGCACATGTAGCCAAGCCAATATTCGAGCGGCTTCGAACTCGCATTCCCGACAATTTCTACGTCGTTTCTGATACCACCTTTCCTCGAGGCCCAATTTCAATCAAAGGAAAAATTGTTGCACCCATGAAAGGTGGCGAGCGGATACCAGCTGATCCTCAAGCACAGGCACTTGTAATGAGCAAGAACCGTCAGCTCCTCTCATTCCGTCAAACTGCTGAATGGGGTATGCGAACAATTCAAGGATCTTTCGGGCGCCTTCGAGTACCCCTGGATATCAACTGCGAGTCTGAACGCATGAGATTGTTAGAGCTATGTTGCCGTTTATTTAATGTTCGCTCATGTTGTGTCGGTATTAACCAAATTCGCTCAGTGTATCTACCAATTTGGAGGGCTTCAGAGGATGAACGGTTATGGGATGCATTTGTCAAGCCCATGCCTCGGGCCTCCATTTCGCCGCTCGGTGTCATGCGCTGGCTCCAAGCCACAACGCAGTACTCCTCCCTTCGTATCCCCAGTAACACCCCGAACCTCCCTCTTGCCTCATGGAAACCTCCCCTCCCTCCCTAGACGCTGACACGCCTAAATTTTGGCTAGACGTCTATGCTGTGAATTGTGACATTTTCACGTATAGATTTGTATCAAGAGGACTGTAATTGAGACCCAGATTGACAGTCAAAGTCGATACTGAATCAGTCTAATAAGTTGAAGGGACCATATACCCATACTACCACAAGTTGGTCAGTTTACCCATCCCCGATACTACCTACGGATAGCAGTCTACCTGTTTGTCAAGCAGGATTATACCAGACTCGGACTACATCCGAAGGATGACCATTCACGTATGACATACCAAGGGTATTCTTATTGGACCTTACACTGGCAGGAGTTTGGAAGAACTTACTCAAGTGACCATGAACCGAGGATTGACTCGAAATGACTTTCTAGAACTCAGGAATTATCAAATACTCCTTCTAGAACAAGATCAGGCATTAATCTAAAAGACTGCGATTTAGTCTAATAGACCAATCAAGTTGCATGGTTAAGGAAAATGACTAGAAGAACGATCGAAGTACTGCGAGGCTCCGAAGACATATCAAATGGATGTCAAAGAGACCTGACGTAGAAAACATTGAAGAATGCAATTAAATGAATACTATGCGTAACTCCCTTGATAGAGTATAGGCACAATGGGTGTCTGTTGAAAGAGAGAAGCAATTAGTTTAATCCAGATGAATCAGATTGATAGGATTAGAATCGAGGAGAGCTGATTTGCCTCCGGACGAGATGACAAACGATCGAAGTAAGTGTTGAACCGCAATGACAGTTGAACACCATTCGAGTCATTCTCTAAAAACAATTAAATTAAATGAATATTGAAGTACCTACCTATGTTTGGAGGTATACTAGAATCTTGGAACCAATATGGACCAAATAAGGACATGTAGATTCAAATTAAATGGTATCTGACTGAGTGTAGAAGTTTCCTTGCGGTTCCGAACGTTTATTGTATTAAATTGATTGTACTATGCGCCTCTATATTCTGTATGTATAAATAGCGATCCGATGTATCTGGAATAGAAGAGTGATTTTGGGACGACGTTGCAGTGCTAATCCGTAAAAAGGAAAGACACACTCCCGCCAGACTGAAACCTCTTCGCTAGCAGCCATTCGGGCCCGGCACTTGTGAGTATAGGAACGTTGTGTTCTGCTCCTTGTGACTGCGAGAAGTATATCCAGTTGTTGGGTATTCTTCGAACTTAGGATCAGTCGTTGGTCTTAAGGGCAAATCACGCTGTGTGGTTGTGCCAGCACATAGTTCTAGCCCTCGTAGGGGTCTGTGTGTTTCGGTTTTAATTTACTTTGATTCAAACCCCCAATTCTTGATATACCCAAATCAATACAAACCAAAGCACAAATCGTGCTGAATCTACCTTGATCAAAGGAATACATCGAATCCTTAGAACGATTCAAATTGATTGATCGAAGCTTCGTACTTAGCTCTCAAAGCTTTGCGGAACCTTTGCCAACGCTACCCCTTGCTATTAAATAAATTTGATAGCAGTGAACTCGCATATTGTGTATTAGATTGGTTGGTTGGAGTGCCCATTAGATTCCTTCCTTTCTCTTTCACACAAAAACGAGGCAAGCTCGTTATCTGGAGCCCACCGCGAGGGGTGGTTTTGAAGCTACAATTAGCTTGATAAATTAAATCGAACGTTTGTTTGGATTATATTCGATTATTTGGTAGAAGTGTGTTGATCTTTGTGATACCATTTCTGTGAACTGTCAACATTAGTTCATCAGGAAAACCGCGTACTTCGAAGAATTCGGAGAAAGCAGGAGTATTGACACCGGAAGAATATCGTAAAGCAGGAGTTGTATTTGGGAGATCTACGTTCGGCACATCAGCTCGAACATCCCTATTAAATCCTACGAACGAATCCAGTCGTCCATCCTCTTCTCAAATACCGACAGAAGAATCGCGTGGAAGTTCTGTTTCTAGAGGAACAGGATCATCTATATCTCGAGGAAGACTTACATCTTTGCCGAGGAATTTGAAGAAATCTAATCTCGATCCGAAAAGAAAGAGAAAAGAAATTAATCCGATTGATATTGAAGAAGATATAATTGAATTGATTGCTCCAGAGTCAATTTCAACATCTTCTACGTCGATTGAATCAACTAGATTGATAGATACGTTACATCAGACTATCTCTCAAACCAGTAACACGATTCAACCAGTCAAAATGACTACCAATAATTATGGAATGCCTGCGTTGTCAGCTGAAGCTAAGGCTGAGATTGATAAAGCCAGTGC